AACATCGCCGTGACAGTTAGGGTGTTTTATTACAGGCGCCCTTGAAGATTTTTACATCGTCAATGGCGATGTAGGAGTTGAACGCCGTTCCCCTGACGCCCTCGATGTTGAGGTTGTACTGCGTCCAGTAGCTGGCGACGTTCATTCTGGTGTGGTGCCAGCCAACTCCGGCATCAGCGTCCATCTCTTCCACTGTATCCACTGGGACGCTGAACACCTAGGTAGAGGAGTTACAGTATAGGACAACCTGGTGTGTTATTATGTTATTCTGTAATGGCACTGTGGGCAGCGTCAGGCAATAAACACTTACCTTTTCATGCAAATTAGGTATGGTTCCTAGAAGTTAACCCGTTCGTTCGTTTCTTATGTCCCCCGCCGTGATGTTGCTAAAGTATTGCGAGAAGCGGCGTAAAACTAAAGTCACTTATTCATGTAAATTGTGCGTAAGGCGGGTGTTATCGTTAGGACAGGACGTGATTACCCTTATGGCGAACACCGAGTGTCATCACTGATTCAGTGGTTCGTTCATGTAATGTCCACAGCTATAGTGACATATGGTATCTGTTTCACAGAATAATCAAGACGTTGTATTTTCAATATACAATTTTAAGATCCATGGTAGAACTCCGAATACTAACTGTTCGTCGTACAAGAGGTGACTAGAAAGAGCTCTGAAGATCCCAGCACGATTCCTTTATTCTGAGAGATGTCTCAGATACATGAAGAAATTGCGACAAATCGGATCGGGTGATCAGGGCCCCGTTCCTCAAGGCGATCGTAGCGCTAAGTTGATCGTAACTCCTATACTTTAACATAGACTTACGACTGTCGTAGCGCTACGATCGCCTTGAGGAATGGGGCCCAGGTCGACACATGTCATCGTATAACAATTGCTTCGATCGACGCTCTTTCTGCCTATCACTGGATTAATTGGTCCAGGCTCGGTGAATTACCGATTGCCGTCATATAGCGGGAAAATTGCAACAAATAAATAATATTCATGATAATGTTGGAGATTTTACGAGAGATCCAGCAGTTCGGATTTATCTAAAATAGAAGTGTTCAAGGTGTATGCTCAAAACACTGGCATTATTACGCCGGTCAATGGAACAGAGCGAACTACAACCTCATAACAAACTCATAACAGCCATATGACCATCTCATCCCATCAGGTACCCATTCACTGCTGGGTGAACACATGCATATTTGAACAAATCCACGTGTGCTTCGTTGTAAAACTCTCAGGAGTCAAGCTCCAAACACGGTCACCCATCCATGGATTTTCCGTCAACGTTGCTGAACTTCAATAGATTTGTGACCCGTGATCTTTCCACAGGCACCATTACAGCTCCGGATCCAAGTTTTCGGGTATTTATCACCAATTTACAAACGTGAAACTAACAGAGCAGTAATACCCCTATATTCCCCATACCATTCTCCGGATCCGCAGACTGCCGATGTTTTGGCCGTCCATGTAGTACCAGAAGTCGAGGCAGTAGATGGTGTTGGCCTCCAACAGCGGCGACATCAACCACGCAGTTTCTGCACTGGCGAACTTAGGATCAAGGTAAATGTAATGACCACTATCTGCAAGTGTAGAACGTATAACATAAATGTAGAATATATGTAACCCTTATATAACAAATCCTTCGAGTTACAGCCTTTACAAATATTAAAGTCAATACGAGATGCAATAGGAACCCAATGTAGAGATTTGAGAATAGCAGTTATGTGATCACACTTAAATATTTTAGACACAACGTGAGTAGCTGTTTTCACGATATTGTGCAGTTTGTAAAGCTGGGCTTTGTTAAGACTGACTGAGTTTGGTTTTACGCCGCTTTTAGCAATATTCCAGCAACATCACGGCGGGGGACACCAGAAATGAGCTTCACACATTGTACCCATGTGGGGATTCGAACCCAGGTCTTCAGCGTGACGAGCCAACGCTTTAACGGTCATCGAAAGAGTTGTCGCATCAAGGCTCAGCGATCACATGAAACATAACAACTTGGGTGAAGCAATGCAATCTGCCTACAAGCGCAGACATAGCACTGAATCGGCGCTTTTACGAGTTCAGAATGACTTACTAAATGTTGTGGATTCACAGGGTGCTGCAATACTGGTTTTATTAGATCAATCTGCTGCGTTTGACACTATTGATCATTCCATACTGCTTCTATTACTGGAATCAAGGATTGGAATCAGCAGCACAGCTTTGGACTGGTTTGAATCCTTTCTTTCTGGCCGCTACCAGTCAGTGACAATAGATGGATGTAAATCACAAAGGCATAAACTTAGATACGGAGTTCCCCAAGGCTCGGTCCTTGGACCTGTCTTGTTTACTGTATATACACTGCCTGTAGGGGACATTGCAAGACGGCATAACCTATCGTTTCACCTTTATGCAGACGACACACAGTTGTACCTAGGCTTCAAGCCTCTGCAAATATCATCTGCTGAGTCGACATTTGCATTAATGAGTAAAGCTATCGACGACATAAGATGTTGGATGTCTACCAACTATCTGAAGTTGAACAATGACAAGACAGAACTTTTGATCCTGAGGCCAAGGTCTCTATCAGGGAAAATGGATTTCCCAACCTTAAAGATAGGAGACAGCACAATATCACCAAGTGATCAAGCTCGAAACCTCGGAGTTATCTTTGACTCCTCCCTGAGTATGGATCGGCATGCAGACACTGTCTGTAAATCTGCCTTTTTCCATCTGAGAAACATCAGCCAAATCAAGCACTTCATTGACAGATCAGCTATCCAGTCATTAGTCCAAGCACTGGTCATCTCACGATTGGACTATTGCAACTCCCTGATGTTTGGCATATCGGAGCAAACTCTCAACAAACTCACCAGAGTTCAAAATGCAGCAGCAAGACTCATCACTGGTGCAGGCAAATATGAACACATAACGCCAACATTACGTACACTGCATTGGCTGCCAATCAGACAAAGAATTGTCTTCAAGGTGTTGGTGTTTGTGCACAAGGCCCTTCACAACCAAGCTCCAGAATACCTGACTGAACTAGTGTCATGGTATCAGCCATCACGAACCCTGAGATCAGCCTCTTTAAAACAAGCAGTAGTGCCCTCTACCCGCAGAGCGAGTTATGGCGATAGAGCTTTCGCCAAAGCAGGTCCTCTGTTATGGAACCAACTACCTGAAAACTTGAAAAACTTGTCAGACATAATTCCATTCAAAAAAGAACTAAAACAGTTCTTTTCCACAGAGCATTCGACCAAGCGCCTTAGAGCAAACCTTGGATTCAGGCGCTATACAAATTTTAACATTATTTAACCATTAGGCTACCCCACCGCCCCGCTTTGTTAAGAACTACAAGGTGAACATTATAGACATCTAATCGAGATGAGACAAGACACCTGAAAAGTACCTGGGTCACGATCCAGAAAGAGTTCGTAACGTTACGACCTATCGTAACTCTATAGTTGATCATAGGTTTACGAATGTCGTAGCGCTACGAACATTTTGTGGATCGGGATTCTGAGCTGATGAAGGAAAACCAAGTTCCAATCACAACCAACCTACTCTGCTCAAATCAATATTTAGCAATGCAATGTACATCAACCTTGTCAATTGTATATACTCACTATGCAGCTATGTATATATTCTCCTTGTTTTCAACTATTTGTATTACCTGCTTGATAGCAGTGTTAGTATCTACACCGAAACGTCGCCGATCCCGACCGCGTCATACCAAAAGACGTTAAAATATGGTACTTGTTGGTCCCTGCCTGGCGCTCGGCATTAATGGGTACATCAAGGACTGGTCGGCTCGGAGTCAGAATAATGTGTCTGAGTGGGGTATTCATGCTTCACTGCGGCATGGTATCTCAGTGGGCTAGCACTATAAAACCAGCTTAAGTCTGGGCTAGTACAAGCAGCCGCACATACACATACACACGCATGCACGTCGTCATATGAGCGAAATATTCTCAAGCACGACGTTAAACCCAATTTCACCTCACCTCACCTCATTGCAATCAAGACGTTTATCCATAGAACTTGGTTTCCCATCATCATTACAACTTCCGAAAATGCCTCACAAAGAAAGCCTGAGCTGATTCTGGAGTAATGTACTTTCGGATGTTTCTAAGTGGTTCTTTCTTTAGTACTTTCTTTTCATCTCCCTGTGTGCCAGTTCAGCGGATATATAAAGTAAAATGTTTAAACTGTTGTAAATGCTGTTGGCTGGCTGTGCGACAGTTGGTGGGACTTTACCTGTTTGAAGTGTGTGGTCCATCTGCGGACCTTTATAGCCTCGGCTTGGAGGTCCTGATTTAATCGTCCAATCAAACTTGTCCTTTGTCCCTTGTGTCCAGCCGCACAACTGGTTCTCGAAGTCACAGTCAAGTCCATTGGCTGAAACAATCACAGAATCATGAGTCGCTCATTCTTTTACAAAACCGGTGGCACTCAGTTACTAAGGCGCCATAATTTCAGAAATCTGTCTTTGGGGTTCGAAACCGCTTGGCAACGGTTATGTTCCTCGGTTTGTGGATTTCGAGATTCCAAATGACAGTAAGCTGAGATCTAGAGCCACCATGTAACTGACTAATACAGAACTGGTCTTCAACAACCCATGCTTGTCCGGTGGTAAGGCTCGCTGAGTTGGTTGGCACATGTCATCGTATCCCAGTTTCACAGATTCACGCTCATGTTATCAGTTACTGAATTGTGTGATTGACTCAATTATTTACAGATAGACAGATGCTGAGGTTGGCGTTAAACAATGAACATTAAAAACAAAACTCACTCATTTCCTGCACAATGAGACGGCTGGTAACATTGATAAACTTATACACGCCGCCAGTAGCGATAACCATTTGTTTGCTGTTTGAGTGTTGTCTAACGATACACTCCATGTACAGTTAACTTATATGAAGTAAACATAAATAATCAAAACATAATGTTAGTGTGGTTCTGGCACAACAAAACGCCAAGAAAATTAAAAACCGACCTGGAAGTGGACACGGTTTGTTTGTGCCAGTGATGTCGTCGATGGCAATGTCACCGTAGGGGTTGTTGCCCCTTACCATTTCTATGATGATGTAGTATTGCTCGGCGGAGGCAGGAACGGTGAACGTCGCCAGCTGCCACTCGTTGCCTTGGCTACCGCTGTGTGTCCACGTGAGTTTCCTTGGCTTCCCCTGCTTTCTGTTACAAGTCAGTGTCAGTGAGGTTAGTTTTACGCCGCTTTTGGCAATATTCCAGAAATATCACGGCGGGGGGACACCAGAAATGAGCTTCACACATTGTACCCGTGTGTGGAATCGAACCCGGGCCTTCGGCGCTTTAACCACTAGTCTACCCCACCGCCCTATAAGTCAGAACGGGAATCAGTCAGCCTTAACATTACGTAAACATTGTCGTTGGTCTACATACACAATATTTACCTTGGCTTTTCTTCCCACATAGCCGTGACTAGGAATCACGTGTTTCAAAATACAGAGCGGCTATCAACTGCACTCCACTCACTCAATCAATAATCAACTCACTCAGTATGGCTTTAAGCCGCTTTAAGCCGCTTTTAGCAATATTCCAGCAATATTACAGCGGGGGACACCATAAATGGGCTTCACATGTTGTACCCATGTAAGGAATCGAACTCGGGGTCTCCAGTGTGACGAGCAAACGCATTAACCACTAGGCTACGTACCGACCTACATGTATAGACCTATGTAATGTCCATGGACAATGATATTGCTTATTCTCCAAATGTAATGATTGGTTGATTTCAGTCTAAGTAAACTTAGGCTCAGTATTCCTCGTTACACTGCTATACTGAGTCTAACAAAACCTAGTAGAAGGTCGCGTCAGCTAACCTTTTGGACTGACCAATCAGAACACAGCATACCAACTCGCGAAACTTTCGCACATACCGTTTAAACCTTTACCTCAAAACCTCGAACGATTCCGAATGCTATTTTCCGCACGATCGCTTCCGTGTGATACACGCAATGAGTAAACAGTCGCTGAAATAGCGGTTTTTTTGTCCATATTCAAGGATGGCAAATTGCGAAAATATAAGCAAATAGTAACAATGTCATTAGAAACCCATAAGCGTATATACTGCAGGTCAAATATCTCTGTTTTATGCGGATGTTCGTTTGTTGATAGGTCAGTGTCAGCGACCAGGGAAGAGAAAAGTTAAAAACAGTTTTGCAAGTCCCGCCGAACCCTAACAAGTAGTCGTTGTCTGATTGGGTAAATCCGTTCGGCCGTCTCGCATTTGATTGGACGGCCATAGGTCGCTCAAAGGTTAGCTGACGCGACCTTCTACTAGGTTTTGTTAGACTCAGTAGAGCAGTGTAACGAATAATACTGAGCCTAAGTTTACTTAGACTGGGTTGATTTCCACTTGAGTCTGCTATTGCTATACTCCACCTGGACATATATGTTGAGAGAGCCCATCCCCGAGCCCCACATGTGGTACCACACGCTCAAACACATGGCGCCCTTGTTGGTGAGCAAGGGGGAGACAATCCTGGCCGTGTCTGCTGTGCTCCCGGTAGATGTCTCCAGGTACAGGTAATGGCCGCTTGCTGTTCTTAAAGAAAATACACGTGTTTATTATCATGCTGTGGAAGTGTGCTCGATAACATTATCGTTATGCACATGACACTACGTTGGAAGTACTTTCAATGCCCATACATCGATGTAATGTCTTCGCTTACAGTTTGTTTCAAAGTGAATGGCGACTAACGTACAGAGTCTGACCCGTTACAGCCGCTTCACGGGTGTTCAATGTCAGATTGCTGCTTCGAAAGGGTCGGTTGATTCTCTAGCCAAAACAAATGACACTATATGGTAAATAATTCAGTTGGATTCACACTCTATATGCAGTATCATGTCTGAATCATCAAATATCTTCACGAATAACAGCATGTGCGAGAAGGAAACATCCCTGTCATATACCTACGTATGATACATATTACATGTACATATAAGGAATGAAAAATATTGCATCAGCGAATAAATGACTTCATTCTTTCATTTATGAAACGAAAATAGTCAATAATATGTGTGTGTTATTAGTGATAACCCTTATCACGTGTCTTACCTCTGGTCTAGAGGCCGACCACTTGATCAGTTGATATAATAGATGGAAAAAGGAGGGCAGGGGTACATGTATATGTATTAAATTGGATATTATTTCTTTTCTTTGAAACCATGAGCCAAACAGGTAACATATTTGTCGGGACGCGCGAGCATATTCAGCAAAAAGGGTATTTATTAAAAACCTGAAACAAATAATTGTTTCCAAGAATGTTATAATTACATTTGTATCATTAATATTTTTAAAAGAGGGGTAGAGGCTGGGGGCAAGAGGAGGGTGTTATGATGTTATTGATGCTATCTCGACCTCACCGTCTTTAAGGGTGTGGTCAGCCGGCGGCCCAGTCTGGGTGCTTGGTGTGGGTCCGGTGTTCAGGGTCAGATCTTTCTCGTCATCTTTCGCTTGTTTCCAGAGGCACAAGTCCGACTCGAAGTCACAATTAAGGTCAAAGGCTAAAATCAGGAAAGCAGGACATGTTTTTACAATGTTTTTACACATTTCACGACCAATTTAGTCTTACACAGGTCTAGATGATGTCAACTAAAAGACATGTGTATATTTTCATCTTCACAGAAAGAATTCCACGTTTAGACTTTGCCTACCACAAGTGACTGTAGTTTAAGTCAACATATACCAAGCTTTACCATGCTGACTTAATAGTGAGTGTGTTGTTGTACCACCGCACTCGGCGATATTCCAGCTATATGGCAGCGGTCTGAAGCTAATCGAGTGGGCCGGACAACCCAGTGATCAACAACATGAGCATCGATCTACGCAGTTCGGATATGATGACGTCAACAACGTCAACGAACCTGACCACCCGATCCCATCAGCCGCCTCTTACGACAAGCCTGGGTTGCTTAAGACCAACTCTAGTCAGGATCATCGCGGGCATCTTAAAAATGAGGAAAGTGAGTCCGGTTTCCCATCCATTTGAATTCCAATAAAGTGGAGGAAATAGTTCATCAGTAAATATTTAGAAACTCCTGAAACTGGACAGTGGTCACCCACCGGTCATCGGACAAGCCCCCTGGGTAACTTCAATGTCATCCAGGGCGATATCCCCCTCAATGGATTTCCCCCGCTTGGCCTCCAGAACCAGTCTGTAAGGTTGTGACGTGGCGGGTATGGTCGATGCCATGTGGTTCCATCGGTTTCCCTGGTTACCATCCTCATGCCACACTGGAGTGCGGGAACCGTCTTTAAACTGAGGAGGAACGATCAAACATTTGTCAACGGTTTTACAAGAGACATTGTGAAATGACTGAGAGTGTGGTCAATGGGATTGGGAGACGGGACTTATTCTACACTTTTCAAGTGCCATTTTTTCTCCTGTTCGAAAGAGGGGCGGTGGGGTAGCCTAGTGATTAAAGCCCGAAGACCCGAGTTCGATTCCCCATATGGGTACAATGTGTGAAGCCCATTTGCTAAAAGCGGCGTAAAACTAAACTCACTCACTCCTTTCCAAAATATGAAAAATGTTACCTATTGTCTCAACTTTTCACACTGAACAGACATGATTTATTCATCAGTGAGTGAGTGGGTGAGTGAGTATGGTTTTACGTCGCTTTTAGCAATATTGCAGCGGTATCACAGCAGGGGGCGCCAAAAAGGGCTTTAGATATTATAAACATGTAAGCATGTATGTAATCAAATGCGGGCCTTCGGTGTGACGAGTGAATGCTTTAACCACTAGGCTACCCCACCGTCCCTCCCTACAAGTGCTATTTCTCTTGTCCCACACAAATGTTACCCATTGTATCATGACGAACTATCCAAGTAGTAACGTCAGAGCATCTCAGTGGTACGTCACGAGTGTCTTACAAATATCTCCCATTATGTATGTAGAAACCTGAAAATATATGTAAAGGGAGAGGGGTCGGGACTTGGTGACTTGTTGGTTCTGTCCTCATAACATCAATCGTTGGATTTCCCTATTTACAGGCTATATAGGTTGTATATTACTGAGCTGGCAGGGCGTGACACGGACCTCCTTGTACACTGTCAGGGAGTTGATGTCAGGACCATACATGTGGTACCACAGCTGGACGCACGTCACTGTATTTCCTTCCAAGAACGGGGACACCAGCTCTGCCTTGTCGTTGATGCTGCCTAAACTTGTCTCCAGATAGATGTAGTAACCTTTACCTACAATGGAAAACAGTTCGACCTTGACCTACGATGGAAAACAGTTCGACCTTGACCTACGATGGAAAACAGTTCGACCTTGACCTACGATGTAAAACACTTCGACCATGACCTACAATGGAAAACACTTCGACCATGACCTACAATGGAAAACACTTCGACCTTGACCTTCTAGGAAGCAGTTTTACCTTGACCTAATGATGTTATGTCATTTTGTCTTAATAAACGTATTTCATATCGGTTTGTATGATTTGAGCTTGGTTCCGGAACTTTCACCTGATTACGTTAGGGGGTTATAATGGTGTCTTCTTATTACACGTAGTTCATACCGGTTGTATGATCTGAGCTTGGTCCCGTGGAAGTGGTGGGAGTGCCCCCTGTGTGATAGATCCAGTCCGTGTTGTCTGTCTGGCTCTGACTCCAAGAACAGAAGTCCCTTTCGAAGTCACAGCTTAGTGCTGCAACAGAAGGAGATAATAAACTTAAGTCTTGACAAACATTTAGTTTGAAAAAAACAAAGTTTGAAAATAACAAACATTTAGTTTGAAAATAACAAACATTTAGTTTGGAAAAAAACAAACGTTTATTTTGAAAATACACCACACTACATATCAAGCCTGCATAACAGCTACCACTGTATACCAAAGTAGAGGTTATGATAATGAAATAGGCAAATTTATTACTCACGTGGTCAACATATGGGTAGTTTCATACTAATCTCGTACGTCACACGAGTGTCGTATCGCCTTGACCTGTGTCGTAACGACTAGCCTGAGATTCTAACGATTTGATTGGATAACCGATGACCTCTCAATTAGGTCACGTTGTGACGGAACTACATTTTCATTCATAACAAACACGAGAATTCATTCATTCTACAAATTAAATGCATTGTGGGAATGTAAGCATTGCGAAAGTTGCCGTATCGCTGTTTAATTGTGAGTCGAACTGAGGCATTATATGCGTCGAAAAAAATAAACGCAAAGTGTCCACCAGTGATGTATCATGTTAGCGAGTGAAGCAACTGCAAACTAAGAAACGGGGTGCTACGGAGTAGTTTAATGAAGGAGGCTGTACGAGGCGATGACAACTGAAATGCATCGTGTCGTCGGTTACCAAGGTGGTAGACGAGCAAGGCGTAGTGACGTCATTACAGTGTGACGTCATGCAAAAAGTGTACTACAGAACAACATTCTTCCGCAACCTCTTTATGAAACCGTTGTCGGTTTGAAACCATAAAAATAACAAAAATACATTATTTTATCAATTTAAAGCATGTAAGACGTGGATAATAAAAAATACCACACTTGGTCTCATAACAAACGAATTATACGAAACTTGTGACCTTCCGAGTTCCTTTCGCTCGGTCAGATACCATAGGAAGGACACTCGTTTCGTATAATTTGTATGTTATGAGACCTCGTGTAGTATTCTCTATAGACCGCACCAAAATAGGCCAGTGAAGACAAGCACGCATGGAATGGGCTGCCATGTTATTCAACATCCAGGGGCCAAGTTGCAGGAAGGTGAACTCAAGAAGAAAAAGCTGGGTGCACCTCGTCGAGGGAACATTGGATCGAACGGTTAACGACACAAACCAGTTTCATCTTGTCCTACCCACAGCCTCTGATTTTCAACAGGGGAAGCCTATTGGTTAAAGCTTTCGCTCGTCACGCAGAAGACCCGGGTTCGCTTCTCCACATGAGCACAATGTCACCTAATTCAGGTGTCCACCGCCGTGATATTGCTGGAATATTGCTAAATGCGGCATAAAACTGAACTCATTTACAACGACGAGCCGAAAGCCGAGAGACGATGATTTTACGCGCTTCTCTCGCAGTAAAAGACGCCTCTCTGCCATTTCCGGTTTTGCTGCCGTTACACGATGCGCCCCCTGAATCTTTGATGGTTGCATTTGATTGGCATTTAGAAGTGACCCACTGAAGGTTAAAGTACTGTCGGAAATAGAAAAAAACTGTTTTTCGGCTGTCACTCTGTATCCCTAAAATTTACACAACTGCAAATAGCATATGTCGAAATAACCCACTTCAGCCTAACTTGGCATTCAGTGGGATGCGTAATAAGATTTTCAGAAAAGCATGTTTACTCGTAAAATCGGGCAAAAAATACGAATAGCTGCTGAAAACAATAGATCAGACTATAGATGGCAATTTGGTCGCTCAGCAAGGTATGACGGCGGACCGTCGACTCACCTGGCATGAAATGCATGTGCTGCCCTACAGGCACAAGGGGGCATCTCAAAGATATTTTGTGCTTTTTCTTGTGTGTTGACTATGTCTCATCTATTGATTAACATCTTACGTGTCTTTCTTTCATAAAGTTTACGTTGAGATATGTAAAAGAGTATGATACCTGATAGCCATAGAAACGCATCGTATTAAATGTCTCAAAATATATAGGTGGCATGACCACCCAATCGCGAAGATCGACAGGACTGTAGGTTGTTATGACATGCCGTGTACTTCCCCAGTATAATTGCCCTAAAGGATTATCTTATCTCAGCTCGACCCCAACGATCGTTTGCGACACCCGTCCAGGTTTTGCTTTTGAGACGAACCCTCCTATCTGTTTCTTTTTATAGTGACAGTGAGACTCCATGGTAGCTACATCCTTCATAGTTTCAGCATGAAAGTTATTATTGTTTACGCCAGCTATCGTTTATAATGAAGCTACGTCTAATTTCTAACTGGGCATTTAAAAAAGTGTCCTTTGTAATACAATATTGTCGCACACTAATTTGCATAAAGCCATGGTCTGTTCCAAATAAATCGTTTTGGATTAATCTCGCCTCAGTAAAGTCCTTTTTCTACTTTTCCTATGTCACTACCACTGAGATTGTAGTTGGGGCGAACTTAGTTTAACAGATATTTCACACTTTCACATATCAACTACATAAATTGTAGAGATAAATGAGAAAATACAGTTTTTTTCTATTTCCGACAGTACTTTAATTAGTTGTTTTGTAGGTTGTTTAACGGCACACTCAGAAATATTCCAGCTACATGGATGCGGTCTGTAAATAATCGAGCCTGGACCAGGCAATCCAGTGATCACCATCACAAGCATCGTTACGTTACGATGACACCACCCGATCCCGTTAGTCGCCTCTTACGACAAGCATGGAAGATCATGAAGATCAATTCTATTTATAGACACACTGAAGGAAGAGACTAGCGGTGTCAATTTTTTATAGTCAGAAACACAACGTTAAGGTCTATATGCTTACTACTCCACCATCTGAAGGGGAGTCAAACATGTCTGGGCCAACTCACTCACTCATCTAACTGGATCACTGTAGGTTGTATCATACAATGTATGTTGACCAGCGTTGCTTTAATCCCCAAACCCCTAAATTCTACAACAGGAACAACAACAACAACAACAACAACAACAACAGCAGCAACAACAACAACTCCATTACCAACTCTTGGAGAATGCTTTGTGACTGTTTGCTTTATTGGTTTTGTTGGGGATTTAACGAACATATTGGTCATCGATCTCAAGAATTGGTCTCCAGGTCCCATGTTTGTCGGTAGAGACGACTAACGGGATCGGGTGGTCAGGCTCGTTGTCGTTGTTGACACATGACATTATATCCGAACTGCGTAGGTCGATGTTCAATGCTGTTGATCACTGGGTTGTTTGGTTTGACTTGATTATTTTCAGACCGCCGCCATATAGCTGGAAGATTGCTGAGTGCGGCATTAAACAACAAACAAACTCACTTTTAATCCCGTGCTTGTCGTTAAAGACGACTAACAGGATCGGGTGGTCACTGATCACTGGATTGTCTGGTCCAGGCCTGATCTGGTACAGATGGCCATGATGTAGTAGGAATATTGCCGCATTTATAAAATAAAACAATAATATAAAATTAAAAAATAAACAACTAAGACCTTGATAACGTACCGAGATACTTAACGTTGAAGGTTTTTTCAGCTTGGCCAACTCCATTGTCTGCCAGGCACTTATACTCCCCAGCATCTGTTGCCATGGAAATGGGGATGATAAGCAGGTTCCCTTGCTGTGTGGCTTTAGCCGGTAACGTTGATCCGGTTTTTATCCACGTGATCTTCGACGGTGGGTCACCTCCAACGGTGCAGTTCAATGTAACCACCCCGTTGTTTCCACCTACAATCGTCTCATTGGTGGGGCCGATGATGTATGGTTGTACTGCAATAGAAAATAACGAGTGAGTGAGTAGTTTGTTTAGAGAGTGAGTGGTTTAGTGAATAAGTGGGTTTGTGAGTGAGTGGCTTAGTGAGTGAGTAATAGCGATTGGTTTACTGAGTGATTTGTTTAGTGAGAGGAGAGAGAGAGTTGGCCGACGCATTGTTTTAGTTCTATCCTCGCATTTCGTGATAAATTAGAAGAGTAGAGAGATAGGAGAGAGAGAGAGAGAGAGAGAGAGAGAGAGAGAGAGAGAGAGAGAGAGAGAGAGCACATATCCACAGTTGACCTCGCTTTTGTGAAAAATTAGTGGTAGTATTAAAGGATATTTATATAGCGCACATATCCACGCAACTAGTGCATGCTGAAGGCGCTGGTATTTTTCCCTCGATCATTGGATGTCAATCTCAACGGTACATCGTATTATCTTTCTCATACAACGAGGTCCCATTCACAGCTGGGTGGAACTCCTGCAGCCACTGTAGGCGCAACTAGGTGTTTGTGGCTTTCTCATACTAACGAGGTACCCATTCACCAGCTGGGTGGGTTCTGTTCACTGCACAGGTTGCTGTACCCACAACTAGGTGTTTGCAACGAAAGAGTATTCATGTGGCCACCATCTGGTCATATACCAAAGTATCCGTGGGTTCTTTTCGCTGCATCAGGGTTGTCCTGGCGACTAGCCAGCTCGCCCACCACGACCACAGCTCGCCCAAGACTGATCAAACATTAACATGGACGTCAAGACCAAGGATCAACTCCTCACATGGGTACAATGTGTGAAACCCATTTCTGGTGTTCCCCCTTGATATTATGGAATATTGTGTAAAACCTATCCACTCATTCATTCATATTAACATTTACAATACATATTTGGGGTTAAACTGTTCCTGAATGTGAATACGAGTTTTTAAAGTCAATTTGGAACCATATTGTCTCAACAAAATCAATACTGCATAACCTAATAAATCATCGCAAATACAGAACCAAGTAACTCTTTGCAAATACAATAGGACAGTGGAGATACTTACCAACGCACGTGCAGTTCGGATCCAGGTACGGGGTTTTCCCAGGCAATCCTTGTTCTCCTTTGGAACCTTTGACCCCTGGCAAGCCGGCGTCACCTTTGACCCCTACATTTCCTGGTTTGCCTTTGACCCCGGGGTCACCGGTCATGCCTGCATCACCTTTCATACCTTTGGCTCCCACCAGCCCGGATGTTCCGTTGATGCCCTGGTCTCCTTGGACGCCCTGTTCCCCAGCAAGACCTTTGTCCCCCCTGACGCCGTCAAAACCTGGTTCCCCTTTCAAGCCTGGTTCCCCAGACTGTCCAGCTTCACCTTTGACCCCCGGTGACCCCTGAATTCCCTGGGTGCCATTATCCCCCATTTGGCCTTGTTGACCAGCAGTTCCAAGAAGTCCTTTTGGTCCTGGTTTTTGAAATAGGAATTGTTTGTGCGTGAGCAATGATCTGGATCCACCATCGGGTAATCATTGCCCGCAATCAACTGATCATCAAATCTGACCACCCTACCCTAAGTCGGATTGATACGAACAACATTGCTAGCCAGGGACCCTATCCTCAAAGCGCCATTTGTAAGCCCATAATACCGTATGTGTTCGATAGGTCGTAACGTTACGAACGTTTTGTAGATCGAGATCCAGGCTAGCTATTCTCGAAACGTTCGTAACCCTACGAACTTCTTAAGCCCATTCTTAACACATTGGCTACGATCAAAGTTAAGAATTCTTAGGGCTACGAACGTTTCGAGAATAAGGGCCCTGGTACCTATATCACTATGGAAACCCATGATTTCTTAACCATTAACACTTGTTGAAGTTTAATATCTACATATTACATGAGTGTGTACGTGTATACCGGTTCTTCATTGGCCAGGTAAACTGTGAAGACATATTATTGTTGAAGTGGAACATTTTTATGCATAGACAACTTCTTTGTTGCAGTAGTAGTTGCGACGTTTCGGTGTAGATCCTAACACCGTTATCAAGCAAATGATGATGATAACGGTGTTAGGATCTACACCGAAACTACTACTGCAACAAAGAAGTTGTCTATCCATAAAAATGTTCCACTTCATCATGCCAGCTTCTAAATGCCACTTAAGGAAGGTACTATTGTTAAGTCTCTTACCCGTATCTCCCACTGGTCCAGTGTCTCCTTTCTCCCCTGCATGTACAAAATTGAATTATAAAGGTGGGTTATAAATATTAAACATATTACTCTTTCAATATACACAACCTTTATGGATAACAACTTCTTTTATTTTGTGGGTGCGACGTTTCGGTGCCGATTCTTGCACCGTTGTAAAGCAAGAATGACGTTCAGTGAGTGAGTGAGCGAGCGAGTGAGCGAGTGAGTGAGTGAGGAGTGAGCGAGCGAGTGAGTGAGTGAGTGAGTGAGTGAGTGAGTGAGTGAGTGAGTGAGTGAGTGAGTGAGTGAGTGAGTGAGTGAGTGAGTGAGTTTGAGTGAGTGAGAGAGTTTGCCGACGCATCGTTTTAGTTCTATCACAGATTCTCTTTGGCGTGACAGGGAGAGTTCATCTCGCTTTTATGATGGCATGTTAGAGGCGCCAAACATTCTTGCTTGACTACGGTACAAGAAACTGTACAAGAAGGTTGTCGATATTGTACTCACCGACTCCTAAAATGTCACTCAAAGAACTTTCATTTTTTCATTTACAAATATAACAATACGCAATACTAATTTCATCATGGTCATACCAGCCTATAGCTTTTAACCATTGCCATGACAACGCCAACCAGTGGTTGATATCACGAGCAACCACCAACGCTAACTGTATGCAATAACACCCAGTCGACGGTGTTAGCGGGTCTGACCACACAAGCCAGTGATGTGCTACAAGAAACAGAACGCTGGGGACCTACCTCCACCCAGGTAAGCACTTGTAACTTATACGTTAACGCTAGTTCATTATTATAGGATATATATATAGCGCATATATACACGCACTAGTGCATGCTCAAAGCGGCTGGTATGTTTTCCCTCGATCATTGGATGTCAATCTCAACGATACACCGTATTATCAATCTCAACTCCCTGGGGAGTATACAACTCTTGCAGCCACTAGGCGCACTAGTTATTGTGGCTGTCCCATCCTAACGAGGTAACGCTATCAACTTATCTTTAGACAGTAGTCTAAAGCAGTTTGAGATGAATGTTGATTAAACGCATTTGTCATTACTGTATTTACATATAAGCTATAACGGATTATATTTGTGGATTTCATGTGTCTTCAAGACCAGCAGAAAAAAAACAAACTATTTTTATCCATTTTGTTTACATTCTCACTAAACCATCATGTTTCATCCACAACTTCGTGACTATGTTCTAAAACTGACTACGGCCATATTTTCCTCAAACGAAACAAACTCCCAAGCGACTTTGGACGACATTGTCTTTATGCTGAAGCTCACCTTGCACACAAAATCCTGTTCCATTACTGCAGTGCTTCTCCAGGATCAGTTCCTGGAACGCAAGAAACATGATTTTGGTTTGTTGAGGTTTGTTTGACAAAAAATTAAATGAAATATTTTATCATCATGAAAAATGATACGTATTTAGCTTCAACACACCTGTTCTGTAATCAGCCTTTCAAGAAGTGCATGAGTCTGGCGTTTGTAGCTAGGTTCTTCCTCCGTCGCATCCAGGCTGTCAGTCAGCGTCTCCCTCTTGTACAACAGAAGCACAGCAGTCATGTGATGAAGGGAGAAATACGGCACAAACATTAGAAATTTATGTCCCATCATCTCCAGTAATGAAGTTGTACATGTGCTCGATAGCTGTCCACTTTTGGAGACCCGTGAAGATGCGGGATAGAATAGGTCTTCAGCAACCCATGCTTGCCACAAAAGGCGACATGCTTTTCGTAAGAGGCGACTAACGGGATCGGGCGGTCAGGCTCGCTGACTTGGTTGACACATGTCATCGGTTCCCAATTGCGCAGATCGATGTTCATGCTGTTGATCACTGGATTGTCTGGTCCAGACTCGATTATTTACAGACCGCCGCCATATAGCTGGAATATTGTTGAGTGCGGCGTAAAACTCAACTCACTCACTTACTGTGCAGTTTTGGTATAAATCCAATTCCAGCAAGAGTTACGTCCCTTGGTATATCATACGTTATATAAATATGGATTATCCACTGAAACTCATTCCTCTGGGCACAAATGGCCAAATAGCGGTGAAACTTTTATGAATACATCCTGAAAAATAGTGATGACAGTAGATGTTCTCGAGGTAAGCATGTCTGGCGGTAAACTAGGTACAGATTAATTTAATTTAAAATTTATTTTTGAATGTTGATCAACGCCGCTGCCAGCAATACTCCTGCTTATTACTCGAGGTTGTGACAGGTAGTACATTTTGGGTGAGTTTTGTCTTTAATCCGGTAAAAACTACAACAGCCCTTGGAGAATGCTTTGTGATTTATCGTTTTCGTTTGTTGGGTTGAATAACGCCGCACTCAGATTTACTCCGGGGTTTTTTTTGCCACCATCTATCTAGTCTGAACCAGGCAATCCAGTGATGGATATGAACAATGACCCGTATCGTTAAGTACCGTATCGTTAAGTACTAAAATGCCGTGATATGTTTTGGAGTTTTTGAAGGTCGATGCTAAGTCAGCATTAGGCTACTGGTAGGGAGATTTTGCTTGTTTGACTTGTCTTTCGCCGCACTCAGCAATATTCCAGCAACATGACAACGGTCTGTAAATAATCGAGTCTGGACCAGAAATTCCAGTGATTGACATCATGCCCATCAATCGATGCTATTAAGATACGATGACATGTGTCAACTATGTCAGCGAGCCTGACCACCAGATCCCGTGAGTCGCCTCAGATTGCTGAAGATCAATTCTAACCCGGATCATATTCACATGGGGAAATGTTTATCGTCAAGCAGCTGTCGGAGAGTAAACGGAGACTACCCGGAGAGCATTACGCCACCATGTCCCAGATAGCGGATTACCTATTCCTATCTACAGGTGTACCTTAGTTTGGAGACGAGGGCACCTTGTTTTCAGGAGCTGTAATCTATCCTGCTGTTCCTGGTACTGTCCCCGCAGCAGCTTCTCCTCGTTGAACTGGCGGACAGTGAACACAACAAACACGACATTGTGAATCACGAACAGCACAGCTGTGACCACAAACAATGCCCGAGACGTTCCTCCCGTGGACTCCGTCATTGTCGTTTGACCTGTCTTATCAGTCGCCTTAGATTCCCAGGTCACTGTCTTCTGATTAGACGACAAACATTGGAGTCCGCATGTGAATGTTTTTGGGCGTACATTATGGTACCAGCTTCCAACACAGCAAGCCGTACATATGGGAACTGTGAGGTGTTTCGGTAGAAGACAATGTACTTGTTTTTACCAAATTATTTCAATCGTTCGCTGGAAATGTCTGGGTTCAGATAACATTTTTACCTCCTCCTTTCAGAGAAATCGTCTTATAGCAGCGAATCAAAAACTAATTTTACATGACCTATTACTGTAGGCAATGTAGACATTTGGAGCGTGTGTGTGTGACTTCAATACACCAGCACCAGACCCATGATCGTGTCTAACCACCACTAGATCCATGCTCGTGTGTAAGCGTCTATTTGTTGTTTAACGCTGCACCCAGCAATATTCCAGCTATATGGCGGTGGTTTGTAAATAATCGAGTCTGGACCAGACAATCCAGTGATCAACATCATATCCATCAATCGACGTTATTGGGGTACGATGACATGTGTCAACCAAGTCCAAACCACCGGATCCCGTGACAATCCAGACAATCCAGTGATCAACAGCATGATCATCCATCTACACAATTTGGGATACGATGTGTCAACCAAGTCAGCGAGCCTGACCACCCGATCCCGTTAGTCGCCTCTTACGGCAAGCATGGGTTGCTGAAGATCAATTCTAACCCGGATCTTCACGGGTATGAACTTCTGTATATTTGATAATCGGTGTCAGTCAGAATGTACCTTCCGGAAAAACGAGGAAAAACACAGTTTGTCAGTCCCCACTGCCAGTGAGGATGCTGACGGTCAGTATCGATCCGATGTAGCCCGCGCAAAATCAATACGTAGCTGAGCTGCGTTAAACATCCAGCTATACTCTCTCCCAGCATCCAGACAGCCGTCGGTACAGACTCTAACTCAAGCACTCTAACTCAAGCACTCTAACTCAAGCGCTCAAAGACAGGTAACCATACCGATCTAATCATCTAGTACTCTCAGTATCAAACCATCTATGCGAGAGTACATTGTGTCGAAAACAGGTGACGCATGATAACTCGGGTCATGACATCGGATGTAGAGTTCCGAAAATAACCGACCTGACCAAGACAAACGGTTATCACACGTCGTTCCTTTTATACCTGATTTCGATAGCAGATCCATCGTTGCGAATACAATTTTGTGTTTTCACATTCTATGGCGGAATTGTAAATGCATATATTGAAAACAGTCCTATATTTGTAGCGGGTTGTTCATCTTTATGAGAATTCAGAGTAACTTCCCTTGATCCGTACACGATCATTGTTGAAATGGTCACCATTCGCCCCTTTCCGTAGCCACTTGTTAAATTATACAGGTGTGTTCCATCTATTGTGTCTGTCAAAGGTGCGCATTTTACAGTTCGTGACTTTATTGAAAAACTTATTCATATTACATTAATGATATGAATGAGATTTTAAAATAAGACATGAGGAGAGATAAGTGTCATGTTTAGTAATTTTGCACAATAACATTCCATTCTTTGTTATATAGAATCTACCAAGTTCATCATAAATCATGAAATCTGGATTACTTTTTTCTGAGTGAGAAACATTTTCAATGCTAGATACATTTTCGAATCCCCAAATCTCGCCACCGTACACACACACACATACACACACACACACACACACACACACACACACACACACACACACACACACACACACACACACACAGTGCTGAAAGTTTGTTAAATGACCATTGAAACTTGAGTGAAAGTGAAATGTGCACCCCTCCTTTTCTCAATAGTGTGCACCCCCCTTTCTCAAAAAGCTGTATCCACCCCTGGTACATTATGGTCGGGTTGGTAGTGTCAGAATGCTAAACTGTCTTTTTTAACACTAACCTCTATATATTTTCAGATTTGTGGAAGATGAGCCACAGGTTTGTCGGGAACATCTATGGATTCCCTGAAGATGCGATAAGCTTAGGCCACCAGAACGACGGTGCTGGCAAACTATGGACAGCCCTGGCAAACACGAAACATGGACCAGTCGGTGGCAAGGCGAAGGGGGGCACCTGCTGGTATTCCTACGCGGGACATGAGTACACCACAAAGGACTTCTCTTGGCTAATAGCACCAGAAGGGAGAGTGGTGTCTTTCAGAAACATCGGCAATGGCCCTCCTCCGAAAGTGATATGTTTTGGACGACAGAGCGACAACCAGGAATACTACGCTGCATTGGCAGTGTGTGATCATGGTTTGATTCCTGGCAAGGCAAGAGAGAATAAATGCTGGTACCCGTATGGAGGCAAGGAACATGTCACGTCCGACTTCTTCTGGCTTGTTAGCGTATAGACCATCAGTAGACAATGTGGAAAATACTCATCCTGGCTGGAATTGATCTGCAGCATGTTTTCCTGGACAGGAGACGAAAGGGATCGGGTGTTTAATGACGGAGTCGCAGGCTTATTTAATGACGGAGTCGCAGGCTTGTTGACGTGGATGATACAGGTCATCACTACCAACTTTTATAAGACGATGCTGATGATTGGATGGTGTCCTCTCATTCTGCCTACAGCTGAAAACAACACAAGTCATGGTCTGTTGGTCACAACTGTGTAGGCAGAATGAGAAAGCGATAGATAATACTTGACCCCACCTCCCCACAAGAAAAAATGGAAGAGCTTGATTTTTTCTGATTAATTAGTTTTCTCCATTAATTATCTTTATGAAGTGTATCGCAAACTTGAATCTCGTTTGCAGAGTCTAAAGAGACCCTTCATGAAGGTCGAAGGACAAAGCTTCAGTTTTTAGATGCCTCTGGTCATCTCTTGAAACTGAAATTGTCGATTGATGATGATGAAGATGATGTCATTACTATTATATTAATGATGATAATGACAGGGAAATATGAGGTTTCTGGTATACAAATGTCTATATTTCATATATATCATGTTATCTACTATACTATAATATGAATACTCATATTCCTGATGTATTTTCGCTATTATTTGCCGATGATGTATCAACTGTATCAGACACTGCTTTACAGCTCCAAAAGAAAATTAATATTGTTGAAAAATTCTGTGCAGATGCAGGAATGAAAGTTAATCTGAACAAAACAAAAATTATTGTTTTTAGAAATGGTGGTCCTCTCCGTTCTTATGAGAAATGGTTTTTAAATGGTGAACAAATAGAAGTTGTGAATATGTACAGATATCTTGGGATTGTGTTCGCTCCTAAACTGTCATGGACTAAAGCCAAATCCTGTTTAGCAGCTCAAGCAAGCAAAGCTATATTCTCCATCTATAATTACCAGAAACATTTTGGATGTATTAATCACAAGGACATTTTTAAGATATTTGACTCCATTATTACACCTATTCTGTGTTATGGATCAGAGATTTGGGGAACCACTTATTGCAGACATATTGAAACTGTACATTTTAAGTTCTGTAAGACTTTTCTCAAAGTTAGCAAGTATACCAACAATAGCATGGTGCTTGGAGAGTGTGGCAGACTCTCACTGCAATACCATTATACCTCTAGATCAATAATGTACTGGTGCAGACTGTTGCAGCTACAACATCATAGACTTCCTTATCAGGCCTACCAAATGCTCAAATCTCTCGATGATAATAATAAATCTACTTGGGCTTCACATATAAGACAAATCCTTTTTTAGTATGGTTTTGGGTTTGTATGGATCTCACAAGAAATTGGCTGCATTAAAACATTTATAGCCATCTTCAAGCAGCGATTTTATGACTGCTTCCTTCAATATCGGCGTTCCTCACTTGACTCTTCATCTAAATGTAAATATTATTCACAATTTAAATCTTTACTTAATGTCGAACACTACTTGTCATGTGACCTCCTCCCATATCAAAGGAAAGTTATGGCTATGTTCCGCTGTAACAACTTTAGATTAGCAGTGGAAACCGGCCGCCACACAAATACACCCTATGATCAACGTCTCTGCCTTTACTGCCACTCTGTTGGTTTAAACTATGTTGAAGATGAGTTCCATGTTCTACTCATCTGTGGTAAATATTCTGAAATAAGAAATAAATGTTTCACAACCCACCAGACCCACCCTCCAACAATTGAAACTTTTGTGCGTTTAATTACTCGCAACGACATAAATTATCTAAGATCATTAACTACATTCCTCTCCACCGTATTAAAACTAAGACATAAATCCACTACTACTATCAATTGACCCTGTACTCCAATCGTCATCCTATATCCAGCATGTATGTATTCTTTATAATTGCACTATGTTGTATTATGGGCCAAGGGCCTACATTACTGAAATAAAATGTCTGTCTGTCTGTCTGTCTAATATGAATACAATCACGATTGTGTTATGTTATTGTCATGGCCAAGTCCATTTCTAAATTAGGGGTGGCCTGATTTTTCTCATCCTGCCTGCACTTTTATTAGGTCTGTGGGCAGAATGAGAGTAACTGTCTGACACAGACAAGCATCATATGTATGAAATACTGTTATATCCTTCTAGATTGCGAATTGAATAATAAATGCTAAAACAATTTAGTAGCAGTTAAAACGATGTGATAGTCTTATATCTGTTTACCTGTCGTTTTCAACGTTCGTTTTCTATTTGTTGTTTTTTCAAATGATAAGGCGGAATATGTCCGTGTACGTTTTGTTTGGAGTAAACAATTTGTCCAATTTGTATCATCTTTGAGCTCTCGCGTCACAAAATCCTTCTGGATTTGTTTTATCAGAACTCTCTCACTCACACACACACACACACAAACACACACACACACACACACACACACACACACACACACACACACACACACACACACAGAGTCAGTCAGTCAGTCAGTCAGTTGTATAGCGCCCATATCCAGCTCAGCTGCTCAAAGGCGCTTAGTTTTTCCTCGTTCACTGGATGTCAATCTCAACTCCCTGGGGAGCATACAACTCTTGCAGCCACTAGGCGCACCGAGTTATTGTGGCATTCCCATCCTTACGAGGTACCCATTCACAGCAGGGTGGACTGGGACACAGTGTGAAACCAGACACCATATAATAAGACTTTTAGTATATGGTCTCTGGTGAAACTAAATGTAAATGGATAATTAACTAGATGTACGTTTTAACTATGTATAGGTCATCCGCGTTACTACTGGTCCCAGCCAACCTGTGTTGCCTTGTGGTCTGACTGGTCGGTCTGTCGTGGGACAGCAGTCTGCCCTGTGACGACATGAGTGAATAACGTTCATACCGCTTTGGGCAGTATTCCAGCAACATCACAACGGGGGACACCAGACATGGGCTTCACACATAGTACCCATGACGTATCCGGGCGTGACGAGCGAACACTTTAATCACAAGGCTACCCCAACGCCCCTCTGACCACATGAAGCTTGTCAGGACTAGTTTTTATTATACAGAGTAATTTGAATTTATTTTGACTTGCCAGTGAAACCTAATCTTACTGAGATCGATACCTTAGATATAAAATAATCGTATCCACATGAGCGCATGACTTTCAACTTTCAAGTAGCTTATATCCCAACTCAGGCTAGGTCCAACCTTTGATGTCTATATTTCACGCCTCGGGTACAACAGATCATGCTCTCTCCAATAAGATTTCAAAGAGTATCACATTACACTGTCCGTGAAGCTCAAGGTTACAACATTCAAGACCTTTGTAGTTACGATATGACTGAAACAATACTGACGTGATTTCAAATTCGTTATCACATGACGGTCCAAAAAGACGTGACGTGACGCTAAAATAACGTAAAATGGCGGACGTTGAACATCGCTTAGGCTAAATTTACGTATAGTCATCAGACATACCATATCATATTGTCTTCTGAGAGTCCAAAATGGCTTTGAATTATGCTAAAGTGACGTCAAATGAGACTAAAATATCGCTACATTCACGTCGAACGGCGGCGGGGGTAGCCTAGTGGTTAAAGCGTTCGGTCGTCGCGACGAAGACCCGGGTTCAATTCCCGACATGGGTACAATGTGTGAAACCAACTCACTCACTCATTCACTCACACACACGTTGAACGTCTCTTTTACGACGTTTGCGTCACTCAGGCTATTTCTACGTCTTTTACGACACGAAAACGTCACATGACACGCCAAAATAACGTTACGAGACTCAAAGATCATGTCAAATAACGTTAAACTGACGGTCATTGTTTTAGTAGAGCTCGCAAAGTCGGATGTATTGGTTTACAAAGAATAGAGATATAACCAGTGGCTGAGATAAAAACAAGTGGCTGAGATATAAACCAGAGGCTGAGATATAAACCAGTGACTGAGATATAAACAGGTGGCTAAGATATAAACAAGTGACTGAGATATAAACCAGTGGCTGAGATAAAACAAGTGGCTGAGATATAAACAAGTGGCTGAGATATAAACCAGTGGCTGAGATATAAACCAGTGGCTGAGATATTAACAAGTGACTGAGATATATACAGGTGGCTGTATTGGTTGAGCTTTAGATTGGTTAGTTTCGTGGCGTGGCGGGATTGCGTACCCCATCGGCATTGGATGTTGCTCGTACTGCCAATCAGTGGTCAACTGGCCCATCATGTACTGGACACTATCATATAGCTGGAATATTGCTGAGTAGAGCGTGCACAACAAACAACAAAATACTCGGTAACCAATTTGGTTAACCTCAAGCATTTTCCAAACCCAGTACGTTACATTAATCGTCGATATTTCTGCTACTGTCAACGGACGCCTTCATTATGTCTCGCGTGTGTGCTTGCATGCGTGTATGCGTGCATGCGTGCGTAACTAGATCTTCGGTACATAGTGCCCCAAAACAGGCTCAGCTCATCTCAGTCCAACAGACGCTCTGCCAACTCTGGCAGGACTTAGCATCAGCTTCCCCACATGGGTACAATGTGTGAAGCCCATTTCTGGTGTCCCCCGCCGTGATATTGCTGGAATATTGCTAAAAGCGGCGTAAAACCATACTCACTCACTCACTCAGCATCAGCACAACTGTTCACGTGACAGTCACATGACACAACACTGATTGTCGGCAGTAATGAAGTGAGTGAGTGAGTACAGTTTTACGACGCTTTTAGTAATATTCCAGCGGTGGACACCTGAAATAAGCTTCACACTTGTAACTACATGGGGTATCAAACCCGGGCGGACGCTAAATAACCACGAGGCTACGCTCACCGCCCCGGCAGTAGTGAATGTAATGTGAATTTCAAGCAGTTATTTGTATTTGTCTCCAAAACAGACTAACATTGTTGTTGTACTGTTTGTTGTTTGTGTCGCTGCTGGTGTTGTTGTTGACGTCCCTCAAATACTTCCGTCGCGTATTCGTGCCTGGGGTACTTAGCAGATAACCCAAGTGGATCCGATTGCACATGACAGGAAGTACTTCGGGGTGGGGTGATGTGCGCATGACAGGAAGTACTTCAGGAGGGGTAAAGTGCTTACAACAAGCGACGCCTTGTCTTAAATCCAGTGCTAACTGACCGGTAAGAATCCTATCCCGACTCATATAATTATATGTTTAGTTTTCCTGTGAACAGCATCGTGTGTAAATCATAACGGCAAGTGTTACAAGTAGTTGTATGTAACGATCGTCTGTTTCGTCGTCGTTTACCAAGAAGTGGATGGTGCCTTTATACCGAAAACTGCGACGTTGTTGTTGTTGTAATTGATGGTGTCAATATTAGTGTCAATATTATATTGTTGTTTTGTTTTTGTTGTTGTTGTTGTTGTAGCAGCTATCATTGTAGTTGTTAGATCAAAAGGCATTCCAACATACCCACGAATGTATGTGACAAAGCGAAAGCGAAAATAACAGCGAGTAACGTTTCCTGCAAACCAAGGCCATTTTGCCAGGCGCTTTTGTTTGGGGGCGCTTTCGTTTTGTCACTGTGCCTCGTGTCAACAATAACTCGGGGTCAACCTTGTACGTTATCGTGTGTACATGTAAGTATTATGGGATATATACACACCACATCAGTAAAAAGTGTGTACACGCCTTATCGGCGTCGTAATGCGGTTGTGCTAAAAATAGCCCACGAGCGGCAGCCGTGTGTTGTGATATTCCAAACAGTCGTGTTATATGCGGAGCCGTGGAAGACCCTCGCTATAACATTAGCTATCGGAGAAGTTAGATTGCGGAAAAGTTCGACGCAGGTTGTGAAATTTCTGAATGGAGACTTTTCGTGATTTCAGTCTTTCTGTGTACTCTTTCGAGGTTTCAGGTTTTTCTCCTGACTTCAATTGTATATCTGTTATTTTGATTATTTTCTCATCATTTCAAACGCTAGTTTCGATTTATAGTTCATTGGTTCGAGGTGAGGTGAAATGGGTAGGGGTTTAACGTCGAACTTAGGAATATTTCGCTCATATGACGACGTGCATGCGTGTGTATGTGTGGCTGCTTGTACTAGCCCAGACTTAAACTGGTTTTATAGTGCTAGCCCACTGAGATACCATGCCGCAGTGAAGCATGAATACCACTCAGACCCATTATACTGACTCCGAGCCGACTAGTCCTTGATGTACCCATTAACAGGGATAATCTACAACGTCTTGTAGTCTCCCTGCCATTAATGCAGGGACCAACAAGTAGCATATTTTAACGTCTTTTGGTATGACGCGGCCGGAGATCGAACCCGCGACCTTCCGCTCTCCGGGCGGACGCTCTAACCACTACACCACGGAGGCGGTCTCTCATTTGTTCGATTACTTTTTCGCTATTTTACGCTTCTCTCGTTATATCGACTATTTATTATTATATTTAAATCGTTATTTTGAGGAAATGGGTATTGCACTTATTGTCTCTTTATTCCGATTAATGTGTGGAAAATTCAGATTAATGTGTGGAAAATTCAGATTAATGTGTGGAAAATTCAGATTAATGTGTGGAAAATTCAGATTAATGTGTCTAAAATTCAGATTAATGTTCTTCAGTTAATTTCATGTTTTTATTTAAAAAATCGATTAATGTGTGGAAAATTCAACTATGTTCTCGGTATTTCATGTTTTTATTTAAAAATCGATATTTCGAGAAAGTAGTCTAAAGAAACCTAATTTAACGAGAAAATCAAACTAACGGGAAAATAAACTTAATTTCGATTTTTAAGAATGAGAATAACGAGAAATAATTGAAACTACGAGAAAATATTTAAATGTAGATCACTGGATTGTCTGACCCAGGTTAGATAGTTTAGAGACTGTCGTCATAAGCTGGGATATTGACAACAAACAAGGAAATGTAATGGTTAACACTACTAAAACTGGGTTTTCTCATATTTCCCAATCGGGGGTAGCCTAGTAGTTAACGCGTTCACTCGTCACACCGAAGACCCGGGTTCGATTCCCCACATGGGTACAATGTGTGAAGCCCAATTCTGGTGTCGGCGTAAAAACTAAACTCACTCACTCAGCCACTCATATTACCCAGTCTCATTCACTTAAACCATGTAATATACTTTCAGATCGGTGACGATGAGCTACTGTTACGTTGGCAGCCAGTACAGATTCCCCAACACGGCCGTATGCCTGGGCCATCAGAATGATGCCGGGAAGCTGTGGAGCGCTGTGGCCAACACCCAACATGGCTGGGTCGGCGGCAAGGCGAAAGGAGACACCTGTTGGTACTCCTACGACGGCCAAGAACACTACACAAAGGACTTCTCTTGGCTCACGGCACCACAAGGAAGAATTGTAACGGTCCAAAACAGAGGCAGCTGTCCACCGGGGACCGTGTGCCTCGGCAAACAAAGCGACAACAACGACTACTACGCTGCCTTAGCCAAATGCCCCCAAGGCCTGGTTCCTGGTAAGGCTAGAGGCAATACCTGCTGGTACCCATATGGGGGCAAGGAGCACATCGCGTCCGACTTCTTCTGGCTGGTGTGTACCTAGATGGAGGCCAAAGCGGCGTTGAACACAACTCACTCACTCATTCCACGGACTGGGTCCAACGGCCGTGACAAAAAGAGAAATTACAAGTTTTGGATGATCAGCTTCTTCATTGTACAATAGCTGTGTTTTGGTGTAGAAACTTCTACCGTTTTCAAGCGTGAGGATGTATATCGAAACGTCACCATTGTTCCATAAAGAAGCTGATCATCCATAAAGACGTATCATTCCTAGTACTTATAACTTCAAGAATGCTTCTCAAACAGTTCACGATACATAGAATGTAGAGATATTTACCTGACGACTCATCTATAATGGATTATAAATATACAAGATAGCAAGAATGTGATAAACTGGGGCTGACTAAAAAGATCGATAATCGGAAATATCTTCGATAGGAAATAATATTAATGATTATCGATATGAAAATAATGTCTTAGATAATATCATTCATACACTTTGTGATAGAATAAAGCTTTAATAAAATACACAAAGTTTGGTGTTTATTCATGGGCTGCTTCTGGCACTGTTTTGTTGGTAACCCACGCATAAACATGTCACCAGTGGTGTGAAATATATTCATTTTTTTCAGACTTTTATTTTGCATTTTTGCTCAGTGTTACGTTTCATGAGCACTACAAGCTTGTTCCAAGTCATGATTGAATTTATTTTTAAAAAACCCAGAAAGTTATGTTCCTATACATATTAGTCATCCTTTCAAGATGTGAAATTTGCCAGAAAAAACAACCTAAGAACTTCATGGTGGTTTTTTTTAGGTTTTTGTGCATTAACAAAAATAATCAGGAAAAATTCATAAATGACGCTAACCAATTTTTTTCGATGATTGATCGGTTGTAATGAAGCAATCATCAATTTTGAGATTTTAACCAATTCCCAACACTAGTGTTAAAGCAGCAATAAACACACACAAAATCACTCCCTTAAGTATACTATTCACACTTTGCTAAGGATCAAATCATTGATTCAACAGAAAACTGTGATGTGGGGTCAAATTTGGTTTAAATATCTAAGCCTATTGTAAGCATGGATCCAAGATTTCAGTATGTCATTGCATCTTCTGGATCCCATACCTGCTATTGACAGGTGTTGTGTACTTATCAATGACCCGTTCCATGATTTGCAAAATGGTTGATTGGTGCCATGAAAACCATTTTTAAGGTTATTCATGTACCAAGTACATACGGTTAGCTTAAAGTGGCTGTTTTCCTAAAGATGTGTTACCATATCATTATTTATCCAGTTTTAAATGGATATAATTTCAAATTATAAATCTACGTTTAAGTAAAGTTGGGAATTTTTGTGATCCTTAGCAAAGTGTGAGGAGTATAATTGGTTTACCGGAAGGTATACAGACCAACCGGAAGGTATACAGACCAACCCCAGTTTCGTTTCCACCAAATGCCAACTGCTTGACAGTATCCGTGTTCCTATGCAGCATATGTCAGCGTGTTAAAAACGATAGTACCAGATATTAAACACATATTGCCAGTCTATGGTACCGGATGTACATGTATATGTAAATAACATAGAATTCCCGAACAAATCGAGGCACAAGTAGAGAGACTGTCTTTCGTGATATGAATAACTGGCCAGGGAATATTCAGACCACCTGCTGCTTTAGTACAACTTAAAATAGACTGATATCCGGTCACATCACATAGTTTAGTCGCAATTATGTAGCTCTTGTCGTCAGGGTAGAGTGGAGATAATCCTAGAAATTTGGACGATAGTATATGTTTAAGACAAAACAAGTCTACGAAGACTACTTCTTAAACAACGGAAGTCCAATAATTCGCCGTGATTTTGCTGGAATATTGCTAAAAACGGCGTAAAACTAAACACAATCATTCACTTAAGTACATAACATGTAACACTTGAAATACTGTTAATTCCGATTTTTTTTTAAACTAGTGATATGCGGATTTTAGCCTGACCATAGGTCCGTGAGCAGGCCTAGATAGATCCAATATTTTTCAGACCCCTTAGAAAAGTCAGTTAGACTGCTGGAGCAATACTAACTGGGGCGTTATACACCACATGTACACAGTGCTGGATACTGACCATGTACAATGAACACATCATCAGATATAGTGAGTGAGTGAGTGAGTTTTACGTCGCTTTTAGCAATATTCCAAAAATATCACGAGGGGGGACACCAGAAATGGGCTTCACACATAGTAACCGGGGAATCGAGCCCGGATCTTTGGCGTGACGACTGAACGCCTTAACCACTATAGGCTACCTCACCACTATATAAAACACCCGGGTCACACGCTCATAGAGCACCAACGTTTACTGCAGTGTGACATCTGATCCCCCTAATCATCACTTGCCCAATGCCCAATTCATGCCATTGTCGCGGGAAAACACACTGTGGTTCAACTCTCCCGGGTTAGAGCGTTTTCTAGATAATATGAATAAGCAACGACCTAGCCGCCGACCTGAGCAAGACGCAATCCGATTGGTCGGCGATGCTGCTGTTTGTGCACACGTAGTTCTCACGCCTGACAGATCCTTTATATTCCCTCGCTCAGAGCCCAGTGACTGTCTCCCTATACGTCCGAAATCCAGGTCAGTACCAGTTCAGGTATGTTGTTATTTATATGGTCAGTTTATGACAGCTCAGTCGGGATATCAGATTATATGCAATAATTCGTCATTTATCCATTCCGAGCACTGTTCGGAACAGGTCTATTACATGCTATTTACCGTTACGGGGAAACCCGTGTGTTCTCTCCACATATATAACGCCGCACTCATATGACGGCGGTTTGTAAATGATCGAGTCTGGATCAGACAATCCAGTGATTACACGCTGAGCAACGATCTACGTTATTTATTACGATGGCATGCATCAACCAAGCTCAAACCACCCGCTCCCGTTAGTCACCTCTTACAACAAGCATGGGTTGCCGGAGACTGTAACTTCACGTGTCTGCTTAATGTGGGGAGGAAAAAACCCCGGCGTACAGCAGGCCTCGCGATCAACGAGAAAACATGAATGTGTACAAGATATACCGGGACGGTAGTTGCACTATGTTTGTAAATCAACGTCGGGAATTTTTCAATAAATACTCAACTTGGATTAGGTCAGCTTAATAAAGTAGAACGAACATTGTTTAACGCCTGGAACTGTATTTAATCCAGGCTGCGCGTTTTGAAAGAAGTGATCTAACAAGCTATGAATAATGGCTTCCCTACCCAGTTTAAATGCCTCTCACGACAAGCGGGCCCTCGTGACCTATTCCAATTCAATTTAATCGACAAAGGCATAGCGTATGACAGGTAATATGGAATGTAAACTTCTATGCTTGACTTGACAAGTTACCATATGTTTAAAGTTGAGCTTGGGTTTCTTTCACCTATGTATATTGATTGACTGTGACAATGCTAGCGCTCAGCAGTATCTGAACCCCCCAAATATTTACGTCACGGTAACATGCTTCCTGCTTTATCTCTTGACATTTAAGCCTTTGACAATTTGCACACTGCATGAACAAGCTTATGTAAACGCTGTGCTGTCGACGGTCTATATATCGATTCAAATGACAATGGATGCCGATAAGACATCTGAATATTGATTAGGTTTGATTGCAGAAGAACTATTAGACTAACAATTAGTCTCCGAACTGAACATATTTTACAGAAAAAACAGTTCATAATAAAACAAAATATATAATGAACAGGGACCCTAAGACTTTCCTTATTTTCAGAAACTGTGGAAATCTACACTTGCCACAAAATCTAGACTCGCAAGGGCTTTCTTTGATATACTTGTTTTTTGGTCAGTATGACAGACTATAGAACTATTTAAACATGAGAGAAGATATTGTGTAGACACACAACCAAGGAAAACTTAAAACTCTAAGAAAGGACAATATAATCAGCACGAAAAGTGATCTATCTGCTGCTTGTTGCCGTCTGCAGATAAAATTGTTGCAAGGTCAAGGACTTTCGTGATAAAACAACTGGTGGAGAGATAGTCAGAGCAACTGCTGCATTCGCAAAACTTTAAAAAATCTGATATCTGGTTACATCATAGTTTAGTCGCTATATAAATTCGTTCAGCAATTCTTTATCTGTTTCTTTTACCTGTCAATCAAACAATGGGATATGTCATGTTGACCTCCAACAAATGACTTGGATGAGTTCAAGCAGTCTATTATGTCGTCAGTGGAGATAATCCCATTGTGTTTTGAAATTTGATTTTGTCGTGTAGAAAAGAAGCCTCTCATTTATATACTGATACCTCGGGTTTAAGTGCTCGGAACGAGATAAGTCAGAACGCACTCTGCTGCTTTGATCCACCAAATAGACTGATATCCAGTTAATCTTTAAAAGGCACAGGTAGAGTCACTGTCTTTCGTGATATGAATAACTGATATCCCACCTGGTTAGTACATCATATCCGGTTATATCACATAGTGTAGTCACGATATAAATTCGTTCAGCAATACATCCCACTGTTTCTTTTACCTGCCAATCAAACAAAAGGATGTCATGTTGACCTCCAACAAATGACTTAGATGAGTTCAAACAGTGCAATTATGTAGCTCTTGTCGTCAGGGTAGAGTGGAGATAATCCTAATGTTCTGAAATTTGATGTTGTCCCACTGTAGAAAAGAAGCCTCATATTTATATATATTAATACCTCGGGCTTGGAATGAAATTAGTTTGTTTGATTGTTGTTTAACGCCGCACTCAGCAATATTACAGCTATATGGCGGCGGTCTGTCAATAACTGAGTCTGGACCAGACAATCCAGTGATCAACATCATGAACATCGGGTATACCAGTGCTGTTCCTGAATCGAGTTTCATTACACAGGCCAAGGCCAACTCAGAGGTGAAAGTTGATGTGAGGCCAAACTATGATCTGCTGAAAACCTGATCCATGTAAGAAGGAACCTGAGAATGTTGTTGATGGATGAGCAGATGCAGGGGGTCAGCCCTCTGGAGCTGTATTCCAGTGGGGAGAGGAGGATCAAGAACGATTAAGTTCGATTACAGAAGAACTATTAGACAAATAACAACTAGTGCCATTCAGAAATGATGACATGTCTTTTCGAAGTTTAACATAAGTTATATTTACAGGAAAAAAAGCTCATAGTAAAAAAATATATATATATATATAATGAAAAGGAGCGCTGAGACTTTTTTCATTTTCAGAAACTGTGGAAATCTAGACTTGGCATCATGGAGAAGCATAATCCGTATATTGATTACATGACGGATATCAGCAATTTCATTCACAAATCAAGAAATATGCCATTCAGATCCCCGTGACAATGTCTTTTCAAAGTTTACGGATAAAGTCACAAATGCCTACATCGTTGAGGTACACTGTTTTGAGCCTCATGATTTTTATTTCTCTGTTTGTTTCTTCATCATGGAAATCAAGGGTGACACAACAATGATAGTATCTTGGATTGTATTTTGCAACTGCCTTGTATAAATAGGGAGAATTTTTGAATGTGAGTGATTTCCCACTCCTGGTTGGAGAACGAAACAAAACATCTTCCACTTAAGTAGCTTTCAATCATTGTATTCTGACTTGGAAAAATGCTATGTATATTTGCTTTCATCCTCATCAAAGTTCCAATTCATTTTTATCCTGAGATGGAACACTGTTTGAAAACATCCCCTCTCCTCACCAGTGTAAAAGTCATCAGGTCTGTAGTGTAATCACACACGTTGTTTGTCTGGAGTGAGGGGACAGGCAGAAGCAGGAGGTCTTGACTCAGTGTGGGATCTTGGGGGGTGGTAGGGGAGGCTCCCCTGAGTTAATATTAAACACTGGTGACAGCCAGAGATCAACTGAGTCCCAAGGAGGGACACCCCACGCATCCCCAGGCGGGATAGGTCTGCCGAAATGCCAACAGGCGAAGGCGACCTCCAAAGCACCTAACCGAAGAAGAAGAAGAGATCAACTGATTATTACCAGCGCTATGCTCGCTTGTGAATTCAGCAGATTGGTACAGACCCGGTAATCTAGACTTGCTACATTTTCTAGACTTGTTTGGGCTTTCTTTGATATATTTGCTTCAGGGTCTGTGTGACAGACTATGTCCACCACAGCGAATATTTCACTTCGCAAACTGTACCTGATGGGCTAGTCTGTCGTACAGACCCTGAAGCAAATATATCCAAGAAAGCCCACGCAAGTCTCAGGGCTCCTTTTCATTATATATTTTTTTTTTTACTATGAACTTTTTTCAGTAAAATATGTTCATTTCAGAGACAAGTTGTTAGTCTACTGATGGGCAATCAAACCATTCTGCTCCTGGCAATAAGTCATTTCCATATTGAATCACACAGGATGAAAGTGTAATTTACATTGCATATTGCAGACATTCACCCACTTACCTGGCCGTAGTTGTGTTCAGAAGCAAACATGACTCCTCTGTGGATGGATGTTTGTCTGATTGTGTTCCTCGCCACCGTCGTCTCTGTTGGGTCCACACAAGCACATGTCCGAGTGAAGCGGAAGCCTGGAGACCGCCCTAAACCAGGTACATAACGGTAACAAAGCCTGGAGACCGCCCTAAACCAGGTACATAACGGTAATAAAGCCTGGAGACCGCCCTAAACCAGGTAAATAACGGTAATAAAGCCTGGAGACCGCCCTAAACCAGGTACATAACGGTAATAAAGCCTGGAGACCGCCCTAAACCAGGTAAATAACGGTAATAAAGCCTGGAGACCGCCCTAAACCAGGTACATAACGGTAATAAAGCCTGGAGAGACCGCCCTAAACCAGGTAAATAACGGTAATAAAGCCTGGAGACCGCCCTAAACAAGGTACATAACAGTAATAAAGCCTGGAGACCGCCCTAAACCAGGTACATAACAGTAATAAAGCCTGGAGACCGCCCTAAACCAGGTACATAACGGTAATAACGCCTGGAGAGACCGCCCTAAACCAGGTAAATAACTGTAATAAAGCCTGGAACCGCCCTAAACATAAACAGGCCTGGAGACCGCCCTAAACCAGGTAAATAACTGTATAACAGTAATAAAGCCTGGAGACCGCCCTAAACCAGGTAAATAACGGTAATTAAGCCTGGAGACCGCCTTAAACCAGGTACATACGGTAATAAAGCCTGGAGACCGCCTTAAACCAGGTAAATAACAGTAATAAAGCCTGGAGACCGCCCTAAACCAGGTAAATAACGGTAATAAAGCCTGGAGACCGCCTTAAACCAGGTAAATAACAGTAATAAAGCCTGGAGACCGCCCTAAACCAGGTAAATAACGGTAATAAAGCCTGGAGACCGCCCTAAACCAGGTACATAACAGTAATAAAGCCTTGAGACCGCCCTAAACCAGGTAAATAACAGTAATAAAGCCTGGAGACCGCCTTAAACCAGGTAAATAACGGTAATAAAGCCTGGAGACCGCCTTAAACCAGGTAAATAACGGTAATAAAGCCTGGAGACCGCCTTAAACCAGGTACATGCGTTAATAAAGCCTGGAAACAGCCCTAAACCAGGTAAATAACGGTAATAAAGCCTGGAGACCGCCTTAAACCAGGTAAATAACGGTAATAAAGCCTGGAGACCGCCTTAAACCAGGCAAATAACAGTAATAAAGCCTGGAGACCGCCCTAAACCAGGTAAATAACGGTAATAAAGCCTGGAGACCGCCTTAAACCAGGTAAATAACGGTAATAAAGCCTGGAGACCGCCTTAAACCAGGTACATGCGTTAATAAAGCCTGGAAACAGCCCTAAACCAGGTAAATAACGGTAATAAAGCCTGGAGACCGCCCTAAATAAAGCCAGGTCAATAACGGTAATAAAGCCTGGAGACCGCCTTAAACCAGGTAAATAACGGTAATAAAGCCTGGAGACCGCCCTAAACCAGGTACATAACAGTAATAAAGCCTTGAGACCGCCCAGGTAAACCAGGTAAATAACAGTAATAAAGCCTGGAGACCGCCTTAAACCAGGTAAATAACGGTAATAAAGCCTGGAGACCGCCTTAAACCAGGTAAATAACGGTAATAAAGCCTGGAGACCGCCTTAAACCAGGTACATGCGTTAATAAAGCCTGGAAACAGCCCTAAACCAGGTAAATAACGGTAATAAAGCCTGGAGACCGCCTTAAACCAGGTAAATAACGGTAATAAAGCCTGGAGACCGCCTTAAACCAGGCAAATAACAGTAATAAAGCCTGGAGACCGCCCTAAACCAGGTAAATAACGGTAATAAAGCCTGGAGACCGCCTTAAACCAGGTAAATAACGGTAATAAAGCCTGGAGACCGCCTTAAACCAGGTACATGCGTTAATAAAGCCTGGAAACAGCCCTAAACCAGGTAAATAACGGTAATAAAGCCTGGAGACCGCCCTAAACCAGGTCAATAACGGTAATAAAGCCTGGAGACCGCCTTAAACCAGGTAAATAACGGTAATAAAGCCTGGAGACCGCCCTAAACCAGGTACATACGGTAATAAAGCCTGGAGACCGCCCTAAACCAGGTAAATAACGGTAATAAAGCCTGGAGACCGCCTTAAACCAGGTACATGCGTTAAGAAAGCCTGGAGACCGCCCTAAACCAGGTAAATAACGGTAATAAAGCCTGGAGACCGCCTTAAACCAGGTAAATAACGGTAATAAAGCCTGGAGACCGCCCTAAACCAGGTACATACGGTAATAAAGCCTAGAAACAGCCCTAAACCAGGTAAATAACGGTAAAAAAGCCTGGAGACCGCCTTAAACCAGGTAAATAACGGTAATAAAGCCTGGAGACCGCCTTAAACCAGGTACATGCGTTAATAAAGCCTGGAGACCGCCCTAAACCGGGTAAATAACGGTAATAAAGCCTGGAGACCGCCTTAAACCAGGTAAATAACGGTAATAAAGCCTGGAGACCGCCCTAAACCAGGTACATACGGTAATAAAGCCTAGAAACAGCCCTAAACCAGGTAAATAACGGTAATAAAGCCTGGAGACCGCCTTAAACCAGGTAAATAACGGTAATATAGCCTGGAGACCGCCTTAAACCAGGTAAATAACGGTAATAAAGCCTGGAGACCGCCTTAAACCAGGTAAATAACAGTAATAAAGCCTGGAGACCGCCCTAAACCAGGTAAATAACGGTAATAAAGCCTGGAGACCTCCTTAAACCAGGTAAATAACGGTAATAAAGCCTGGAGACCGCCTTAAACCAGGTAAATAACGGTAATAAAGCCTGGAGACCGCCTTAAACCAGGTACATACGGTAATAAAGCCTAGAAACAGCCCTAAACCAGGTAAATTTACGGTAATAAAGCCTGGAGACCGCCTTAAACCAGGTAAATAACGGTAATAAAGCCTGGAGACCGCCCTAAGCCAGGTACATACGGTAATATAGCCTGGAAACAGCCCTAAACCAGAATAATAACAGAAATACAGACTTGTCTCTGCATGTGTTTGTGATTGATTTCAATTTTGCAAATTCGATTGGCTACAATGCTAGATCTATCGTACCCATCAGAATGAGAGTTACAAAGCAAGCACCGTCAACGTTATGTCGGCAGTGTCAGCAACTGGGGGTAAATGTCATTGATCATTACCGAGTTAGTGAGAATTTCGGTATTCAAAAACTGACTGTAACTGAAAATATTTAAATAAATATAAATTATCAGAAGTGAGTGAATGAGTTTAGTTTTACGCCGCTTTTAGCAATATTCCAGGATGGGATTGACACACTGTGCCCATGTGGGGAATCGAACCCGGGTCTTCGTCGTGACCGGCGAACGCCTTAACCACTGGGCTACCCCACCGCCCTTTGTAATGGATTGTCTGGTCCAGACTCTATTATTTACAAGACCACCGCCATATGGCTGGAATATAGCTGAGTGCGGCGTTAAACAACAAACCAACCAACCAACCAATCATCTTCATTGAAAAGAGCGGTGGCTTTGACTTCTAAGTAACACGAAATGTCTCTCTTTTTATTACCCACGTGGTCAACGTATGGGTAGTTGCATACTAATCTCGTACGTCACACGAGTGTCGTATCGCCTTGACCTGTGTCGTAACGACCTGACATGAGATTCTAACGATTTGATTGGATAACCGATGACCTCTCAATTAGGTTACGTTGTGACGGAACTACTTTTTCATTCATAACAAACACGTGAATTCATTCATTCTACAAATTAAATACATTGTGGGAATGTAAGCATTGCGAACGTTGCCGTATCGCTGTTTAATTGTGAGTCGAACTGAGACATTGTATGCGTCGAAAAACATAAACGCAATGTTTCCACCAGTGATGTTAGCCGAGTGAAGCAACCGAAAACCAAGTAAATGGTGCTACGGAGTAGTTTACTGTAGGAAGCTGTACGAGGCGATGACAACTGACATGCATCGTGACGTCGGTTACCAAGGGGACAGACGAGAATGGCTTAGTGACGTCAATACAGTGTGACGTCATGCAAAAGTGACTACAGAACAACAATTCTTCCGCAACCTCTTTATGAAACTGGTTTCGGTTTGAAACAATAAAAATAACAAAATTACGCTATTTTGTCAATTTAATGCATGTAAGACGTTGGTAATAAATAAAATACCACACTCGGTCTCATTACATACGAATTATACGAAACTCGTGACCTTCCTATGGTTTCTGACCGAGCGACACAGGTCAAGGCGATACGACACTCGTGTGACGTACGAGATTAGTATGCAACTACCCATACGTTGACCACGTGGGTAATACCTAGCAACAGTAAACATCAACTCTCCATTATATACAGCAGGTAAAAAATAATTATGCATTCAAGAAATATTAGAAACACAAATTTAAAAAGATAAACTAGTCTTGTTGGTGTAAAAAATATCCCGGATACCTGTCACATCAGCATCATCTTGCAAAAGTGAGTATGTTTTTACGCCGCATTCATCACTATTCCAGCAATATCACGGCCGTGGATACGAGAAATGGGCTTTAAACATAGTGCCCATGTCGGGAATCCAACCTGGGTCTTCGTCCTGACGAGTGAACGCTTTAACCACTAGGCCAGGCCGCCTCCCTTCTTCTTGTGAAAGCCACATCTTAAAAGAACTTTTTGTGTTTTTGATTTTCCAGGTCAGTGCCTCACCTTCAACAAAGGCGGCACTAGTGGATTCCATTATTACGCCTGCTGCAACAACATCAACGGAACCGACAAATCCTGCGATGGACGAACCTACCAGAGAGCGTCAACTACAAGCTACTGCAACTCCGGGGGAACGGACAACGGAAACGGGGTCATTAAGGCGGAGTTTGCCTGTGGGGGTTGTCCAGGCCAAGGGATTGTTGCTAAGAAATGCAAGCCAATGAAAATATTTAACATTCCTGGGACATGCTGGCTGTTCACGAAGTGTTTCAAAAAATATTGCAAAAAACGCTACAGTGTCCAGAGCAGCGGTTTAAATATGCAGGTTGTCGATCCATCTAGTACATCAATGCCTGACACCTGTTACAATACAGTGTGCGAGACTGGTGAAACTCCAGACAACTGCCCTGTAGACTGTTGCTTCAAGATGAACCCATCTCAGTGTACATGGGTTACCAATGGCACGTGCATTCCGGAGTTCTGTGACACACCTTCTTGCTCAGAAAGTGGTGGTACTGGGCTCTTCTCGGCCAAACACACATCCAATATTGGCGGGTTGGTTCTTGGGTTAGTGATACTGTCCCTATATATGCATGAGTATGAATGACGTTTTGTTTTGCATTCCGGAGTTCTGTGACACACCTTCTTGCTCAGAAAGTGGTGGTACTGGGCTCTTCTCGGCCAAACACACATCCAATATTGGCGGGTTGGTTCTTGGGTTAGTGATACTGTCCCTATATATGCATGAGTATGAATGACGTTTTGTTTCTTTGATTCTCGACTATTAAGAAACAGTTGTCACATTCTCATCCATATGCATTATGTTAGGAATCGAACCCGGACCTTTGGTAAAGCGAGTGAACGTCATAACGACTAGGCTAACATACCTTTCCAATTAAATGACATGTGAAAAAGGTAGGTTCATACTAATTGTCTCATTACTTTACAGGGCGGTGGTAAGGTTCACTAGGTTCTCTTGCGAGGCCAAATGCCTAGGTTCGATTCTCTACATGGTTACAATATGTTATGTCCATTCGTCATGTCTATCGTTTCCAGATACTGCTGAACTATCCTTCAAAACCATACCCACAAACTCATTCATTCAGAAAGAGAAATTGGTATCATCATTTTTATCCTCAGAAAGCAATAGATGACATTTGTAGATGTATAGAATGAAAATAATTATTCCCAGTATTCTCATTTTGAGACTGGTTTCACTCTTGGCACAGTCACCTGAGGCGCCATCAGTTGCGTTCAAATCCCTGTTTGTTTATCAAGGTTTGTCAGGAGCAAACATGTGGTTCACCTCGTGGAACACATCCATGACCCTCATCACTGTCCTCCCACATCCATGACCCTCATCACTGTCCTCCCACATCCATGACCCTCATCACTGTCCTCCCACATCCATGACCCTCATCACTGTCCTCCCACATCCATGACCCTCATCACTGTCCTCCCACATCCATGACCCTCATCACTGTCCTCCCACATCCATGACCATCATCACTGTCCTCCCACATCCATGACCCTCATCACTGTCCTCCCACGACCATGACCATCATCACTGTCCTCCCACATCGTGCTGGCACACAAATCCAGCCTCACAAAGTTGACATTCCATCAAGCAAGAATCAGGACTTCACGAAAAGAAAGCATTTGGAAGCCATCGAAATCCACCGCCACCAACCTTTGATCAACAGAGGCCAGTGACACTACATACCATCTGCCCAGGAAGAATTAATCAAGCTATATACTCTATCACCAACCTTTGATCAACAGAGGCCAGTGACACTACATACCATCTGCCCAGGAAGAATTAATCAAGCTATATACTCTATCACCAACCTTTGATCAACAGAGGCCAGTGACACTACATACCATCTGCCCAGGAAGAATTAATCAAGCTATATACTCTATCACCAACCTTTGATCAACAGAGGCCAGTGACACTACATACCATCTGCCCAGGAAGAATTAATCAAGCTATATACTCTATCACCAACCTTTGATCAACAGAGGCCAGTGACACTACATACCATCTGCCCAGGAAGAATTAATCAAGCTATATACTCTATCAACGCACCCTATCAGCCTATTGCTACTACTAATCCTCCTTGTTTATTGGCTTCGTCACCAGTGCTTTTTTGTTGTTCTTTGTTCTCCAACTGGCCTCTTCGTATTATGTACCACTTGTTATTGAATTACATGCTGTTGCTGATGTTAATCTGTTGTGGTTGTAGTCACCTTTAGCTTGATAACCATGTCAGAAGCTACATTGAAAAGTCGCTCTATGCAATAAACAAGAAGTTGTCATCCATAAAGTTGTATGTTTGATTTTTGACTCACAACTTCTATGATGCCGATCAAGAAATCACTCCCTGCTTGATAATGATGTAAGAACCTAAACCGAAAAAATGTAAGTTGTTCACTGGTCTCGAAGGGGACATGGGCTGATGTACCCTCGATTGTTGTTTGTGTTCCCTGAGCCCGAACATAAAGAAACATCGAGGGTACATCAACCCATGGGCCCGAGGGACCAGTGAACAGCGTATTTATCTTACCGAACACCTCAATGGTAATTTTGAACTGCTTGAAGCACGGGTATCGGATCATAGTATGGAGTATCAGACAAGAAAAACAAAAAAAAATTCAAGTTATCTCCTTTCCATCGATTTGCATCCGCCAAACATCGGTAATTTCCGTACATCATTACGTGATTCAATGTTATTCGATATAAAGAATTCCTACAACGAAGTACCAAATGAGTTCGGCATTCCCAGCGGGGTACATAGAAAATGTTACTCGCTTGTAAGCGGGGTACATTGAAAATAAGAGAAGAGTGGTCAGACAATCAGAAAACGACATTTATGTGTGAGGCATTATGTGTGAGTTTTTATCCATAGTCTGTTTAGGTGCTACACAGGTGCTATGGCTACTTGGTGGTTAGAGTCGAGGGTTGTGACGGACATGTGGAAGGGCTGAGAAGAGATCAGCAAAACAAGGTATCGTGTCTGTAAAACTGATTCAGATGATTCCAGTGAATCTTCTGCAGTCTTGGTTGCATCGTATTTAACCTTTGGAATCGAATGTTACACAATGTTAAGACAATGACAGTAAACTATGTTGATATCCAATAACAACTGATGGATATAAAATTTTATTCCCCTCCACTTGTTTCATAATATACTGTATATATATGTGTACAGGGCGTTGGGATAGCCTAGTGGTTAAAGCGTTCGCTCGTCACGCCGAAGACCCAGTTCGATTCCCCACATGGATACAATGTGCGAAGCCTGTTTCTGGTGTCTCCCGCCGTGATATTGCTGGAATATTGCTAAAGCGGCATAAAATTAAATTCACTCACACACTAGTGTAAAAGGTCATCACAATCAGCAATGGGAGAAATTTACATTGCAGCTGGATTCACTCGGTCACGAGACTATCACATTACACAAGAATATCCTGCATAATGATGTTCGTCTACAGGCAACTGTATGCTAATTTCTGCTAACCATTATTGCGATGTAAGGACTAATTTCGGGGTGATTAGTCGTGACGTACACTGTGAACTCAAGCGATATCACTACAGCAATTAACATGTCTTTCATTCATTCCGCACATTTCGCGGGAAACAGAGAATGAGTGAGTGTGTTTAGTTTTATGCCGCACTCAGCAATATTCCAGCTACATGGCGGCGGTCTGTAAATAATCGAGTCTGGACCAGACATTCCAGTGATCAACAGCATGAGCATCGATCTGGGATACGATGACATGTGTCAACCAAGTCAGTGAGTCTGACCACCCGATCCCGCCTCTTACCACAAGCATGGTTTACCGAAGACCAATTCAAACCCGGATCTTCATGGGTTCGCAGAGAATACAGTGAATATGACGTGAATATATGCAGTGTTTCTGCGGCGCTAAAACACAAGCTCGGCCATCAGTCATAAACAATTGAAACGTCCAGCGACGTCGACCTAGATGCTTTGTGCTCTGGTGGTGTAACTTGTAAATTGTGAAACTACCAAACTGCATCCGCTCACATTGGGGAATTTTGAATTGGAATAGTTTGGTTCACCATGAACATAAAATAACGAAAATATAGCGTCCGTATCCACAACAAATTCTCTCCAAGTTATCTGAGTAACATTGACCTTGTGTTAGGCGTACGTAGTTATGCCCCCTTATCATTATACGTGTATGACCTCTCTGTCGTCGTTTGACGTCATAGAAGAAAATCCATTTTTGACATTTATTGTGAGTCATTTTTAATGTTGAGCGTATAACGTTATGCACAAGCACATAAACCCAATTCATATACACTTATGTCGTTCAGATATCAGGCTGAATTTTCTTCGCTCACACTTTCCGTAAAGATGCCAACTTAAAATAATCGTAGCACAGTGCTTTTATCGATGCGCGATAAAAAGCGAATAAATTTACTGTTTTTTAACGCATAACAAACTTTGGACAACATTTAGCAAGGTCTATTTCTCAAACCGCCAAGGCAGTTGCACTTATATTTATACCAACGGATAGGAAATTTAATATCCTACATTTCTGTGTAATTTTATAGCCGGTACGTAGATCCAGGACCACGCGAGCGCAGTTCTCGCACAACGTTCTCTTTTCAAACCGTATGAAAATGTGCGCCTGAACACAGTCTAAGTAAACTTAGCCTCAGTATTATTCGTTACCCTACTATACTGAGGAGAGGAGTGTAACGAATAGTATTGAGACTAAGTTTACTTAGACTGCGCCTGAACAAGAACTCGGCATCCAGTTTTGTTGTCAAATAACGTGAAGCGGGTGACGTCACGCTCCATAATGACGTCATAAATCTTGTTCAATGACCTATAAGCGTGTTGGGTCAACAGACCGTGTCTTTTTTAACACAAATTCCATATTATAATAGGGGAGTTAATTGAAGACCTAGGGCTTCTACAAAGATAATGCCCTGGAAAACAGCGTTACCCCTATAGTGTAGGGATACATTCAAATGTTTTGGTGCTGCTGATTATAAGTTTGGAAATGTACTTCCCATCAAAAGTTTACACTCACTAGTGTAAATATAGTCAACTGTTCTAAACTAAAGGTTTGCAGTTGGTTCCCCCAAGTTAGTCAGGCGCGTAGCAAGCCAATTTTTTCATGTAAGCCCATACCTCGCAAAGCTATGTATTTAGATAGTATTGAGGTAGATAGTATTGAGGGCTTGCCCAACCTTTTTAGCAACAATCATGTGTAAGCCCGAGCTTTTTTTTCAAAATGGAAGCTACGCCCCTGTTAGTGGGAAAAAATCCATGTAACCATGTATATATACATAACCTACAGTGAGTGTTTTCAGTGAGTCTAAACTTTTGATGGGAAGTATATACAGCACTGACCAATCAGAACTCGTGTTACATACCAAGTTGAATTAGAATTGCTTATAACCAACGAAATCAATTGATTATAGAGATGTAAGAACAGCTCATGCTGTTGATCACTGGACTGTCTGGTCTAGACCCGATTATTTACAGACTGCTACCATATAGCGGGAATATTGCCGAGTTCGGTATAAAACTAACTCTCTTATTCTGAGCAACGATCCTCCATTCCAACTTTGGAGTTCAACATTCAAATTCATCAATGCCTCCATTCACACAGTTTACTGTACCCACTTAGGCTCATCATCATTCTTGTTTATATAATTATATAATGTTTGTAAATGATGACCGCTACAAAATATCGAAACCATTCTCGATGTCCATTTGGAAAAACTGTTTTTGATTCAGCAACAGTCCTAATCTCCGTATTTGGTAAAACTTCAATGTTTTCTTTATCATAACATTGAAATCCTGAACTACAAGTGCCCTTTCCAGGACGACACCTTCCAGCCATACATGGTACTTGTTTTATGACAGGGCAAGATGGAGCTTTCTTTCTTTAAATAATAAAGGAAAGCTAATTGTTAACAAGAGGGACCAACGAGCAAAAGCACTCTAGAGAGTATATGTATATGTGGGGTAAAATGAATGACAAGCAATGATTATTATTGTTTATTAGCTATAAGTGTGATGTTTCTTGGCGATATGTTCTCCTGGAATATTGGTACGAGCTGAGCAGCAACTCCGTGTTCCATGAGGTAGGCGTGTCTGTCCAGTTGAAGCAGTGTCTCCAGGACTGGCTGAACTAGCACCTGCAGACACTGACAGAACAGAACATAGAACCTAAGTACAAGCACCTGTAGACACTGGTAGAACAGAACATAGAACTTTAGTACAAACACCTGCAGACACTGGTAGAACAGAACATAGAACTTAAGTACAAACACCTGCAGACACTGGTAGAACAGAACATAGAACTTTAGTACAAACACCTGTAGACACTGACAGAACAGAACATAGAACTTTAGTACACACACCTGTAGACACTGGTAGAACAGAACATAGAACTTTAGTACAAACACCTGCAGACACTGACAGAACAGAACATAGAACTTTAGTACAAACACCTGTAGACACTGGTAGAACAGAACATAGAACTTTAGTACAAACACCTGTAGACACTGGTAGAACAGAACATAGAACTTTAGTAGACACTGGTAGAACAGAACATAGAACTTAGTACAAACACCTGCAGACACTGACAGAACAGAACATAGAACTTTAGTACAAACACCTGTAGACACTGGTAGAACAGAACATAGAACTTTAGTACAAACACCTGTAGACACTGGTAGAACAGAACATAGAACTTTAGTACAAACAACTGTAGACACTGACAGAACAGAAAATAGAACTTTAGTACAAGCACCTGTAGACACTGGTAGAACAGAACATAGAACTTTAGTACAAACACCTGTAGACACTGGTAGAACAGAACATAGAACTTTAGTACAAGCACCTGTAGACACTGGTAGAACAGAACATAGAACTTTAGTACAAACACCTGTAGACACTGGTAGAACAGAACATAGAACTTTAGTACAAACACCTGTAGACACTGGTAGAACAGAACATAGAACTTTAGTACAAACACCTGTAGACACTGGTAGAACAGAACATAGAACTTTAGTACAAGCACCTGTAGACACTGGTAGAACAGAACATAGAACTTTAGTACAAACAACTGTAGACACTGACAGAACAGAACATAGAACTTTAGTACAAACACCTGCAGACACTGGTAGAACAGAACAGAGAACTTTAGTACAAACACCTGTAGACACTGGTAGAACAGAACATAGAACTTTAGTACAAACACCTGTAGACACTGGTAGAACAGAACATAGAACTTTAGTTCAAACAACTGTAGACACTGGTAGAATAGAACTTTAGTACAAACACCTGCAGACACTGACAGAACAGCACATAGAACTTTAGTACAAACAACTGTAGACACTGACAGAACAGCACATAGTACAAGCACCTGTAGACACTGGTAGAACAGAACATAGAACTTTAGTACAAGCACCTGCAGACACTGACAGAACAGAAAATAGTACAAGCACCTGTAGACATAACATAAAACATAATCATATAGCCCCAAAGAACACAATAATGTTTAGTACAGTGGAGTCTGCCAGAAGATAATCTAGAGCACTATCAAGGAGTTGTGGTATCTACAGACACCTACGGTGTTGGTTAAACAATTCCAACTGTTCTGATCAACAACTACTTACAGTAATGACCTCCACATAGCAGAAGTGTGGCTTGTGTCTGGCGTACAACTCTTGGAGGTGACGCAGATATTCAGCTCTGACCTCACTGCCGACATCTTGAAGGAACAAACGAACAACAGTCTATGACATGTAATGACGATGCTGAAAGAAAACACAAGGGAGATAACTCCTGAAGCAAGCGTTTTCAATTCTTGCCGCTCACACTTCAGACTATAGTAACTGGTCACAAATGGCTAATTCTTTCAATGTTTTGAGTGTACAGTGCATTCTCCTGAGTAAACCTGAAGTCCTACAGCAAAACTTGCCAACACATTCACAACACTACTGTCTATCTCTTGTCAATCATTCAGTCTGGACAGACTATACTTGACATATTGCATGCAATATTGCCTGAAACAGCAAGTTATTTTTGTCTATATTACAGAACGCTACAGCACTTGTAATGATGGACTGGGAGACTTACCATGACCTGTGACGATGGGCTGGGAGACTTACCATGATGTGACAATGGGCTGGGAGACTTACCATGATGTGACAATGGGCTGGGAGACTTACCATGATGTGACAATGGGCTGGGAGACTTACCATGATGTGACAATGGGCTGGGAGACTTACCATGATGTAACGATGGGCTGGGAGACATACCATGATGTGACAATGGGCTGGGAGACTTACCATGATGTGACAATGGGCTGGGAGACTTACCGAGACCTGTGACGATGGGCTGAGAGACTTACCGAGATCTGTGATAATGGGCTGGGAGACTTACCAAGACCTGTGACTATGGACTGGGAGAAAGCATCAAAGCTGGAGAAGTCTGCCTTCCTGATGACTTTTCTGTCCAGTTGGTTGACCTTAGCTGTCACAAGAGTGAGTGAGTGAGTTTGGATTAATCCTTATCTGAACTGTACAAGGAAGGTTTACGCATGACACATATAGGTGAATTGTAAACAGCATACTTCATCAATATTTCATCAATAGTCTCCCCTTCCAAGTCCTGAACCACCCTCTAAAATGTATTAGGTTATTAAATATTTACTATCAACTGACCTTCCATACAGAACAGTTCCAGTATCCCTCTGTAAGCAACATGTCTCACATGGGTGTCATGATCTGCCTCAGTCTGAGCCCTCCACCGAGACCTGGCAACAACATCTGACAGTCAACACTATACAGTTAAAGGCGAATACTGGACAATTGCAATAATTTGCTGGGTGAAAGATAAAGTCATCAGAAACATGTATCCCAATTTTTATTTCAAAAATATGGTTTATTATGTTTTTATCGCGAAAACAGTTTCTGTTATCGGAGCTTCAGCCATTATGCATATTCCGCTGGAATTCACGTGACCTTTCCGCTCATGACGTAATATGTGACAAGCGTCCGCCATATTACCAAATAACAAGCGCTACAGCTATAAAAATCATGTTGTTTCTGTCGTTTTTGTAAATGGTACATAGAGAATACTACACGAGGTCTCATTACATACGCATTATACGAAACGAGTGTCTTTCCTATGGTATCTGACTGAGCGAAAGCGAGGTCAGAAACCATAGGAAGGTCACGAGTTTCGTATAATTCGTATGTAATGAGACTGAGTGTGGTATTTTATTTATTACCCACGTCTTACATGCATTAAATTGATAAAATAGCGTAGTTTTGGTATTGTTGTGGTTTCAAACCGAAACCGGTTTCATAAAGACTACGCCATTCTCGCCTGTCCCCTTGGTAACCGACGTCACGATGCATGTCAGTTGTCATCACCTCGTACAGCCTCCTACAGTAAACTACTCCGTAGCACCCTGTTGCTTGGTTTGCAACTGCTTCACTCGGCTAACATCACTGGTGGAAACATTGCGTTTATGTTTTTCGACGGATATAATGTCTCAGTTCGACTCACAATTAAACAGCATCACAGCAACGTTCGCAATGCTTACATTCCCACAATGCATCTAAATTGTAGAATGAATGAATTCACGTGTTTGTTAAGAATGAACAAGTAGTTCCGTCACAACATGACCTAACTGAGAGGTCATCGGTTATCCAATAAAATCGTTAGAATCTCAGGTCAAGTTGTTACAACACAGGTCAACGCGATACGACACTCGTGTGACGTACGAGATTAGTATGCAACTTCCCAAACGTTGACCACGTGGGTAATAAAAAGGTGTATTCCGTTGCCTGGGGGTGCACGGAATCATCAAACAATGGAAAGAGACAACATTTCTTCCGTTTTCCAAGTAAAGAGACAGATTTAGGCAGGAGAAATGCTCCGATCATTCCGAGTCAGAGGTATATGAAACTCATTGAAAGAGACATGCACATATGGGATATGAAAATCCAAAAGCTAGGCTGAAGAAGGAAAAAGTACCCACGAGATTCATTTATACTCAATCATACCCTGTTACAACCTACTGTCAGTGGTATTTGTAAATAAATTAGATTACAGTCTGATTGCCAGTTGCATTTCCCCTGCTACAAATTACCCCAGCAAATTTGGTCAAATTGCCCCAGAGTTTTGTTCAAATTGCCCCAGGGTGTAGTCAAAATGCCCCAATTTATTTAAAATGATTAAATACAGGCCATAAATGCATAGTTTTGTCAACTTTGATATTAGGTTCTTCATATAAAAGTATATACACAGTTATGAGTTTAGTAATGGAACATTTACCAGAATTGAGATATATACGCCTATTATCAAAATCAGTGAGAGATTTCACATAAGCTTGAAAATGTTTCGCTATAACGTTCTTTTCGGTTTGGACCCCTAAATGCTGCCGTCCACCCGAAACATTGCCGAATACAATGGCAAATCATGATGTACTTGTTGCTTTCATTGTTTTCCATTTGTCCAATTACGCACGTCGGCATCAAACTCGCTATTTGTCAGTAGTGTGTGCCGTGAAGGTTTTTCTGTATTCTCTTTGGCTGACAAGATGTCATTCTAAGGCTATGACCGAGTACCATAACTATTTCCATAGCCCCAAACTAGGGAAACATACATTGTCCTGACTAGTATTTTATAATTCACCATTTTTCGGGGAATAACGTCGCGAATATTAGCTCTGCTCGACCAGGCTGGGATCTTGTATGGATACTTGATACGTTATTAATGAGAACTAGGATCCTAATTTTTTTTAAGAAAATATTTCCAGTGTAATTTTTGTAGCAGATAATATCTATTTTCCCCCGTCAGAACCATAATTATTTTGTTTTTAAATCCCAGACACCCTACAGTCACCCATTTGACACAAAAGGAACTGTAAAAGCATTTTGCTGACAAATAGTATTCTTGTTAAATGATATGGTCTATTTTTAAATCTATTTTGACCTCAAGCAGAGCCTCCGTTTCGTTCGATTCTTCTTCTTCATCTTCAGAGGAAGATTGTCTTGCAAGATGTGAAATCGGATCGCATTGATACGGTCTAACATCCATTTTAGAAATGACATCAGGAACATCTTTTACTGCTTCAGAATCCATGGACACTGTTAACACTATCAGACAGTTGACTATATCAGACAGTTAACACTGTAGTTAACAAAATCAGACAGTTAACACTATGTAGTTAACAACATCAGACAGTTAACACTACGTAGTTAACAACATCAGACAGTTAACACTATGTAGTTAACATCAGACAGTTAACACTATGTCGTTAACAACATCACAGTTAACACTATGTAGTTAACAATATCAGACAGTTAACACTATGTAGTTAACAACATCAGACAGTTAACACTACGTAGTTAACAACATCAGACAGTTAACACTATGTAGTTAACAACATCACAGTTAACACTATGTAGTTAACAACATCAGACAGTTAACACTATGTCGTTAACAACATCACAGTTAACACTATGTGGTTAACAACATCAGACAGTTAACACTATGTAGTTAACAACATCAGACAGTTAACACTATGTAGTTAACAACATCAGACAGTTAGCACTATTTAGTTAACAACATCAGACAGTTAACACTATGTAGTTAACAACATCAGACAGTTAACACTATATAGTTAACAACATCAGACAGTTAACACTATGTAGTTAACAACATCAGACAGTTAACACTATGTAGTTAACAACATCAGACAGTTAACACAACGTAGTTAACAACATCAGACAGTTAACACTATGTAGTTAACATCAGACAGTTAACACTATGTCGTTAACAACATCACAGTTAACACTATGTAGTTAACATCAGACAGTTAACACTATGTCGTTAACAACATCACAGTTAACACTATATAGTTAACAACATCAGACAGTTAACACTATGTAGTTAACAACATCAGACAGTTAACACTATGTAGTTAACAACATCAGACAGTTAACACTACATAGTTAACAACATCAGACAGTTAACACTATATAGTTAACAACATCAGACAGTTAACACTATGTCGTTAACAACATCAGACAGTTAACACTATGTAGTTAACAAGATCAGACAGTTAACACTATGTAGTTAACAATATCAGAAATTAACACAATATAGTTAACAACATCAGACAGTTAACACTATGTAGTTAACAACATCAGACAGTTAACACTATATAGTTAACAACATCAGACAGTTAACACTATGTAGTTAACAATATCAGAAATTAACACAATATAGTTAACAACATCAGACAGTTAACACTATGTAGTTAACAACATCAGACAGTTAACACTATGTAGTTAACAACATCAGACAGTTAACACTATATAGTTAACAACATCAGACAGTTAACACTATGTAGTTAACAACATCAGACAGTTAACACTATATAGTTAACAACATCAGACAGTTAACACTATGTAGTTAACAACATCAGACAGTTAACACTATGTAGTTAACAACATCAGACAGTTAACACTATGTAGTTAACAACATCAGACAGTTAACACTATGTAGTTAACAACATCAGACAGTTAACACTATATAGTTAACAACATCAGACAGTTAACACTATGTCGTTAACAACATCAGACAGTTAACACTATGTAGTTAACAACATCAGACAGTTAACACTATGTAGTTAACAACATCAGACAGTTAACACTATGTAGTTAACAACATCAGACAGTTAACACTATGTCGTTAACAACATCAGACAGTTAACACTATGTAGTTAACAACATCAGACAGTTAACACTATGTAGTTAACAACATCAGACAGTTAACACTATGTAGTTAACAACATCAGACAGTTAACACTATGTAGTTAACAACATCAGACAGTTAACACTATGTAGTTAACAACATCAGACAGTTAACACTATGTAGTTAACAACATCAGACAGTTAACACTATGTAGTTAACAACATCAGACAGTTAACACTATGTAGTTAACAACATCAGACAGTTAACACTATATAGTTAACAACATCAGACAGTTAACACTATGTAGTTAACAACACGAGACAGTTAACACTATTTAGTTAATAACATCAGACAGTTAACACTATGTAGTTAACAACATCAGACAGTTAACACTATGTAGTTAACATCAGACAGTTAACACTATGTAGTTAACAACATCAGACAGTTAACTATATTTAGTTAACAACATCAGACAGTTAACACTATGTAGTTAACAACATCAGACAGTTAACACTATGTAGTTAACAACATCAGACAGTTAACACTATGTAGTTAACAATATCAGAAATTAACACAATATAGTTAACAACATCAGACAGTTAACAACATCAGACAGTTAACACTATTTAGTTAACAACACGAGACAGTTAACACCATGTAGTTAACAACATCAGACAGTTAACACTATTTAGTTAACAACATCAGACAGTTAACACTATGTCGTTAACAACATCAGACAGTTAACACTATGTAGTTAACAACATCAGACAGTTAACACTATGTAGTTAACAACATCAGGCAGTTAACACTATGTAGTTAACAACATCAGACAGTTAACACTATGTCGTTAACAACATCAGACAGTTAACACTATGTAGTTAACAACATCATGTGTTAACACTATGTAGTTAACAACATCAGACAGTTAACACTATGTAGTTAACAACATCAGATTACAGTTAACACTATGTAGTTAACAACATCAACACTATCAGACAGTTAACACTATGTCGTTAACAACATCAGACAGTTAACACTATGTAGTTAACAACATCAGACAGTTAACACTATGTAGTTAACAACATCAGACAGTTAACACTATGTAGTTAACAACATCATCAGACACAGTTAACACTATATAGTTAACAACATCAGACAGTTAACACTATGTAGTTAACAACACGAGACAGTTAACACTATTTAGTTAATAACATCAGACAGTTAACACTATGTAGTTAACAACATCAGACAGTTAACACTATGTAGTTAACATCAGACAGTTAACACTATGTAGTTAACAACATCAGACAGTTAACTATATTTAGTTAACAACATCAGACAGTTAACACTATGTAGTTAACAACATCAGACAGTTAACACTATGTAGTTAACAACATCAGACAGTTAACACTATGTAGTTAACAATATCAGAAATTAACACAATATAGTTAACAACATCAGACAGTTAACAACATCAGACAGTTAACACTATGTAGTTAACAACACGAGACAGTTAACACCATGTAGTTAACAACATCAGACAGTTAACACTATTTAGTTAACAACACGAGACAGTTAACACCATGTAGTTAACAACATCAGAAATTAACACAATATAGTTAACAACATCAGACAGTTAACACTATGTAGTTAACAACATCAGACAGTTAACACTATATAGTTAACAACATCAGACAGTTAACACTATTTAGTTAACAACATCAGACAGTTAACACTATGTAGTTAACAACATCAGACAGTTAACACTATGTAGTTAACAATATCAGAAATTAACACTATATAGTTAACAACATCAGACAGTTAACACTATGTAGTTAACAATATCAGAAATTAACACTATATAGTTAACAACATCAGACAGTTAACACTATGTAGTTAACAACATCAGACAGTTAACACTATGTAGTTAACAACATCAGACAGTTAACACTATTTAGTTAACAACACGAGACAGTTAACACTATTTAGTTAACAACATCAGACAGTTAACACTATGTAGTTAACAATATCAGAAATTTAACACTATGTAGATAACAACACGAGACAGTTAACACTATTTAGTTAACAACATCAGACAGTTAACACTATGTAGTTAACAACATCAGACAGGTAACACTATTTAGTTAACAACATCAGACAGTTAACACTATGTAGTTAACATCAGACAGTTAACACTATGTAGTTAACAACATCAGACAGTTAACACTATGTAGTTAACAACATCAGACAGTTAACACTATATAGTTAACAACATCAGACAGTTAACACTATGTAGTTAACAATATCAGAAATTAACACTATATAGTTAACAACATCAGACAGTTAACAATATCTGACCATTAACAATATGACAGTTAACACTATATAGTTAACAACATCAGACAGTTAACAATATCTGACAGTTAACAAATCTGGCAGTTAACAATACATGTATATGACAGTTAACAATATACAACAGTTAACACTGTACAGGTAACAATATCAGAGTCTTAACAACATACACTTAACAATATACAACAGTTAACAGTATCAGACAGTTTACAATATACAGTCAACTACTTGAGTATATGAGTAAAACAACATTTGGTCAAAATCAGACAGTTAACAATATAAAGTTATCAACATAAAGTTAACTGACTGACTGACTGACTGAGTTTGGTTTTACGCCGCTTTTAGCAATATTCCAGCAACATCACGGCGGGGGACACCAGAAATGGGCTTCACACATTGTGCCCATGTGGGGACTCGAACCCGGGTCTTCGGCGTGACGAGCCAACGCTTTAACCATTAGGCTACCCCACCGCCCCCCATAAAGTTAACAATATCAGTCAATCTGCAACATAGTCAATAATATATGTCAGTTAACAAGATAAAGTCAACAATATCAGACAGTAAACAATACAAGACAGTTAACAATATCAAATCAACAGTTACAGCCAGATAACACAACAGTCAACAGTAGCAGTTAACAGTAAAGTTAACAATAAGAGACACTAGAAGAAGACCACATATCTAGTCTCAAGAAGACCACATATCTAGTCTCAAGGAGACCATAGACCACATATCTAGTCTCAAGGAGACCACATACCTAGTCTCAAGGAGACCACATACCTAGTTTCCTGGGCTGCAAGTCTGAAGCTGACAGGGCGAAGGCTCCAGGCAGGGTGTTGTAGTTTCAGATCTGTGTAGGCTGTCAGACAATCCTCGCTCAGAGGAAAACTGTTGAACCTGTTGCTCTCTGAATAGAAATACTTGGGTGTTATTGTTCAAAACAGGTCTGTTGTAGGTCTGTGTTAAGGTATAAGAGTTAAGCGGCCTCTACACGGCAAACTAAAGTTTGACAACATATGACAACATATGTTGTCTAACTCGAATTTGAGAGTGTGAACATTCCAACAACTCGCCACCAACACCAATTTCAAAGTTGTCAAACTGTTGTTGAGAAATAGGATCGGTCTCTATACTCATCCAACTTTTCCATCAAACTTTCGGTTTGTCAAACTGAGTTTGAAGTGTGAAGAGTTGTCAAACTCGTGTTGTTCAGAAACAACCAATCGCAGCCAACGAAATTGTCATGTAACCACACCAATAGAGACATGGCGCTCAAAATGACAGGAAAGCTTGACAACATGTGTTTGACGTGTGAAAACGCGAGTTTGACAACTTTAAAATTTTTCCAAACATGTGTTGTCAAACTTTTGTTTGCCGTATGAAGGCCGCTTTAGAATCACCTTAGCGCTAAGATCACTTTGCAGAATGACCCCCTTACTGAAGGACCAATTAAGATTGCTTCAAAATGTGGAGAGCCATCATGTATATCTATCATTGTTTGGCTGGATTTGTTATTTTCTATTTGGTTAATTTCTTCAAAAATTACTGAAAAGAGCTTTTCAGAGAAATTACTTTCTCTGCCCTCACTCCTTCCTGAGTTACTGTTAACTGTACAAGCCATATATGAGTTGGCTAACAGGTATTCATCGCGACCTGCTCAGAGGTCGATACATGACCCCAAGTCAACAACAAATGATACTCAAAATTCCTCAAAATTTAGGAAAATAACTGGAAATAAATCAAAATTTCAACAATATCTCCATTTTATCCAAATTTTCTTGCCAAGGGCTCATAGTTTTGATTCTTAGATGAATCCCTTACAGACTGACAGTCAGCAGACGACATACCACGACATAAGCTCACTTGACATCAGTCAGATGAGATGAATAAACTGGATGAAATTCTAATAATATAGTACTGTGGTCTACCTTCACTGAAGGACATCTTGTGATAACAGCAGCTGACCAGACACAATGACCGCATGCTGGACATATGCAGGAAGTACCAAAGCATTGTGGGAGTTAGATCCCCGCAGCAGTGAAGGCCGATCATACACACACGTCTCTCTTCTGATGAAGATACCTCAACAGGAACATCACCAGTTTCAGGATATCCTTGCCGGATGTCATTATTGTGCAAGTTTGGTGTTGTATGAGTTGATTCATTTCCATCTTGACACATTCCTGATACAATTGCAACAGTTTCCGCTTTGTTATCAGACACATCATTGTGATCAAAGACATAACTTCCAAGACACCTCTCTGGACACACATGCTTCCCAGAATACATATCGTCCAAATTTGGGATCTCATCTTGAGCAAGGGCACCTGCTTGGCATTTTCTGTCCTTTTCAGATATGAGTTTTGAATCAACTTGACGTGGATTGTTAACTGCTTTCTGTGAATGAACACAAGGCTTTAGATTTCTGACCGCCTCAGACACTCTGTCTTGAAATGTGGTGAGATGTTCCCGTGTTTGTTCAAGGTTGAAGGCCACATTGCAAATACAGCCATATTGGAGATCTGAAAATATTCAGTTGGAGTTAGTGAGTGAGTGACTTTAGTTTTATGCCACAATTAGCAATATTCCAGCAATATCAGAAATGTTGGATACATGCAAAAGTTTAAAACAAATCATGCATGGAATATTAAAATTGCTTGCACACGATTGTACCCATTATATTTAAGTTGGTTTTGATTAGGTATGACATAAGGCAGAATCAAGCACTTTAACAACTAGAAAGCTGGGTATCCAACTGCCCCACACATATTCTTATCCTGGAGCTCTGCAAAAAAACTCAGATCCTTAGAATAGGTTATCATTTGAATAGACATTTTTAATTTTCCTGGGTGGTTTGAGGGTGTTTTTGTGACTGTTGCAGGGCAAGGAGTTATTCTGCAGACGAGATCCCAGGCTTGTCAGCTGCATGACAGTTTGGTCATGTGGGCAGGGTGTCGGATCTCAGATCAGAATGTCCATGGTTCGAATCCCAACATGTCCAGTACATAAGACACAAATATATTTTTGAGTATACCTACTTCAAGACAAAAAATGTTTTTTTGAAGCAACATTTCTTCAAGTAACAGAATTAATAAAGCAATAGAGGTGGCCGTACTGAAACAATCCTTTTAAAAAATATACTTAATGGCATATTGGCCTTTTGAAAGACATGCCACCAAAATAAAATGTATAGTGACAAATTTTGCTTTAATAAACAGTCACATCATGACATACAGATTAGTTTATCATTTCTACAGTAAACTAAATATAAAGGATATTAGTTCATTATATCTGTAGTAAGTTATGAGAGAGTGAGTTTAGTTTTACGTCGCTTTTAGCAATATTCCAGCAATATCACGATTGGGGACACCAGAAATGGGCTTCACACATTGTACCCATGTGGGGAATCGAACCCTGCTCTTTGGCGTGACGAGCGAACGCTTTAACCACTAAGCTACCCCCAACGCCCTGTTTGCATTATGAAGCAAGTGGAGGGGACTAAAATATTATATCCATCAGTTTGTTATTGGATATCAACATAGTTTACTGTCATTGCCTTAACACGTAACACATTTGATTCCAAAGGTTAAATAGGATGCAACCAAGACTGCAGAAGATACACTGGAATCACCTGAATGACTGACTGACTGAGTTTGGTTTTACGCCGCTTTTAGCAATATTCCAGCAACATCACGGCGGGGGACACCAGAAATGGGCTTCACACATTGTACCCATGTGGGGATTCAACCCGGGTCTTCGGCGTTACGAGCCAACGCTTTAACCACTAGGCTACCCCACCGCCCTTCACTTGAATCAGTTTTACAGACATGATACCTTGTTTTGCTGATCTCTTCTCAGCCCGTTCCACATGTCCATCACAACCCTCGACTCCAACCACCGAGTAGCCATAGCACTTGTGTAGCACCTGGTCCAGGTAACCCTGGTGACAAACAGATCATATACTACCTGTAGACTATCAGGAAATGACACACCTGTACAGCACCTGGCCCAGGTAACCCTGGTGACAAACAGATCATATACTACCTGTAGACTATCAGGAAATGACACACCTGTACAGCACCTGGCCCAGGTAACCCTGGTGACAAATAGATCATATACTACCTGTAGACTATCAGGAAATGACACACCTGTACAGAACCTGGCCCAGGTAACCCTGGTGACAAACAGATCATATACTACTGTAGACTATCAGGAAATGACACACCTGTACAGAACCTGGCCCAGGTAACCCTGGTGACAAATAGATCATATACTACTGTAGACTATCAGGAAATGACACACCTGTACAGCACCTGGCCCAGGTAACCCTGGTGACAAATAGATCATATACTACCCAGACTATCAGGAAATGACACACCTGTACAGCACCTGGTCCAGGTAACCCTGGTGACAAACAGATCATATACTACCTGTAGACTATCAGGAAATGACACACCTGTACAGCACCTGGCCCAGGTAACCCTGGTGACAAATAGATCATATACTACCATAGACTATCCCCAAATAGATCATATACTACTGTAGACTATCAGGAAATGACACACCTGTAAGCACCTGGCCCAGGTAACCCTGGTGACAAATCATATACAAATACATATACTGTAGACTATCAGGAAATGACACACCTGTACAGCACCTGGTCCAGGTAACCCTGGTGACAAATAGATCATATACTACCCGTAGACTATCAGGAAATGACACACCTGTACAGCACCTGGCCCAGGTAACCCTGGTGACAAATAGATCATATACTACCCTGGTGACAAATAGATGTAGACTATCAGGAAATGACACACCTGTACTATCAGCACCTGTAATAGCACCTGGCCCAGGTAACCCAAACAGATCATATACTTACTGACAAATAGATCATGGTGACAAACAGATCATATACTACTGTAGACTATCAGGTAGAATGAAATGACACACCTGTACAGAACCTGGCCCAGGTAACCCTGGACTGACAAATAGATCATATACTACCTGTAGACTATCTACACACCTGTACAGAACCTGGCCCAGGGTAACCTGGTGACAAACAGATCATATACTACCTGTAGACTATCAGAAATAAATGACACCTGGCCCAGGTAACCCTGGTGACAAGCAGATCATATACACCTGTAGACCTGTACAGGTAACCCTGGTGACAAACAGATGGTGACCAAACCTGTACAGAACCTAGAACCCTCATATACTACCTGTAGACTATCAGGGAAATGACACACCTGTACAGCACCTGGCCCAGGTAACCCTGGTGACAAACAGATAGATCATATGTACTACCCTGGTGACAAACAGATCATATATCAGGTAAATGGTCCAGGTACACAAACAGATCATGTACACACACCTGAACAGATCCTGGTCCAGGTAACCCTGGTGACAAATAGATATCATATACTACACCTGTAGACTATCAGGAAATGACAGCACCTGGCCCAGGTAACCCTGGTGACAAATAGATCATATACTACCTGTAGACTATCAGAAATGACAGAACCCTGGTGACAAATAGATCATATACTACTGGTGGCCCAGGTAACCCTGGTGACAAACAGATCATATACTACTGGACTATCGGGAAATGTAACCCTGGCCCGGTAGGTAACCAAATAGATCATATACTACCTGTAGACTATCAGGAAATGACACACCTGTACAGACACCTGTAGCCCAGGTGGTCCAGGTACCCTGGTGACAAACAGATCATATACTACCTGTAGACTATCAGGAAATGACAGCACCTGTAACCCTGGTGAGATCACCTGGCCCAGGTGGCCCAGGTAACCCTGGTGACAAACAGATCATATACTACCTGTAGACTATCAGGAAATGACACACCTGTACAGAACCTGGCCCAGGTAACCCTGGTGACAAACAGATCATATACTACCTGTAGACTATCAGGAAATGACACACCTGTACAGAACCTGGCCCAGGTAACCCTGGTGACAAACAGATCATATACTACCTGGTATCAGGAAATGACCAGGTAACCCTGGGTGACAAATAGATCATATACTACTGTAGACTATCAGGAAATGACACACCTGGTGACAAACAGATCATATACTACCTGTAGACATCACCTGGCCCCTGTAGGTAACCCTGGTGACAAACATAGATCATATACTGTAGACTATCAGGAAATGACACACCTGTACAGAACCTGGTCCAGGTAACCCTGGTGACAAATAGATCATATACTACTGTAGACTATCGGGGAATTACCCTCGTAGACTATCGTACCATTCATGGTCAGCACATCATATTTTACCTGCAGGGTAACACAGAATGTGAGACCCTGAAAGTCATATATGCCTTGAAATTTATAATTAAATTCAGAGTTTGTAATAATCACTCATAACATGTTTGGTTTTCAAAAATTCACTTTGGTTGTCTCAAAATCTGGATAACTGAAACATTTTTGCATGTTACAACAAATTGTACTAGGATGGCATAATAGACTGGATAACCAAGGATAAAGAGCATGACAGGTGACCCAAGAGGCGGACCTTGCTGAGGTGAGGTGAAATTAGGTTTAACATCGTGCTTGAGAATATTTCACTCATATGACGACGTGCATGCAGTGTATGTGTATGTGCGGCTGCTTGTACTAGCCCAGACTGAAGCTGGTTTTATAGTGCTAGCCCACTGAGATACCATGCCGCAGTGAAGCATGAATACCCCACTCAGACACATTATACTGACTCTGAGCCAACCAGTCCTTGTTGTACCCATTAATGCCGAGCGCCAGGCAGGGACCAACAAGTACCATATTTTAACGTCTTTTGGTATGACGCGGTCGGGGATCGAACCCGCGACCTTCCTCTCTCCGGGCGGACGCTCTAACCACTACACCACGGAGGCGGTCCGGACCTTGCTGAACAGCCTCAACATGGACATCACCAGAAAACCACAGAAATCAAGACAAGGCTCTCTCATGCTCTAGGTTCATGTCTTCTTTTTCAACCATAAAATCTGGACAAACAAAGTCAACAGTATGTCTTACCAGGCCTGATCCAACATCTACAATAACATCACAGCCTGCTTTCTCGGCAGTTTCCTTGACAACAGCAGACATAGTGGTGACTTCATGAAGTTTCTTTGGCGACATTCCACGTTTCAGATTTGGGTCTACTGGCTTCTTGGACAAGATGTCCACTTGGTCCCGGGGAAGAGAGAGTTTGTGTGACATCTGGAGGAACCTCGTCAGTGACTCGGGGAAGTGGGGCTGTACAGCATGAAGAGTGAGTGAGTGAGTGAGTGAGTGAGTGAGTGAGTGAGTGAGTGAGGAGTGAGTGAGTGAGTGAGTGAGTGAGTGAGTGAGCAGGTGAGTGAGTGAGTGAGTGAGTGAAATGGAGTGATAGAGTGAGTGCAGAGGTCAAATCAAGGTGGAACTTTAAAATATTTTAAAAAACAAGAACATCTAACTTTATTCCTACTGCTCCTAACATCCATTACAAAAACCACATCATTTTGAACAAATATGACTGAACAATATTAACAAGCATGCTTTTCAATATGGCAACCAAGGTAGCCATATTGAAAATCAGACAGGGACTTAAACCAAAAGCTAAGGCAATTGTAATTTACTGAGAAAGAGTAATCCAGTGTATAACATTTGTTACATCTGACCACTTTCTAGGCATTATGCATTCACAAATAACAACAGCTTGAATATGTTGAACCAAGATGACTAAGCAGTATTCACAAACAAGTATTTCAGCATGGCAGACATGGAGGAGACATCCTTGTGGGAAGAGTGAGTGAGTAAGTTTAGTTTTACGCCGCACTCAGCAATATCCTAGCTATATGGCGGCGGCCTTGTGGGAAGAGGGAGTGAGTGAGTTTAGTTTTACGTCACACTCAGGAATATTCAAGCTATATGGCGGCGGTCTTGTGGGAAGAGGGAGTGAGTGAGTTTAGTTTTACGTCACACTCAGCAATATCCTAGCTATATGGCGGCGGCCTTGTGGGAAGAGGAGTGAGTTTAGTTTTTACGTCAAGACTCAGCAATATCCTAGCTGTATGGCGTGACCTTGTGGGAAGAGTGAGTGAGTGAGTGAGTTTAGTTTTCGTCACACTCAGCAATATCCTAGCTATATGGCGGCGGTCTTGTGGGAAGAGGGAGTGAGTGAGTTTAGTTTTACGTCACACTCAGCAATATCCTAGCTATATGGCGCGCCTTGTGGGAAGAGGGTGAGTGAGTGAGTTTAGTTTTACGTCGACTCAGCAATATCCTAGCTATATGGCGGCCTTGCCTTGTGGGAAGAGGTGAGTGAGTTTAGTTTTACGCCACACTCAGCAATATCCTAGCTATATGGCTGCGGCCTTGTGGGAAGAGCGAGTGAGTGAGTTTAGTTTTATCGTCACACTCAGCAATATCCTAGCTATGGCGCCTTGTGGGAAGAGGTAAGAGTGAATTTAGTTTTACGCCACATTCAGCAATATCCTAGCTGCTATATGGGAGACCTTGTGGGAAGAGTGAGTGAGTTTTAGTTTTACGTCACACTCAGCAATATTCTAGCTATATGGCGGCCTTGTGGGAAGAGGAGTGAGTGAGTTTAGTTTTACGTCACACTCAGCAATATCCTAGCTATATGGCGGCGGCCTTGTGGGAAGAGGAGTGAGTGAGTTTAGTTTTACGCCACACTCAGCAATATTCTAGCTATATGGCGGCGGCCTTGTGGGAAGAGTGAGTGAGTGAGTTTAGTTTTACGTCACACTCAGCAATATCCTAGCTATATGGCGGCGGCCTTGTGGGAAGAGTGAGTGAGTGAGTTTAGTTTTACGTCACACTCAGCAATATCCTAGCTATATGGCGGCGGCCTTGTGGGAAGAGGGAGTGAGTGAGTTTAGTTTTACGCCACACTCAGCAATATCCTAGCTATATGGCTTTAAGGCCTTGTGGGAAGAGTGAGTGAGTGAGTTTAGTTTTACGTCACACTCAGCAATATTCTAGCTATATGGCGGCGGCCTTGTGGGAAGAGGGAGTGAGTGAGTTTAGTTTTACGTCACACTCAGCAATATCCTAGCTATATGGCGGCGGCCTTGTGGGAAGAGGGAGTGAGTGAGTTTAGTTTTACGCCACACTCAGCAATATCCTAGCTATATGGCGGCCCTTGTGGGAAGAGTGAGTGAGTTTAGTTTTACGTCACACTCAGCAATATCCTAGCTATATGGCGGCGGCCTTGTGGGAAGAGGGAGTGAGTGAGTTTAGTTTTACGTCACACTCAGCAATATCCTAGCTATATGGCGGCGGCCTTGTGGGAAGAGGGAGTGAGTGAGTTTAGTTTTACGCCACACTCAGCAATATCCTAGCTATATGGCGGCCTTGTGGGAAGAGGGAGTGAGTGAGTTTAGTTTTACGCCGCACTCAGCAATATCCTAGCTATATGGCGTCGCCCTTGTGGGAAAGAGTGAGTGAGTGAGTTTAGTTTTACGTCACACTCAGCAATATCCTAGCTATATGGCGGCGGCCTTGTGGGAAGAGGGAGTGAGTGAGTTTAGTTTTACGTCACACTCAGCAATATCCTAGCTATATGGCGGCGGCCTTGTGGGAAGAGTGAGTGAGTGAGTTTAGTTTTACGTCACACTCAGCAATATCCTAGCTATATGGCGGCGGCCTTGTGGGAAGAGTGAGTGAGTGAGTTTAGTTTTACGTCACACTCAGCAATATTCTAGCTATATGGCGGCGGCCTTGTGGGAAGAGGGAGTGAGTGAGTTTAGTTTTACGCCACACTCAGCAATATCCTAGCTATATGGCGGCGGCCTTGTGGGAAGAGTGAGTGAGTGAGTTTAGTTTTACGTCACACTCAGCAATATCCTAGCTATATGGCGGCGGCCTTGTGGGAAGATGCTCATGAAGTTTCTGTTTTATCAGTTTCCTGCTTTTTTAGATTTCTACACGCAGAAGACAAAGAACAGACCACAACAAAAAATAAATTGACTTTCTGTCAGTTGAGCTGAAGTTGGTTATAGCTTGAAGTGTGTACCCAGGGGTGGAAATAACCCACTGCCCGACGTCCGATCCATCTGTCGGGCAACAAATTTGTATATCACACTGTACCGGTGTCCAGTTGATATTCCAATGTTAATTATGTTGTTTATTTTAAAAAATCAACAAAAAAACGGTCGGTATAGTGGACAAATTATCAGGGCAAGTGATTTTACATGTGCCACTGTTCCAGAGTACACTAGCAATTTTTAAGTTATTTCCACCCCTGGTACCATGTTGACAACAATATCAACACAGAAACTCAACAACAATGTAAGTTGTAAACACAGAGTTTATTTACCTTGTCCTGATGGGATTCAAAAGGCAGGCCGTTCAACTCCCCCATACTCATGGCCATCAGAACATTGTGCCACTGTCAACATTCAACACAGCGTCATAACAAATCACAACACTGTCAACATTCAACACAGTGTCATAACAAATCATGACACTGTCAACATTCAACACAGCGTCATAACAAATCACAACACTGTCAACATTCAACACAGCGTCATAACAAATCACAACACTGTCAACATTCAACACAGCATCATAACAAATCACAACACTGTCAACATTCAACACAGCATCATAACAAATCACAACACTGTCAACATTCAACACTGCATAACAAATCACAACACTGTCAACATTCAACACAGTGCCATAACAAATCACAACACTGTCAACATTCAACACAGTTCTAGACAAATCACAACACTGTCAACATTCAACACAGTTCATAACAAATCACAACACTGTCAACATTCAACACAGGGTCATAACAAATCACAACACTGTCAACATTCAACACAGCATCATAACAAATCACAACACTGTCAACATTCAACACAGCATCATAACAAATCACAACACTGTCAACATTCAACACAGCGTCATAACAAATCACAACACTGTCAACATTCAACACAGCTCTAGAACAAATCACAACACTGTCAACATTCAACACAGCGTCATAACAAATCACAACACTGTCAACATTCAACACAGCGTCATACATAGACAAATCACAACACTGTCAACAATCAACACAGTTCTAGAAAAATCCTAACACTGTCAACATTCAACACAGAGTCATAACAAATCACAACACTGTCAACATTCAACACAGTTCTAGACAAATCACAACACTGTCAACATTCAACACAGCGTCATAACAAATCACAACACTGTCAACATTCAACACAGCATTAAAACAAATCACAACACTGTCAACATTCAACACAGCGTCATAACAAATCACAACACTGTCAACAATCAACACAGTTCTAGAAAAATCCTAACACTGTCAACATTCAACACAGAGTCATAACAAATCACAACACTGTCAACATTCAACACAGCATTAAAACAAATCACAACACTGTCAACATTCAACACCGTCAACATTCATAACAAATCTGACAAATCACAACACTGTCAACATTCAACACAGCGTCATAACAAATCACAACACTGTCAACATTCAACACAGCATCATAACAAATCACAACACTGTCAACATTCAACACAGCATCATAACAAATCTCAACACTATCAACATTCAACACAGTTCTAGACAAATCCTGACACTGTCAACATTCAACACAGCATCATAACAAATCACAACACTGTCAACATTCAACACAGCGTCATAACAAATCTCAAACACTGTCAACATTCAACACTATCAACACAAATCCACAACACTGTCAACAACAGTTCATAACAAATCACAACACTGTCAACATTCAACACAGCATCATAACAAATCACAACACTGTCAACATTCAACACAGCATCATAACAAATCTCAACACTATCAACATTCAACACAGTTCTAGACAAATCCTGACACTGTCAACATTCAACACAGCGTCATAACAAATCACAACACTGTCAACATTCAACACAGCATCATAACAAATCTCAACACTATCAACATTCAACACAGTTCTAGACAAATCACAACACTGTCAACATTCTACACAGTGTCATAACAAATCACAACACTGTCAACATTCAACACAGCGTCATAACAAATCACAACACTGTCAACATTCAACACAGCGTCATAACAAATCTCAACACTGTCAACATTCAACACAGTTCTAGACAAATCCTGACACTGTCAACATTCTACACAGTGTCATAACAAAATCACAACACTGTCAACATTCAACACAGTTGTAGACAAATCCTAACACTGTCAACATTATATTCAGTGTCATAAAATATCACACCACTGTCAGTAATTAAAACAGTTCCAAACAGTTCTAGACAAATCATTCGTTGGTTTCGACTCAGTGTGCGCATGCGTAGAGCGTATAAAAATATCCACTGGTCAACTTCCGGTTTGGTCGTATTAGCGATATTGTAAACACACTCTAAATAAATGCTGTATGAATATTATTTACGCGTGACAACTGTTCATAGTTGAGTACATACATCCATTTGCCTATGCTTTTCAATAATTGAAGTCTTATTTTGGTGGCATTGCATCAGAGATGTGTTGTTTTACTTGTGAGAAGGGAATGTGCAGGAAGGACGGTGGACGGGTGGTGGTGAGATGTGTTTATACAAGAGCTTGTTAACAAACGTTAAGCTATTTATTTAACTAATTCCGGTCCCTTCCATTCATAAATGAATTGAGATCAGTTAACTTCGACATAAAACCATATATTTGTTTTGATTTTTGCTTTCTTTAGAGTGTGTTTACACTATCGGTAAAGCTTACGACCAAACCGAAGTTGGCCCGCGGATATTTTACACACTCTCCATGCGCACAGCGAGTCGAAAATTAATGTGAAACCAACGAATAACACTGTCAACATTCAACACAATAATATTGTCAATATTTAACACAGTGTCTTAACAACAATGTCATACTGTGTTAATAGACTGTCAACATTCAACACAGTGTATAGACAAATCAAAATATATTTTCAACATTCATCAGTGTTAAAAAACATCACACCACTTTAGTGGTGGTCCGATTAATTGAAATAATCGAAGATTGGTCGCAGTGACTAAACGACCAAGCAATCGATCCTGTTTTCTCATAATCGAACACAAACAATTCTGGAACACTTTTTGCATTAACAATATTTTTCACAAGGTTGGTTTTGTCAGTTACATTTCATGAGCACTACAAGCTCGGCCCAAGTCATGATTGAATTTATCTTAAAGACCCCAAGAAATTTATGTTCCTAACATACTAGTCATCCTTTTAAGATGGGAAATTTGCCAAAAAAACCTCCCAAGAACTACATGTTTTTTCTTTATGTTTTTGTGCATTAACAAAAATAACCAGGAAAATTTCATAAATGACGCTAACCAATTATTTTCGATGATTGATCGGTTGCAATGAAGCAATCATCAATTATGAGATTTTAACCAATTCCCAGCACTACACCACTTTCAACATTCAACACATGGTCATAACAAATCACATCACTGCCAATTTTCAACACATGTACAACAAATCAAACCACTGTCAACAATCATATAATCATGATAATATTGGTCAAAACTCATTTTTTGCCAAACAAAATGGTTGCAATAATAATAAACATAAATGTCAGATGGGAGGAAAAAGGTGCAGCTTGTACAGTCCGTTTGAAACAAAATGATCCCGATGAATTGCAGTCTACCACAAAAACAAATAGACATAAAAGAATCAAACCAATGTGGAGTGCAATAAAAACAACAGACCAACTCTAGAAAAAAAATTGCATAATTTTTGTCACAAAAATAAAAAAGTTGTTTAAGAAACTGTCATCATTTATTTGTGCGTTTTCCCAGTTTGTTACAAGGGTGCATTGGCAACTAATGGAACAGCATGAAAAGCGAGATGTGCGTGCGTTAACGGGTTCTCAACAAACTTTTGAGCTGGCGAGATAACACGTACCCCAGCTGCACAGGCAGTGCTGTATGTACTTAGTAATTGCATACTTGATTCATCCCCAGTCATTTTCATCCTTGAAAAAATCATAGACTTTGTAAATTATAGACTTTAATTTTCTCTCACTTTGTCAATCAGCAGTTATTACATGTCTCTGATGTCTCTGATGTCACTAAATGCACGTGCATCTCGCTTTTCACTCCGTTCCTTTAGTTGGCACTGCTCTCCTGTAACAAACTTGGAAAACGCACAAATAAATGATGAAAAGCAAATATTGTACCTCTTCTGGCATATGTCTCCACACCTCGTCAACAAAGAAACGAGTCGTAACAAAGTTGTGTATCCAGTCAAACTCATACAGGAATTGTAACAGGTCTTGGAACTTTGGTAGATCTCTACTCGTCTGTAAAGAAATAACAGAACATACCTAAGGCATTGTTCCTCACTCATTACATTCAGAGCGTGATATAAAACTATACAAAGTGAAATGTTCAGCTGTTAAGTCAGGAAAATGGTGTTTACTTGATGTGAACTAGCAGTATGATCTGCTACTTCATTTTTTAAAATAAAAAATGACAGTGACCAAAATATAGAATAACCTACTGTACACTCTTACGGCTCATTAAAAAAGATTGAAAAGAGGAGAGAGATATGGAGCATGTTGATTTCCTTGGGATTTGCTTTACAGCTTGGCTCAAGGTTATTGCTTTTTCAGTATCCCTTGATAATTCATCTATATTTGTTAATCAGTGCCTACATCTATGATCGATACAGATTACCAGGCCCATCATACACACAACTATGATTAATCTGTCCATCTCGAAAAGAGACAGCAAACAGTTAATAAACAGAGAATCTCACCCAAATGTCTACTGATATCAATTATATCAACACGAGTTGATAAAGTTACAAATATCATTCTTCATTAGTTTTCAATGAAAAATGTACATCTCTCAACACTGTACTACCATTGGACTTGCAGTGCAGCGATGTCATAGTATTGTGACATCATCAACTTGTACAAAATCTACTGTCAAAACGATATCTCCTAGGAGATATCATATGATCTTACACAAGCGATATCTCCTGTGGAACACAATTTTGGATGATAAATATTCACTTGGCACAATTCACTTAAATTCCTTTATGGTAAATCCCATGTTGATGATTTACACTCGTTGTTTGGTAGATCTATAAAATCCCTCTTTCCTGCATATCTCCTACACTCACAGTGCAATTAATGCAATTTGTCAAGTGAATGCAATCAAAAATGAAATTGAATACATGACATTTATGTAAATATTCTCAACATTCGGTTAGCTGGCTGAACTATCGCGTTTCAGGTGATGTGATCATGACACTTGAATAATCACAGTTATCTCCCCTGCTCTGAGTAAGCTCCCTGTCTCTTCTGTTACTTCCAGATCTAGCGGTTGATACCAATTACTTGCTAGTTTTAATTACTATACACCTCTTTGTTTATAACTGCTACTCAAATGCAGATATTGTCTTTCTCTTCCCATGTTTATGTAGATTCGAAATACTGTTGATTTAGTTAAGTTAGCGGGACTTTGTCCAATGTTTACCTTTTCAAGCAAATCGTGATACGTGGGCGCCGCCATCTTGTTAGTCAATTTACCCAAAGTTTTCTTGAATACCACTGGGAAATATGTAACCTTTCCCCGTATGAGCAAATCAAGGAACGAGAAACGAATTTATATTTGTGTTTAAGAGAAAATATAAACAGTCAAGAGTATTTTAATATATTGAAGCACCGGAAGTATACTACAAACTAGGGTAAGTTGACCTCTGACAAAGGGCAGTAGTGCCATGTCGTAGCTCGATTGCGTTGAATAATGCACGGAATGTCACGTAATACGCATTTATAACACTCGTAAGGATATCTGCAACAGTTTCAATGGCTAATTAGAGGGAAAACAGTATGATTGTGTTGTCATATATATTCAGATTACAGAAGAGCACCACTTGAGATTGTAATCACACTTGTGACTTGCTAACACATAGTCCGATCAAATAGTTTGACGTATTATAACATAAACATGTTTTCGTTTAACAAATTGATTTCTAAGTCCATTTGTAACCGTTTGTGAGGTACCGTTGTTGGCGAGTATTGACAGGATTTGGTTTTAAGTACATTATCTACAAAGTATACTGTGTATAATAACAGATTGAAAACTTAAATCCCATGGCTTCACAAGAGTCCAAGGCCTGAAGTATTTGGCAAACTAGAAATCACATTTATGTCAGTTCTTTCAGGTTTATGGAGGTAACATAGAATGTATATGTTATTATTGTACGCATGTTTGTTTGCAACATATGTTTGCCCCTAATCACGTATGTGTAGAAATTAGTGCCTAACCAACTGCTGATAAATGCCATTAGTCATTCCATAATTTCATTAAGTTTGGATTAGTGGACCAATGTTTACTTGGGGCCCTGTCCCTCATCGCCTGTAATAATCTCCCTGAGTTTCAGTAGTAGGGGTGTCATTGATGATAGATATCAAATAATAATAATTCACTGCCACAGAAATTGATGTTTATCGTCAGAGCCTAGGTTTTACGATGTCGTACAATTTCAGAGTGCAGTGATCATTCGGGCTGTAACGAGAGGTGATGCGTTACACATACATTGTAAATTCTTCAATGATGGCTTGTGTGGAGGTTTAAATTATCCTGTATAAGTTACTGACATGTTCTACAATTGTTCATGCAATAATCAAAACAACAACAGATGTTCTGAAGGCATTATCATGGTTAAAATGGGAAAAGGGAGGCAAAAATACATTTGAGGGATCCAGTTTATAGTTAGCTTTGGCTGATGCACTCGCATGTTAAAACTGGAAATACTATTTTTTTAAATTTTATTTCTAACCAGTTTTGTTATAGATCAGTTACAAATAATATTGTAGAGTCTAAATTTTGAAACTCAACTTGACATGCCAAATCAGCAGGGAGATTCAGACCCCTGTATCAGTTGAAACACGAGTATTCCTCAGTGTTGTTAAATTTGTTTTGTTGATAAAGGCCATAAGCTGCAATAAAGGCTGGATGAGGCCATATGCTGCAATAAAGGTCAACTGAAAATTGGTGTTTTGGTAAATAGACTCAAAGAAATTCTTGTGCAGACTGTCTTCTGTTTGATGCAAGTGTTTGATTCCCAGTTGCATAGATCGATTCTCATGATGTCAATCACTGGATTGTCTGGTCCAGACTCGGTTATTTACAAACCGCTGCCATATACCTGGAATATGTCTGAGTGCGGCGTTAAACAATAATCAATCAATTCTAGCAAAGTAACTTGTGTACCATACCATGTCCATTGCATAAGATACAGGCATCCAGAATATGTAGAAATGGTGGAGATGTCACCATGAAACTCTTCTCTCAATTCTATTCGTGAAATACCATTTTTACCATATAAAATGTCCTCTCTAATCAACCTCCAGGTCAATTATTAATATTGAATAACATATATGTAAGTTCCTTCTTTTAAGACCGTAATTTATGTGACAGTCCATATCTTCTTGTGTATAATATGATTTTACAGAAAGCAAGCTGTGAAGATGTATTTACAATAAAGTAGGTTAGGTTTCAGAGATGTTTAAACATAGGTTTTCCAACTTTACTTCCAGGTCATGTGGTGGGGCGGTGGGGTAGCCTAGTGGTTAAAGCGTTGTCTCGTCACGCCGAAGACCCGGGTTCGAATCCCCACATGGGTACAATGTGTTAAGCCCATTTCTGGTGTCCCCCGCCGTGATATTGCTGGAATATTGCTAAAAGCGGCGTAAAACTAAACTCAGTCAGTCAGTCAGTCCAGGTCATGTGGTAATGATGTGTCTCTGATATTTTGATGATTTAATCAGCTTTCATCTGTTCAGTATGTCTATTGTTGTTGCAGGGTTTAAAGCAATACTATGACAACGGATTAGTGGAAGAAGATCATCAGTAAAGTACAATGGCCTCTGAAGTGGGAGTTGATCCTTATGACCAAGTGTCCGGATCTCCACCACAAACCAACACGACGGGGAAAAAGTCGTGGGACGAATTACGGAAGTGCGTGCGGGATACACGCAAACTTCTGACAGCTTTAGTAAGCAGTGTGCCAACGTCGTTCACATTCAGAAATATCTCTACAGACAATGGAACCGTAACAAGACTATACTTTCTAGGAGTGCCAATCAAGGGTCGGGAAAACACATTGCTGTATGTGGATCTACCGTCTGATTTTCAGGATTATGTGTTACCATGGCAATCATTACTGGACTCCTTCCAGCCATCATCAGGGCAACTGTCTCGAGAAGAGCAGTTGATGAGGGAGAGGAAGAGGCTTGGGATATATGGAATTACCTCATACGATGTTGTCGAGGAGGAGGGGAAGTTTGTGTTCCCAGCATGTAGCAGTCTTTTTACTTGCGTGGACAACACCATGGATTGTGTGAGTAAACATATCACATGACCTTACCTTCATGTAAAATACTTTAATTTCATTGGTCAATGAGGCTTTAACAAGTTTCCGTGTCACCCCACCCCTCCCGCTGCCACAGTCACCGCCAAACTGTCCGCCGAGAAGCTGTATCGCTAACAATCATGACGTCATATGATGCATGCAGTGCACAGAGTTAGAAAACCATTCGATTAGCTGTTTTTGAGTTCACTATGTACACATATATTTTACCTGCTTTCACTGCTTTATTTAAACTATTTTATACTTTGAATCGTTTCTACACTCAACTTAAACATAATTAACCATTTTTATAGCAGTTTCAAGCTTGTCAAAATATGTTTCACTGATTATGAAAATCCAGTAGAGAGGCATTTGCCATTTTGTTTAGGTAGCGAGCTTATTGATCAATCTTCAAAATGAAATGGTATTTTGTACATTTAACATGGCAGTAAGTTAAATATGTTGTAAACCTCACCCTTGGGTAATACGGTCTGATGTACTGCATACTGGCTTGGGTAACACTGCTACATAGAGGCATACATCAGACTGTATTACCGGCTTGGGTAACACTGCTACATAGAGGCGTACATCAGACTGTATTACCGGCTCGGGTAACACTGCTACATAGAGGTGTACATCAGACTGTATTACCGGCTTGGGTAACACTGCTACATAGAGCGTACATAGACTGTATTACATCGGGTAACACTGCTACATAAAGGCGCACATCAGACCAAGGCTTTTACGCTTCGGTAACACTGCTACATAGTATTACCGGGTAACACTGCTACATAGAGGCGGGACCGTATTACAACACTGCTACATAAAGGCGTACATCAGACCGTTTTACCGGCTCGGGTAACACTGCTACATAGAGGCGTACATCAGACCGTATTACCGGCTCGGGTAACACTGCTACATAGAGGTGTACATCAGACCATTACCGCTCGGGTAACACTGCTACATAGAGGTGTAACCGTATTACCGCTCGGGTAACACTGCTACATAGAGGTGTACATCACATCAGACACTGTATTAGAGCATACATCAGACTGTATTACCGGCTCGGGTAACACTGCTACATAGAGGCATACATCAGACCGTTTTACCGGCTCGGGTAACACTGCTACATAGAGGCGTACATCAGACCGTTTTACCGGCTCGGGTAACACTGCTACATAGAGGTGTACATCAGACCGTATTACCGGCTTGGGTAACACTGCTACATAGAGGTGTACATCAGACCGTATTACCGGCTTGGGTAACGCTGGTACATAGAGGTGTACATCAGACCGTATTACCGGCTCGGGTAACACTGCTACATAGAGGTGTACATCAGACCGTATTACCGGCTCGGGTAACACTGCTACATAGAGGTGTACATCAGACCGTATTACCGGCTCGGGTAACACTGCTACATAGAGGTGTACATCAGACCGTTTTACCGGCTCGGGTAACACTGCTACATAGAGGTGTACATCAGACCGTATTAACACTGCTACATAGAGGTGTACATCAGACCGTATTACGGCTGGTACATACATAGAGGTGTACATCAGACCGTATTACCGGCTCGGGTAACACTGCTACATAGAGGTGTACATCAGACCGTATTACCGGCTCGGGTAACACTGCTACATAGAGGTGTACATCAGACCGTATTACCGGCTCGGGTAACACTGCTACATAGAGGTGTACATCAGACCGTATTACCGGCTCGGGTAACACTGCTACATAGAGGTGTACATCAGACCATACCGGCTCGGGTAACACTGCTACATAGAGGCGTACATCAGACTGTATTACCGGCTCGGGTAACACTGCTACATAGAGGTGTACATCAGACCGTATTATCGGCTCGGGTAACACTGCTACATAGAGGCGTACATCAGACCGTATTACCGGCTCGGGTAACACTGCTACGTAGAGGTGTGTACATCAGACCGTATTACCGGCTCGGGTAACGCTGGTACATAGAGGTGTACATCAGACCGTATTACCGGCTCGGGTAACACTGCTACATAGAGGTGTACATCAGACTGAATTACCGGCTCGGGTAACGCTGGTACATAGAGGTGTACATCAGACCGTATTACCGGCTCGGGTAACGCTGGTACATAGAGGTGTACATCAGACCGTATTACCGGCTCTGGTAACACTGCTACATAGAGGTGTACATCAGACCGTATTACCGGCTCGGGTAACACTGCTACATAGAGGTGTACATCAGACCGTATTACCGGCTCGGGTAACACTGCTACATAGAGGCGTACATCAGACCGTTTTACCGGCTCGGGTAATGCTGCTACATAGAGGTGTACATCAGACCGTATTACCGGCTCGGGTAACACTGCTACATAGAGGCGTACATCAGACCGTTTTACCGGCTCGGGTAACGCTGCTACATAGAGATGTACATCAGACCGTATTCCCCTCGAGAGAAGCAGACAACTTATATTTTTACATTGCATGATTTAAGAGATGTTAACTTTCATGCACCAGATGCAACCTAAGATAAAAACCTAGTTGCACCAGCCAAATTCCAGTTGCACTGGTCTTATTGCATGATGTAATGAAAGAAATATGCTATTGAATTATTTTGATGTTTTATTCAGAAGTTTACCCATTCAAAAATTGACTTGCACCTGGTGCAAGTTAGACTAAAAACTAGGTTGCACTTTGTAATATTAGCAAGTTTTGTTTACTTATTTTCATAAATAAGTTTAATAACACTTTTAGATGCATTTTTGTGTGACATGCAGAATATAACTGAGTGTGATCAGGCAATCATGCGGATGAGTGACCCCCTCTCAGGTAGTCACTTGTACACGTAATTGGGTACCGTCTTGCGTATACGTTAAGTCCTCTACTGATTAGGCTGCACCAGTGCAAGTAACAAAGCACTAAATTGAGCCCTCTATTACCTTGGCAAAAGCCTGTACAATACTCCATGGAATCGGGAGGTAGAATGTGTCCCCTGGAACCCATTACACATTGGGAATTTTTTCGAAGGGTGCCATAGCGCACCAGACAGATAATTTATGTGTGCCTTTGTGAACATAACTGTGCCCATACCTTTTGATGATCCAGTTAAACTTAAATCATAGCAACAATTATATTGTTTAAATTTATTGCTTAATACATGAATAAACATCATGTAAACCTATTAACATGAGATATGGATTTGATAAACACTATCAAGACTGCAAATAGTCCAGCTTCATTTGCCCTGGACCCATAAACTAACCCAGAAATTATGTTATCCAAAACAGGATTTCCTGTTTTGCTCACTGTCATTCAAAATGGACACGCCCATGTTTAGCTGTGAGAATGTGAGTGCCACTGATCTGTTTTATAATTTTCACCAGGGAACACTGAACATATTTTTATCCGTGCCATTTTAATTTTTACTTTGCCTGACCAGCAAATGAGGCACTATGTTGATCCCTGGATTTATGTGTCACTGGTGACAATGTGCAGACCAACATGAAAGATACTTCTATACTTTGTTTTATATTCTTGCACTGAATGTTCTCTTAAACTTAAAGTGCAAATTAAAAGTAACATTGAATTCATGCAACAAAGAGATTTTGAACAAAAGTATTTATTATGGTATAATTTGTCTGTAGATTGTTCTGCATTTCGAGTCGATCATATAGTTGAGAATACACAATGCCTTTTAGAAAGTAGTTAAATGTAACAAATGTTATCTTTGAGATTACACTTTCTTGGTAGAGTTCAGATTCTAGTATTTTGGGGGTTGAATCCCATCTAGGATTCAAACACTCAGACACCCAGAGTGAGGCACCTAGTCAACAGTACACAAAGTCAGCGGTCTGACCCACTCAGCCTCCTGTAATTGTTCTCTTCTTGTGGGAATCATGGGTGCCCCAGTTGTCAGAGGTACCATAATATTGCTCTGCAGAGTTGCATCCCTTTGGCATGCCAGGGGCCTCTGACTGGATTCAAATCCAGTTTGCCTCGATTATGTCACTAGTTTTGTCAGCACCTTCCCTGTGCCCAGAGGTTTCATCAACATTATTTAAGTCTGAGATCTGCATTTTCCTTCCATATTTTCTGAAATGGACCCGTGAGGATCCAGGGTAGAATAGGTCTTCAGCAACCCATGCTTGCCACAAACGGCGACTAACAGGATCGGGTGGTCAGGCTCGCTGACTTGGTTGACACATGTCATCGGTTCCCAATTGCGCAGATCGATGCTCATGCTGTTGATCACTGGATTGTCTGGTCCAGACTCGATTATTTACAGACCGCCGCCATATAGCTGGAATATTGCTGAGTGCGGCGTAAAACTAAACTCACTCATTCTGATATGTATTGATATGATTCAATGGATCAATTACTTGATCACTCACTCTGACACTCACTTGGTGCGGTGGGGTAGCCTAGTGGTTAAAGCGTTCGCTCGTCACAAAGAAGGACCGGGTTTGATTCACTACATGGGTACAATGTGTGAAGCCCATTTCTGGTGTCCCCCGCCGTGATATTGGTGGAATATTGCTAAAAGTGGCACACAACTCACTCACTCACTCACTCACTCACTCTTGTTTTGGCAGCATCTTGAAGATGACCGAGTGATCCTCCCGACGGCTATCAGCACAAGTTGTTTAGGAGCTCGTCTCGACCCGAAAATCTGCCCCCTGGATACCAACCTGGTGTGTTTCATTCACAACGGGGATCTGTGGATCACACATCTCATTAGTGGGCAGGAGAAGAGACTCACGTTTGTTCATAAAGGTAATTACACACTTTCACACCTGTGGCCATTGCCGGGTTTTACCATAGGAATTTGGATTACAATAATCAAATAATGTTATTTTTTCACCCCTCACTGACACCCTCCCTTCTCTAACACCCCTTCTTGGTACATAGAGAAGGTGTATCGTTGAGAATGCCTAAGGAATATAGAAAACCATGGCAACGAGACCGTAAGTGTGGTATTAAGTGAAAAATACCCCCATTTAGGCTTCAAGTTAATTAACACTTTGCTGAACATGAACGAAATGTTTAAGATTGAATGTTCTGCCTTATTCTCCATCATAGCAGTCTTAAATGTAAACATTTATGAAGCAGTGAGTTAATAATTTAGTACTGATATTTATTTTTTTTGCATTTACTTTAGTATCCACATGTATTTTGATATATCACCAAACATGTTGATAAACCAATATACACAATGACATCACAACAGTCATATTGAATGAGAAAGACACACCATCAGTAACTCCATGGTGAGTGAGTGAGTTTAGTTTTACGCCGCACTCAGCAATATTCCAGCTATATGGCGGCGGTCTGTAAATAATCGAGCCTGGACCAGACAATCCAGTGATCAAGAGCATGAGCATCGATCTGTGCAATTGGGAACCGATGACATGGGTCAACCGAGTCAGCCAACCTGACCACCCGATCCTGTTAGTCGCCTCTTACGACAAGCATAGTCGCCTCTTACGACAAGCATGGGTTACTGAAGACCAATTCTAACCCGGAACCTTCACGGGTCGATGATGATGATGATGATATCGCAAGTCATATTGAATGAGAAAGACACCATCAGTAACTCCATTATGATGATGAGGAGGACGACGACGATGATGATGATGAGGAGGAGGAGGACGACGATGACGATGGTGTTGGGGAATTGCTTGTCAATGTAGCTGGTACATTCAACCTAACCCTACATCCGGTATTGTTGATACAGGTGAGGGGGGACTTGCAGCTGACCCATGTGTGGCGGGGGTGCCATCATTCGTGGTTCAGGAGGAGTTTGACCGATACACAGGGTACTGGTGGATGCCCAGAGTCCCACAGTCGACAGGTAAATCTGTGACGAGAAATTGTTAGAGAACCACTAAACTTTGTTTTTGTTACTCTTTGAACCATTACATATGAAAGATTTGTGGTTAGTCTTATGCGGAACACCAAATTTATTCTTTAAAAACTTGTGGTTAATTAATACCGAGCGATTAAAAGTGGCCAAAAAGTCGCCTGCTTCCCTCTCGCCCGCCAACGAAACCACAGACAGGTTACGTAACTCTGTCGCCAGAGCACTGCAGTGACGTCATATGAGGAACGATTTTCAGTTAGTTGTATAGAAAATTTGTAGCACGCTCATCATTTTGATGATTTCTCGACATCAACGGACGACATGCCGAATCGTTGCTTTGTGTAGTCAATTGCTCCTAGGGTCGGGCGATGGTGTCCCCATGCACAGATTTCCACAGGACCCGCGGTTCGTGCTAAATGGGTTATGTTTGTGAGTCGGGCGGCGTTGTGGAAGCCTGAAGCGATATCTTACTTGTGTTCAGATCGCTTCACGGAAGTTAAAGAATCAAAACTACTTACTAGTTGTAGTAAAATATGCATATGATTGATGACCATAAAGATTTTCTATGACACAACTTGTAACATAACGATTTCTTCCTCGGAAGTGAGGTTGTGGTCGAGTAACAATAATATTGTAAGTAGTATTATATTGACACCCACCTGGCTGCCACGAGAGAAATTGTTATGATATACGCTATATCATGCAAAATCCAATTGGCCATCAATAAAATACATATTTTACTACCAGTAGAAAGTAGTTTTGATTTTGTAACTTGGTGAAAACAAACCTAAATACCATTTATCCTCAGACTGGCGGATGTTCCCACAGAGCGCCATTTTTTAAAAATAAAAAAATCTGTTAGAATAAATGAGATTATAGTTTGTTTTCATCAAGTTAGAAAATCAAGACTACTTTCTACTCGTTGTTAAATATGTATTGGAATCATAACCAAACGGATTTTGCATGACACAACTTATAACATAACGATTTCTTCCACGGAGGCGAGGTGGGGTCAAGTCACAATACTATGCGCGATAAATTTCCTGCTACATTCCCATGGTTAATGTCCACTCACCAGTATGTAGATACTAGTCAATAATGCGTCTTTATATTTGGTCTTATAATCCTAATTAGTTTATTATCACACTTGTATGCATTTTGAAACTAAATAAAAAGCAGGCGATCTGCTGATACTTATAGTGAATTTATAACAGAACTGTAATATCTAGACATTTTATAGTTTGCCAATGTGAATCATAATTTGCACACACACACCCTAGTGCATGTTGTCTGTCTCATTACACTTCACGGCGAAAACAATGATTCTGTTGAATGCTACGACAAATGAATAAAAACAAAATGCAAATATTAAAATTAAAACAGATTAAAGTTATAGGAACAATATCAGGCCATTACCTTGTTCGAGGAATGTATCCATCAATATCCACAAAACTGTTCCAAATGATGTGTCTTTTAACAGTTTAATATACGAAAAAGTGATAAATCTTTTCAGGTATTGGTGTATAGTCTCATTGGTCACCCAAGATAGCACACCTGGCAACTAATTGCATAATGTCCACCTTTCTTTAAAACAGTAATTTAGTTAGCCAATAATGGGCAATCAATCAATGTATTGCCGGTTAATCCTTTGAAAGAAGGACGTTGTTTTACGCAGAACACCGACACGACGACAGAGTGTATTCAGTATAGATTAGTAAATCTACATACATAAACACTACCTTTTGACAATTACGCTGTGTAAGATAAAAGTAATTAATCAATCAGCGTGTTATCGGTTAATCCTTTGATCGATGTTTATAATGTTGAATATTTACTCCAGACACAAGAAATGCCAAATGGGAACCTTTGTCGGTAATCTAAGTGTGTTACCACTAATTATACCTGTTATAAATTCATTAACTGACCATCAAGTGAATGATGACAAATAACATGTGTAGGTTTATACCACCTAACACGGGTTACAACGAGGGAGTATTAATTGCTGTATTGCATGTGAAAACTTATGGGCCGACACTGTTTTGAGAATACAAACAGATTTTTACATGACATGATTAAATATCGAGGTAAAACAACACAGAAATGGGATCAATTTGGATCAGTCATTATACAAATAGGGCCTAACGACACCAATCGATTTTGAAAGAATCGTCTATGAAAACAAGTTGTAACTCGGAAACTAGGCAAAGCAGGAGACAAAATTAAATGACAGTAGATTGTGAGAACATATAGCTTTCATTTTCCACAACAATTGTCACGATTTCAGGTTTATACAAGCCTGTAAACACGATAATTTACCCCCTAAAATGTAGATGAATTCTGCATCGGCTCTCAAATCTATTCCTCATATGACGTCACAGAGGCGCGCCACTCTGATTGGTTAAAATTTCGTTCGCGGGTGAGAATTGTGCACTGTTGTCAAAAAGGTCGATTTAAGTCAATTAAAGGTCGAAATGAGTAGTTTTAATGACGGGGTTTCATTTATAACGATGCCAGTTAGTGATTTATGTATTTGTACCCCCTAGGGTTTATGTGACCTTTAGCACAAAGTTGGCATCAGGCTGTGATTTTTTTTCTCGCTTTAGAGGTGAGCTCCAGCAACACATCACTATTGCACCTGTGTTTATTGTATGATAATGAATGATATGATGAATATATATTTTCATTATTGTTATATTTATTACATTACTATTATGTATATATCATTATTTTAAATGTGTCTACTGTTAAACATGAGAATCCCTGTCACAATCCTAATGTTCACAAATAAACACACATCCTTTTGACAGATGAAGCCACCACATTCAGGATTCTGTATGAGGAAGTAGATGAGTCCGATGTGGAGATTCTTCATGTGTTTGCTCCAGTGACGGACGACCAGGGTATCGACGAGTACAGGTACCCTCGTGCAGGTAGGTCCAGTGGCTGGTCACTGAATCGAAGACTTCATCAGAAGCAGGGTTATACAGTACAACCAGAAATTATTGAGAATTTAAGATTGTAATTTTTTAATTTTTTTTCACTCATTACTCATGTATTAAATGTGAATATTAGCAGAACATAACTCCAGATTCAAAGACAGGTGAACAGTTAGTATTTTGTCAAGTCACCATGGGCAGCAATGCAGGCTTCAATGCGGCGGGGCATACTTCTGATCAAAGAAGTAAGAAAGTCGTGGTCCATGCTGTCCCAATATCGGACCACCTCTTCTTTCATTTCAGCAATATTTGTCAGATTTTTCTTATTGAAATAATATAAGTCCCCAAACATTTTCTATTGGATTTAGGTCAGGGCTATAGCTTGGCCAATCTAATAATGTCATATTTTGGGTCCGAAACCAGGCCTGTGAATGCTTTGAACAATGCTTTGGGTCGTTGTCCTGCTGGAAAATCCAAACATTTCCATAGAACACGTGAGCAGATAGAAGTAAATGTATCTCGAGAATATCTGTGTACCGCTCACTATTCATATTCCCTTCAAATACACAGAGGGGCGTTGCCCCTAACACAGATATGCCGCCAAACATTAAATTTCGGACTGTACTTTGGGCGCTGATACAAAGGTTTTCCAGTTTGTTTGGTCCAGAATGTCAGTGTATTAGGAAACAGCCACACAGAACTTTCATCTGAGAAAATCACATTGTCCCCGTTAAAATTTCTATGCTGTAAGCACCAGTTCAACCTTCGCTCCTTTTGTTCAGGTTTCATGATCGGTGATGGAATTCCTCGACTTTTCTGCCAACCCATTGCATGCAGCTCAGTTCTGATTGTCTCCTTACAGACAGCCACAGTTCCTCTATCAATCATATCCAGCCTTAAGTTTTCTAAACTCCTTCGTTAGTTTTTAGAAACAAGAATACCAAGCCGCCTCCTGTCACCGACAGTGAATTTTCTGGGCCTACCTGCGCCTCCCTGGTGCTCAATGCCATATCCATTTGCAATATCTTTCAAAACAGGATAAACAGTGGACAAAGGGATGCCTGTTCTACTTGAAATCACTTGAGCTGATCTGATGTCCTTGTTATAATACTCTAAAATCAACTTCCTCTTCTCTAAATCATCCATACTGAGGATCACTGAAAATGTCGTCTGCTGCAAGTAGACAAAGGGGGATAACTCTTCACAAACTAATGAAAAAGGATTAACAGAGTTGTCTCTCTTGAATGAAACCAAGCACTTGATAGCTGGTCAAGGTTGTTTATACTAGAAATCCAATTAAACATATTCCTAAAATTCTCAATAATTTCTGGTCATACTATATATGTCTGTTCATTATGGCATTGTCAAAATTATTCTCCAAATGACAATTTGAGTGATTATTGTCCACTCTTCTTGCATTTACGTCGTCCAGTTTGTCTATCATACCAGGTGGCCTTTTACATCAGTGTCCTGATCTGTACAGTTGATTGATCTGTGACAATGTGAATATTTCAGGCACCACAAATGCCAGGAGTACTCTGAGGATTGTAGAGTTTGAAGTGGGGCAAGATGGTTCAGTAAGTACACACAGTATTATCTCTAAGTCAGTGGATAGAATGTTGCCTTATGACACCTAATACCAAATATTCTTGATGTGATTGCCTTGGTCATTGATCAATTAGCATACTGCTTGACTCGTATTAGATGAGCCTGCGCTGTACACACGTTTGTGACAAGAAGGCAGACCAGGGAATCTAGATGAATACACTGGTTGCTACAGGTAGATTGGCGATTAAGCACGTGCAATACATGCTGACCATGGCGTGAACTCAATACCACTTCTGTCATGTCCAAGTTAGGGAAGCATGGGCAAATTGTTCGTTCTCAGGCAAGGGAGTTAGCTTACAATGTTATTATTTATATGGAAAAGACGTGTGCACGATTCACACGAGGAAATTGAACTTTTCAAGTTTTAGAAGACAACCTGTTTCCCACATTTTTCAAATGGAATGTTCTGGAGGGCGTTCCCATGTATGCAAATTGGGGTCATTTGTCAGGTCATGGCTCATCTAATAGTAGTACATCAATAAGAACCCAGCATGGGTCATACATCAGCCCATGGACCATAACATTGCATCACAGTCCCAAACCCTCCTTACAGCCTGAGAAGACCCAGGTTAAAATTGGTCTCCAGCAACCCGTTCTTATGGTAAGAGGAGACCAACAGGAGTTGGTGGTCAGGCTAGACAACGTTGTTAGGTGCATATCGTGATAATGGACACTGATGCTCATGATGTCAGTCACTGGATTTACTGGCCCAAACTTGATTATTTACAAACCAAGAAATGAATGTTGCTCAGCTTTCTATTAACAAAACCAACATTCCATCTCCACCTCCTGAGTATGAAATGTTTCCACATAAATGCTGCCCCTATGAGCCCTGTGTTGTGTCTCCTCCCCAGCTGCTGGACACAGTGGTGGAGCGGCATATGCTGGAGCCGCTGTCGAGTTTCTGTCCGTGGATGGAGTACATCGTGAGAGCTGGCTGGACTCCAGACTCCAAGTAGTAAGTACATGATGACTACTGGGATCAGCCTTGTTACCTACTGGGATCAGGCTTGTTACATACTGGGATCAGGCTTGTTAATTCTGGGATCAGGCTTGTTACATACTGGGATCAGGCCTGTTACCTACTGGGATCAGGCCTGTTACCTACTGGGATCAGGCCTGTTACCTACTGGGATCAGGCCTGTTACATACTGGGATCAGGCCTGTTACCTACTGGGATCAGGCTTGTTACATACTGGGATCAGGCTTGTTACATACTACTGGGATCAGGCTTGTTACATACTGGGATCAGCCTTGTTACATACTGGGATCAGGCCTGTTACCTACTGGGATCAGGCCTGTTACCTACTGGGATCAGGCTTGTTACATACTGGGATCAGGCCTGTTACCTACTGGGATCAGGCTTGTTACATACTGGGATCAGGCCTGTTACCTACTAGGATCAGGCTTGTTACATACTGGGATCAGCCTTGTTACATACTGGGATCAGGCTTGTTAATTCTGGGATCAGGCTTGTTACATACTGGGATCAGGCCTGTTACCTACTAGGATCAGGCTTGTTACATACTGGGATCAGGCTTGTTAATTCTGGGATCAGGCCTTGTTACATACTGGGATCAGGCCTGTTACCTACTGGGATCAGGCCTGTTACATACTGGGATCAGGCTTGTTACATACTGGGATCAGGCCTGTTACCTACTGGGATCAGGCTTGTTACATCTGGGATCAGGCTTGTTACATACTGGGATCAGGCCTGTTACATACTGGGATCAGGCCTGTTACCTACTGGGATCAGCCAGTTACCTTGTTCAGGCTTGTTACTGGGATCAGGCCTTGTTACATACTGGGATCAGGCTTGTTACATACTGGGATCAGGCCTGTGTTACCTACTGGGATCAGGCTTGTTACATACTGGGATCAGCCTTGTACTGGGGATCAGGCTTGTTACATACTGGGATCAGGCCTGTTACATACTGGCAGGCTTACTTTACATACTGGGATCAGGCTTGTTACATACTGGGATCAGGCTTGTTACATACTGGGATCAGGCTTGTTACATACTGTTACCTACTGATCAGGCTTGTTACATACTGGGATCAGGCTTGTTACATACTGGGATCAGGCTTGTTACATACTGGGATCAGGCCTGTTACATACTGGGATCAGGCTTGTTACATACTGGGATCAGCCTTGTTACACATACTGGGATCAGTTACCTTCAGTTACATACTGGGATCAGCCTTGTTACATACTGGGATCAGGCCTGTTACATACTGGGATCAGGCCTTGTTACATACTGGGATCAGGCTTGTTACATCAGGCTTACATGGGATCAGGCTTGTTACATACTGGGATCAGGCTTGTTACATACTGGGATCAGGCTTGTTACATACTGGGATCAGCCTTGTTACATACTGGGATCAGGCTTGTTACATACTGGGATCACTGGGATCAGCCTTGTTACATACTAGGATCAGCCTTGTTACATACTACTGGTCACCCTTGATCAGCCTTGTTACATACTGGGATCAGCCTTGTTACATACTGGGATCAGCCTTGTTACATACTGGGATCAGCCTTGTTACATATACTGGGATCAGCCTTGTTACAAACTGGGATCAGCCTTGTTACATACTGGGATCAGGCTTGTTACATACTGGGATCAGCCTTGTTACATACTGGGATCAGCCTTGTTACATACTAGGATCAGCCTTGTTACATACTAGGATCAGCCTTGTTACAATACTGGGATCAGCCTTGTTACATACTGGGATCAGCCTTGTTACATACTGGGATCAGCCTTGTTACATACTGGGATCAGCCTTGTTACATACTGGGATCAGGCTTGTTACATACTGGGATCAGCCTTGTTACATACTGGGATCAGCCTTGTTACATACTGGGATCAGCCTTGTTACATACTGGGATCAGCCTTGTTACATACTGGGATCAGCCTTGTTACAATATCAGGCTGGGATCAGCCTTGTTACATACTGGGATCAGCCTTGTTACATACTGGGATCAGCCTTGTTACATACTGGGATCAGCCTTGTTACATACTGGGATCAGCCTTGTTACATACTGGGATCAGGCTTGTTACATACTGGGATCAGCCTTGTTACATACTGGGATCAGCCTTGTTACATACTGGGATCAGGCTTGTTACATACTGGGATCAGCCTTGTTACATACTGGGATCAGCCTTGTTACATACTGGGATCAGCCTTGTTACATACTGGGATCAGCCTTGTTACATTATGAGATCAGCCTTGTTACTGTGATCAGCCTTGTTACAATATGGGATCAGGTTTGTTACAATATGGGATCAGCCTTGTTACATACTGGGATCAGCCTTGTTACATACTAGGATCAGCCTTGTTACAATATTGGATCAGCCTTGTTACTATATGGGATCAGCCTTGTTACAATATGGGATCAGCCTTGTTACATACTGGGATCAGCCTTGTTACATACTAGGATCAGCCTTGTTACAATATGGGATCAGGCTTGTTACATACTGGGATCAGCCTTGTTACATACTGGGATCAGCCTTGTTACATACTGGGATCAGCCTTGTTACATACTGGGATCAGCCTTGTTACATACTGGGATCAGCCTTGTTACAATATGGGATCAGGCTTGTTACATACTGGGATCAGCCTTGTTATTAACTGATACCCAGGACTCCACAGTATTTGATGGTGATGATTTGTGCGCTGATCTCGGCGTCTGTTGCAGCGTCTATGCCCAGGTGTTGGACCGAGAACAGAAGCAGCTGGCTGTCATCCTTATCCCCTTCGAGTACTTCATGCCCGTATCCTCCGACATTGAGATGAGCAGCTTTGACACCAGCACTTATCCCCCTTTGCAGTTCATCTACAGAGGGACGTCCACGATCTGGATCAATGTGAGTCAGTTGTAAGGTCGTTTTTGGCCTTAGTGCTTCAGTTCAAAACAGAATGCTTGTTTGTGCAGAGCTTGCTTAGCTCATCTGAAACAAAGTTGTTTGTCTATCAGCATCAACAGAACGTTGATCCACTGGTCTGTGTCTAGTATATTTGCTTATGGACCAGTTAACTTAAATATGCACTGGTCAAGTCATCTAGTGTAATTTTGGGGGCAAATAAAGTAATCTCAGTTTGTACAACTGTAGAAATCAGTGATAGATCCATTGTAAACTTTAAACAAAACCAGAAACTTAAAAAGCCCAGCTTGTTAGACTGGTTGCCTTCTTTACAGTTTTCACTTTCAAATATTGCCCAAGTACTTGTTGTATGAAGAAAATATCTGCTAGTCAAATCCTTCTGTTTTCAACACCATCTTGTCTAGGTGGAAATGCATAATGAACTGGGCACTAGTGCTGGGAATTGTTTAAAATCTCATAATTGATGATTGGTTCATTACAACCGATCAATCATCGAAAATAATTGGTTAGCGTCATTTATGAAATTTTCCTGATTATTTTTTGTTAATGGACAAAAAACATGGTGTTTTTGCAAATTGCACAAAATGCATTTGCAAATTTCACATCTTTAAAGGATGACTAGTAGGCTAGGAACATTAATTTCTTGGAGTCTTTAAGATAAATTCAACCATGACTCGGAACGAGCTTGTAGTGGTCATGAAATGTAACAGACAAAACCAACCCTGTGAAAAATATTGTTAATGCAAACAAGTGTTCCAAAATTGTTTGTGTTCGATTATGGGAAAACATGATCGATTGCTTGGTTGTTTAGTCACTGCGACCAATCTTCGATTATTTCAATTAATCGGACCACCACTACTGGGCACTGTTCACAACGTGACTGCTCCTCCCATACTTCAACACTTGTCGTGATTAAGTGAGTTGGGTTTTACGCCACTTTTAGCAATATTCCAACAATATCACGGCGGGGGACACCAGAAATGGGCTTCACACAATGTACCCATATGGGGAATCGAACCCGGGTCTTCAGCATGACGAGCGAACGCTTTAACCACTAGGCTACCCCACCTCCCCAACACTTGTTGTAGTGCTCATCAGTTCATCAGTTTGTGGGACACAGACCCAGTAGACTTTATCTGTGTAATGGTCCTTTGTTGGATTACTGGTGAATTTTTGGGTGGTGGGTTAGCCTAGTGGTTAATGTGTTCGCTCGTCACGCCGAAGACCCGGGTTCGATTCCCCACATGGGCACAATGTGTGAAGCCCATTTCTGGTGTCCCCGCCGTGATATTGCTGGAATATTGCTCAATGTGGCGTAAAACTAAACTCACTCACTCACTGGTGAATTTTGAATGTTGTTTGTTTGATAGCAGTCAAAGTTGTCTTCCACATTTTTATATTTACCTGACTGGGTTAGAATTGATCTTCAGTAACCCAAGCTTGTCGTACGAGGCGACTAACGGGATCGGGTGGTCAGGCTCGCTGACTGGGTTGACACATGTCATCGGTTCCCAATTGCATTGATTGATGTTCATGCTGTTGATCCCTGCATTGTCTGGTCCAGACTCAATTATTTACAGACCGCCACCATATAGCTGGAATATTGCTGAGTGTGGCATAAAACTGAACTCACTCACTCACTTTATATTGACCTTGATATAAATTTTGACCTTGATTTAAGTTTTGCACTTTGACCATGCCCATGTCTTCTCAGACATTGAATTAATTTGAATGTTTTGATGCGGTTGCAGGTTCATGACGTCCTTCACTTTTTCCCACAATCCTCCACGGATGAGATCAGCTTCCTGTGGTCCAGTGAAAAGAGTGGGTACAGGCATCTGTATCATGTGACGTCCAAACTCCAAACACCGCCACCTGATACAAACCATGCAATGGAGCTGGAAGACAGGTCTCACGGTTAGAGTTCATGCTGTTGGCTCTCAAGGATATTGCTGACTTTTAGGGGGTAGAGGCAGCGTTCGAAATAACCGCCGGCCCAGAGGCCCAGCACCAGTTGTTATTGTATCGGGCCGACAGTTTCAAATATTTGCTGACCCTACTGGCCTTCAGTAAACTGTCTGTGAGGTTTTTTTCGACTGGAATCTTTCCCATATTTTTCTCTTTATTAACGTTCGGGAATCCATGATCCATCATGTTACAATAACTTACAGTTTCACTTCCTGGTATTTCAGCGCTTTACGCATAGGAATGTCAACACCAGTCTTAAAAAATAAAAACTTCTCCGTGTGCCATAAGCTTTGCTCATTGATCTTGTAAAAACAATGTGAAACTGTACACAGTGTAGTTTATTTTGTTTTTATTGGTTTGACTTTAACAAAATGGGCCTGCAGATATCATTCAGGGCCTGTGGGTTTTAAAGCCTGCAGGCGGCAGCAGGCCCTGATGGCCAACTGGCAAATTATAGTATTGCAAACACTGGGTAGAGGTGGCCCAGGTCATCTTGGATTGTGTACTGTGGCATCCTTAGGCATCCATTTGAATCCAAGTTTGCCTGAATAATGTTTGGGGAGTTGTCTTATATGTGAATTTCTTGTACAGAAATGATTTGATCTGTGACCCTGACAGCAAACTTGTCAACTGTCTGTCTTTGTTAAAGTTGTTTCAAACCATCGCAGTGTGGGAAGTAGTTTCCAAAGTTTCGAGCCAGTCAGGCCAGCTGTGCCTGAAAGTTACTAGCCCACATTCACTAGCCCGAAATTTGAATGTAGAAACTAAAACAATGCAGAAGCTAAAACACAAATAGACCAGAATAAGATATTGTCAGCATGACATAGGTTTCATCATGAAGCTACTAATATGATGAACATTTATATCTGGCCATAATCTTGTATGATTTAAAAGTGTATTATAACTGAACAAGTAAGTGAGAGTGATATATTTAGAAAATGACCCCATGAAAATTCACTAGCCAGTCGGGCCAGTGACTGTAGAGATTTACTGCCCCAAGTGGATATTTACTAGCCACTGTCTAGCAGGCCAGTGGCTGTTTCTCACACTGAACTGTCAACTACAGTCAGGTAAAGTACAGTGCCATGACATTTCTAACATCCAGACATGTGCTATGCTTCTGGGTGATTGAAGCTTAAAGGTTCTTCCTCTGTCTTCTTCCAGACTTCCTCCAGAGTCAGATGGTGAGAGAGGTGGCAGTAACCGGGGGTGACTGGGAGGTGAACGGGAAACAGGTACACGTTGACAGTATTTATCCATTAGTTCTGCCTTGGGAATCCTTGGCAACCTGTGTGACTATATGGATCAGATGATCATACTTAGTTATTTAGTTGGTTAGATGTCATTGTGCTCATAACATCACTCACTGGGTGAGCGTGGCATAAAACTAAACTCACTCACACACTCACTCTGGTTCAAATCAATTTCAGTCAAGTAGCTGCAATAGTGCTGCGGCACAACAAACATGAATGTATTTTGTAATGCTGGTCATCTAGAGTAGGCAGATTGCTGATGGTACGACATGTAATGTTTCCTAGGAAACTGATTTAATTGAAAGTAGGCCTCTACTTACCCATCAGTGATTGGGTTCCTGGTAGCATGTGATAGTCATGTGACTATTAACCTTCTGACACATCACGGGCAGCTTTGGTCGTATACTCCCCAGGGAGCTGAGATTGAATATATTGTGTGCGCTGATTCGTTGACCAGGATAAGAATGATGTTAAAAAATAATAATGCTGCAGTGGATGTCTTTACAAATATCCATGTATTATTATTAATATTATTGTTGTTGTTATAATCAACACGACTGTTGGTGACAGTGTTATGATCAACACACTGGTAGGTGACAGTGTTATAATCAACACACCGGTAGGTGGCAGTGTTATAATCAACACACCGGTAGGTGACAGTGTTATAATCAACACACCGGTAGGTGACAGTGTTATAATCAACACACCTGTAGGTGACAGTGTTATAATCAACACACCTGTAGGTGACAGTGTTATAAACAACACACCTGTAGGTGACAGTGTTATAATCAACACACCTGTAGGTGACAGTGTTATAATCAACACACCCGTAGATGACAGTGTTATAATCAACACACCTGTAGGTGACAGTGTTATAATCAACACACCTGTAGGTGACAGTGTTATAATCAACACACCTGTAGGTGACAGTGTGTAATCGTTGAAATCACTCAACACAAACCAGCCTATTCTGCAATCAACCAGGCAGACTGTTTATGGGTGTAGCATATTGCTAAGGAAACACAAAGACAATAAAAGTTGCCTGGTCAGCCTTTAGAATTCCATGGAAAACCTATGCAGTTTGTTCATTTAATCTCATCTTGTTTCAGATATGGGTGGACGAGCAGCGCAAACTGGTGTACTTCAATGGGCTGAAGGACTCTCCCCTTGAAATGCATTTGTACGTTTAAGTCACGTTAAGTTTAAGCCTTGATATGGATGCAGGTCCAACTGCATGTAGGAGCTTTGTGAATCACTGGGATCCACCGTTTGTCACGCCTGCCATGATATTGCAGGAATGTTGCATAAAGAAGTGTAAAACCTGACTCATCCTCTCATAGATGAAAAAAGTTAGAATTTGTCTGGTAGAACAGGGTGGTAGCCATGTTCAAAATCCTGTGTCTTGTATATTAATGTCCCCACAGTCATGCTCCAGCGTCTCTTATCTGAACTTCTCACATTGTACACCCCTGCAAGATGTCTAAGATCCCAGACTCAGCACGTACTTACAGTCCCTAAAGTCAGACTTGTCTCCTATGGCCAGAGGACCTTTGCCTTCACTGCAGCATTGCTTTGGATCCACTACCAGCTGATCACTGAACTCTTTCAAGTCCCTTCTAAAAAACACATTACTTCTCCGTAGCTTTCTCTTAGATCCTTTCTTCCTTTTTAAATCCAACTATTTGTAGTGTGATGTATATGTCAGGCTAGAGACTGCGATCTGGTAGATCTGAACTAACAGCCCAGGTCGAGCATTGCCTCAACAATGACGTGAGCTTATAAATTCACTGCGTATTTGAGATAATTTGTGAGTCAAATACGCAGGTTTTCTGCGTCATGGCAAACACTGCATAATCATAAGTACTAAACTTTATTTTGGCACACGTTAGTTGTTGTACCTTACTCCAAAACAGACTTAACAAATAAAGTTAACAAGATAGCAATAAATAAGTTCAATTATAACTGGCAAATAACAGGAAAACATTATCCCCACTTATTATACTTGCTTGCATAAGCTTGCACTTGCTTGCATAGGTTATTCCATATAATCGTAGTCTCTACCAGTAGAGACTACGATCGCAGTCTCTACTGGTAGAATCTCCGATTCTACCAGATCTCAGTCTCTACCCTGACATATACATTGTACATAGATTTACCCTTGTTGTAGCACCTTGAGCGAGCACTGAATGCACGGATACAGATGCAGTTATAAATACCCACTATTATTATTATTATTATTATGTGATTGAAGCAATTGTTCCTCAGATCAAAGGCCCAGGTTTGATTTCCCAGATGGGTCCATTGTGTGAAGCCAATTTCAGATGCCCTGAGCTACGATTTTGGATGAATACTGCTAAAAGTGACGTACAACCTGACTCACAGTGTTTGTCTGTTACAGGTACTGTGTGTCGTACAACTCGCCCAGTGAACCAGTCCGACTCACCCAGCCTGGTTTCAGCCACGCTGTCTCGTTAGATAAGGTGAGCTAACAATCAAAACAGCAAGATTTCATTTATAATCATCTGATTCAAACTCGTAAGTTTACAGATAAAGCACCCAAATATATCTGGAATTTTGATTGGTTCTGTTTTCCAGAGTGTGATATTTATGTTTTTTGAATGAAATATTTTTTATTAAAAATTCAAAGAGCTTTTGATTATTTTGTAATGACTATTGTTATCCTATCATGACTATGATTGACTTGAAGGGCTTGTCTTTAAACCTATGACTTCTCATGATGAAAACCCCTCTAAACTTCCCCGGGGCGGTGGGGTAGCCTAATGGTTAAAGCGTTGGCTCGTCACGCCAAAGACCCTGGTTCAAATCCCCACATGGGTACAATGTGTGAAGCCCATTTCTGGTGTCCCCCGCCGTGATGTTGCTGGAATATTGCTAAAAGAGGCGTAAAACCAATCTCAGTCAGTCTAAACTTCTCCAATGTGAGCAATATATTGGAGTGTGTTTGGATGTCTGATATACTGAATGAAATCAGTTCAGGATAATAAATACCTATGGGAAAAGTTTGTAAAATTGTCTGCTCCATATTCACAACAAAAAGATACACCCAAGATATTTACGATCCATATTTTTGATTGTTCAAAACATATCCACACTCATTAATAAAAGATTAAAACTACACCTCCAGCCAAGGAGATTTTAATTTCATCGACAATTGTTGATATGTTCACATCAAAGACTTGAGGGTGAGGTTCTATTTATCATCTATAATCTTTTTTCCAACTTGTTCAATTTCTAAACAGTAACTACCAGTGCCTCGAGTGCAGAAAAGGAGAGATAGCTGGCTAGATTCAGTGACAGAAAGCCTTAAGATGTCATTTGATTCTGATGTTATGGTAACCATTGGTATCTCAATGGTCAACGAAACATTCATTGAAGCAGTATTTCCAAGGAGATATCACTTGATCACAGCTAAACAATATATCCTGTAAAATAATAGTAGTCCATATATGATGCTCATTGCTCCATGCACAATGTATGCTTGAAGCGCCCAAACAATCTGATTATTATTACCCCGGATAACCCAAGCTTCCTGTTAGGCGCCAGAGGCTTATAGTCACATGCCTTTATCCTATCGGGTACCCATTTTCTGCTTGGTGGACAGAGGCAATTTTGAACAAACTCACTTGCCTAAGATGAGACCACATGTATCACATGTGTTTCGTTGTGGGGCAGGACTGAAGTCCAAGAAACTCTCAGGAGTCAAGCTGCCAAACACGGTCACCCATCCAAGGACTCTCCGTGCCCAACATTGCTCAACTTCACCTGATTTGTGATCTGAGTTTTGTATGATACATGAAGTTTTAATCTCATGGCCCACCACCTTGATAATGTTGGAATAATGAATGCCCAAAATCGAATGTCCCTGTCACTGTTTGTGTGCTTGATGCTTTATGTGTTTGTTTGATTGCAGGCCTGTTCTCTGTTTGTGTCTGTGTACAGCTCGATCCAGCACACACCTCGATGTAAGGTGTACCGTATCTCCCATGGAGACCATCCCCCTCAACACACACAGGCTGAGCCTTGTGGTACTGTGATAAGCTCTACATGTAAGTCATGTCTGTAGACACATCCCCCTTAACAAACCTTGTAGACACCTCACTCTGTGATAAGGATATGATAAACGACAAACAATATATGAATCAACAAACAATATGTGAAGTAACCACAAACAAACAAACCTTTGAACATGCTGCTGTTCCTTTTCTCAGCCTGTCCGGAGTACCGAGCCCCGGTGTTATTCAGCTACCCGAGTAAGAGTGGCTACACCATGCACGGCATGTACTACTACCCCCACAACTACGACCCCGGCACTCGCTACCCCACAGTCCTGTTTGTATATGGGGGACCCCAGGTGCAGTTGGTCACCAACGCCTTCAAGGGACTCAAGTGAGTTGGACTCCGAGTTTGATGTTCTGCCCATCCGCTTATTCTGATAACTTGGGGTCCACGTATCAATCATAATCGTTTTCTTATGGCTGTGTATAAACAGAAATACTGCATTGACCGTATATTAGACGATCTCATAGATAAGATGAGGTCCCTTATTAAAATCAGAATCTACACAGGGCTCGATTTAAGAGATGTTAACCTACTTGCACCAGGTGCAACCTAAAATAGAAACGTAGTTGCACCAGCCAAATTCAAGTTGCACTGTCTTTATTGCAATATATAATGACAGAAATATGCTACTGAATTATTTAGATGTTTTATTTCAGAAGTTTGCCCACAAGTTGGACTATATCTAGGTTGCACTTTGTATTATCGGGTTGCACAAGTCAAAGTAACAAAGCACTAACTCGAGCCCTGCTACACAATACTTTGTTTGGTCCTCAAAGCGGTTTGAGAGGATGTTTTTATTGAACCAGTGAGAGGAAGAACATCTGTTAAAAACAGCCAAGATGGAGACACTTGTTTGAAATGATGTTTTGGTAGTGAGTAGCTCCATGGTATACAGAATAGAGATCAGATTCATGTGCTACTGAATTCTAGAGTAGTTTGTGATGTGTGTTTCTTGTGTGTCAGATTCCTGCGACTACACACGTTGGCTTCCCAAGGATACGCTGTCGTCACGATAGACGGCCGGGGTTCATGTAATCGGGGCCTTCAGTTTGAGAGTCATATCAAGGGGAAACTGGTGAGTCGAATTTTCTGTAATCTATCTCAGATGGGAAATCTTCTTTCCTTTACCTATCCCCAGATTAACAAGACTGTTGACAAGCACTTGAGAGTCCGAACGTGAGTCCTAACTTCACTTTCATTATGAGAAAGGTATGATACTATATGGATGACAACTTCTTTATTCATATACTGAGAGAAACAAATAAAGGAACATAGGAAAATTCAAGTGATCCTTTAATATTTTCCGATTTTCATCACCAGCTTTGAATAGCGTTGTGGGAGGAAATCTGAGAATAAATAAAGGAACACTGCCATGAAGTGGTGTTCCTTTATTTGTTTCCCTCAGTATATTATGATGCGACATTTTGGTCTAGAATCTTATACCATTGTCAAGCAAAACTGAAGTACTACAGTACAGAACAGAATTGTGTATATTGAACAGGATTAATTAAGACAACATGCGGATGTGCATGAAGAAACAGATAATTTTAACGGCTTAGTGTTAGCTGAGCTTCTTGATATGTAGACACACCACATCTGTGATTTGGTGGGGGAGTGAGTGATATAAGTTTTACGCCACATTCAGCAATATTCCAGCTATATGGCGGTGGTCTGAAAATAATCGACTCTGGACCAGACAGTCCAGTGATCAACAACATGAGCATCGATCTACAAAAATGATATTCAGTAACATGTGTCAACCAAGTCAGCTAGCCTGACCACCCGATCCTGTTAATCGCCTCTAGCGACAAGCATGGGTTTCTCAAGATCAATTCTAACCCGTATCTTCACGGGTTGATTTTGTGGATTAAAAGCGGACATCGTCTGTGTCCTGTCAAAGGATGGTAATTGTTGTTGCCCTGCCTGGGTAACACAAGGACTTGCTGGCTCAGAATCAGTACACTGTGTCTGAGTTTCATGTTAGGTCTGCAGCGTAGTGTTCCAGTTGGCTATCACAATGCAGCAGGCATTGTTACTACCAGATATTACTGGTCCAAGGTTTTTAACACATACATGGATGTATGCACATTGTTTGGTAAGTTGAGTAATCTGGGACACATCTTTAAAGCACATTTTCTTGCCTCACTAGGTCATGTCAAGTTTGTCTAGACTCCGGCCACTTTATCACAGACTGGGAGCTACTGTGTATCACTTCAACATCTTACGCATAAGGCTTGGGAAGTCATGTACCTTGTTCTAAGTTTAAACCCACCACCACCTCACCAAACTTATTCTCATTCTGTTTAGGGAACTGTAGAGATAGAAGAACAGGTCGAGGGTCTGCTCTGGCTGGCTTCCAAAGAAGACTTCATTGACATTACGAGAATAGCTATACATGGCTGGTCTTACGGTGAGTATGTAACAGAGTTGATTTACCTGATAAGAATGTCATACTTGGCTAGTTTTAGGATGAGATTTGATTAACCTGACAAGAATGTCATACTTGGCTAGTTTTAGGATGAGATTTGATTAACCTGACAAGATTGTCATACTTGGTTTGTTTTAGGATGAGATTTGATATCCCTGACAAGATTGTCATACTTGGCTAGTTTTAGGATGAGATTTGATTAACCTGACAAGATTGTCATACTTGGTTTGTTTTAGGATGAGATTTGATTAACCTGACAAGAATGTCATACTTGGCTTGTTTTAGGATGAGATTTGATTTACCTGACAAGATTGTCATACTTGGTTTGTTTTAGGATGAGATTTGATTAACCTGACAAGATTGTCATACTTGGTTTGTTTTAGGATGAGATTTGATTTACCTGACAAGAATGTCATACTTGGCTTGTTTTAGGATGAGGTTTGATTTACCTGACAAGAATGTCGTATTTGGTTTGTTTTAGGATGAGGTTTGATTAACCTGTTAAGAATGTCATACTTGGTTTGTTTTAGGATGAGGTTTGATTTACCTGACAAGAATGTCGTATTTGGCTTGTTTTAGGATGAGGTTTGATTTACTTGACAAGAATGTCATACTTGGCTTGTTTTAGGATGAGATTTGATTTACCTGACAAGATTGTCATACTTGGTTTGTTTTAGGATGAGGTTTGATTAACCTGTTAAGAATGTCATACTTGGTTTGTTTTAGGATGAGATTTGATTTACCTGACAAGAATGTCATACTTGGTTTGTTTTAGGATGAGGTTTGATTTACCTGACAAGAATGTCGTATTTGGTTTGTTTTAGGATGAGGTTTGATTAACCTGTTAAGAATGTCATACTTGGTTTGTTTTAGGATGAGATTTGATTTACCTGACAAGAATGTCATACTTGGTTTGTTTTAGGATGAGGTTTGATTTACCTGACAAGAATGTCGTATTTGGTTTGTTTTAGGATGAGGTTTGATTAACCTGTTAAGAATGTCATACTTGGTTTGTTTTAGGATGAGATTTGATTTACCTGACAAGAATGTCATACTTGGCTAGTTTTAGGATGAGATTTGATTTACCTGATAAGAATGTCGTATTTGGCTGGTTTTAGGATGAGATTTGATTTACCTGACAAGAATGTCATACTTGGCTAGTTTTAGGATGAGATTTGATTTACCTGATAAGAATGTCGTATTTGGCTGGTTTTAGGATGAGATTTGATTTACCTGTTAAGAATGTCATACTTGGCTTGTTTTAGGATGAGATTTGATTTACCTGTTAAGAATGTCATTTGGCTGGTTTTAGGATTTGTTTTAGGATGAGATTTGATTTATTTACCTGATAAGGATGAGATTTGATTTACCTGTCGTCATTACTTGGCTTGTTTTAGGATGAGATTTGATTTACCTGACAAGAATGTCATACTTGGCCTGTTTTAGGATGAGGTTTGATTTACCTGACAAGAATGTCGTCAGTACTTGGTTTGTTTTAGGATGAGATTTGATTAAGAATGTCATACTTGGTTTGTTTTAGGAGAATTTGATTTACCTGACAAGAATGTCATACTTGGCTAGTTTTAGGATGAGATTTGATTTACCTGATAAGAATGTCGTATTTGGCTGGTTTTAGGATGAGATTTGATTTACCTGACAAGAATGTCATACTTGGCTTGTTTTAGGATGAGATTTGATTTACCTGATAAGAATGTCGTATTTGGCTGGTTTTAGGATGAGATTTGATTTACCTGTTAAGAATGTCATACTTGGCTTGTTTTAGGATGAGATTTGATTTACCTGTTAAGAATGTCATACTTGGTTTGTTTTAGGATGAGATTTGATTTACCTGATAAGAATTTTGTCGTACTTGGCTTGTTTTAGGATGAGATTTGATTTACCTGACAAGAATGTCATACTTGGCCTGTTTTAGGATGAGACTTGATTTACCTGATAAGAATGTTGTCGTACTTGGCTTGTTTTAGGATGAGATTTGATTTACCTGACAAGAATGTCATACTTGGCTTGTTTTAGGATGAGGTTTGATTTACCTGATAAGAATGTAGTATTTGGCTTGTTTTAGGATGAGATTTGATTTACCTGACAAGAATGTCATACTTGGCTTGTTTTAGGATGAGACTTGATTTACCTGATAAGAATGTTGTCGTATTTGGCTGGTTTTAGGATGAGATTTGATTTACCTGACAAGAATGTCATACTTGGCTTGTTTTAGGATGAGGTTTGATTTACCTGATAAGAATGTCGTATTTGGCTGGTTTTAGGATGAGATTTGATTTACCTGACAAGAATGTCATACTTGGCTTGTTTTAGGATGAGACTTGATTTACCTGATAAGAATGTTGTCGTACTTGGCTGGTTTTAGGATGAGATTTGATTTACCTGACAAGAATGTCATACTTGGCCTGTTTTAGGATGAGATTTGATTTACCTGATAAGAATGTTGTCGTACTTGGCTGGTTTTAGGAGGAGATTTGATTTACCTGATGAGAATGTCATACATTGTTGGACACTAACAATATTTCTCTGCCATCATGGAATCCCTCTTCAAGGACTGATGTTCAGGTTTGTTTGATAGTTTCATCCCTGTGTAGAAGAAACAATGATGTATTATTGTGTTTTGTGGCTGTTTGTATTCAGTGCCTGACAAAGGTTTGTGTGACTAATCCTGTGTCTGTGCTGTTCAAGGTGGCTACTTGGCACTGATGGGGCTCGCTCAGAGACCGGATATCTTCAAGGTAACATTCTCCTTGTGTTGGATATTGCCCATACTGCACTTGATTGTATTTGTACATTCTCACCTCACTTCACCTCACCTCACCTCACCTCACCTCACCTCACCTCACCTCACCTCACCTCACCTCACCTCACCTCACATCACATCACATCTCATCACATCACATCACATCACATCACATCACATCACATCACATCACATCACATCACACACATCACATCACATCACATCACCTCACCCTCCCCTCCTCTCCTCTCCTCTCCTCTCCTCACCTCACCTCACCTCACCTCACCTCACCTCACCACCTCATACTATAACACGACACCGCACACCACACCATACCGCACACCACACCACACCACACCACACCATACCGCACACGACACCGCACCGCACACCACACCACACCGCACCACACCACACCATAACGCACCATACCGCACACCACACAACACCTATCAGCACCAGACTTGTGCCCTAAGGGTTCATCCAAGTGATTGACTTTGGAGACCTGCATCTCATTGGGCTTTTCTCCTTCATCAAGCTGACATGATGATATGTGTATGTGTAATGATGATGACGACGACAAGGATGATCATGATGATGATGATGATGATGATATGTGTTGCAGGCAGCTATAGCAGGTGCCCCAGTGGTTAACTGGATCCTGTACGACACAGGCTACACAGAGCGCTACCTGGACGTCCCACAAGCCAACAAGGACGGCTACACCAACGGCTCAGTCCTCAGCTACATAGACAGGTTCCCTGATGAGTGAGTATGGAGTCTGTTTGAAAAGATGTCCCCTGCCGTGATATTGCTGGAATATTGCTAAAAGCAGCATAAAAACCAAACTCACTCACTGTTTGAAACCCGGTTGAAAGGCTTCTCTTCTGTGCTGCCCAGAGTTGCCTCCCTTTACCAGCAAGGATCTTCTCATCATATGCTTTCTTTATTTGATGGAATACACTATATGCATAGTCCAACCAACCAAATGTAAATAATACAAATGAAAATAAAATAGAAAGAATTAAAATACCACCTAATTTTCAAGATTTTAGATAGAAATATACAGATTTTTACATAACATTGTATAGATGTTCTGTGTAGTGTTGTCAGTATATTTAAGTGGCTGCCATATCATCAACTGATGCAGCTGACTTTGTGATGTCTGTTTCAGAGAGAATCGCCTACTCATCATCCACGGCCTGATCGACGAGAACGTCCACTTCCACCACACCAGTCACCTGGTCAACGCCCTGGTCAAGGCCTGCAAGCCCTACCAGCTCCAGGTCAGTACTGCCACCCTTGAGTGAGTGGCTGAAATTAAAGGTCAAGGTCATTGACTTGTATGTGGACATGTAAAACTCTTTCTATTGATGCATCTACAGGCAAGGGAATGGCCTTGTCTTAAGCAATATCTCATGTCAAACTGGAAATGTTGTCATTCAGACAGATGTTTATACAACTTTCTTAGGGACCGTTCATAATTTATGGCTGGGGGATGTTGATGATGATTTTAAGGGGGGGTAGGCCATTTTGTTTTGGGGAGGTAGGGGGGCATCAATTTTTTATTTTAATTTTTTTTTTTTTTATGGGGGTCATCAATTTTAAACATAAAAATGTTAAAAAATTATGCTTAAAAAATATGGGTAGGCGGAGGGGGTAATTGATTTTGTACATGACATGCAGGGGGGTCACTTACCCCCCTAGCCATAAATTATGAACGGTGCCTTATTATGGAAATTTCTGTTATTTTTTCCTCCATTTTGCAAACCTGAAATATAAATCTAGATAATCATGGTTATCTCCCGCTAGCTAGAAAGTTAAAGGAGATAGTTGTGTCCGAAGTGTCATCTTGGGACGTTTCCATGGTAACCATACTATTTTACGGAGAACACTAGTATTCAATATGAATAGTCATTTATCATATTTGAGAATGCATATGCTGTTCCATTCTCTACACCACCTTACCATGTGAAACAAGGTCACGGTCGAGTACATTATAAGTGAGCAATATTCCAGCAATATCATGGTGGGGACACCATAAATTGTACACCATTGTACCCATGTGGGGAATCGAACCCGGGTCTTTGGCTGTATAAGAACAGCAACATGTATAGGTATCATATAACACCTCACAGATTCTGCTTTCTGGAAAAGTACTTTCAGGCCAGCATATGGGACACGTTGCATCCATGGTTACTAAGCATTTTCAATAGTATCACAGAAATGCATCATACCATTTGTTGCTAGATTTTCCAAGCTTTCTAATGATACCAAATACATCTTGCTATACCATGGTGGGTATACTCCAATTTTGACCGGGGTGGTAAGGATAGCCTAGAGGTGTTCGCTGTTCACAGAAAACACAGGTTTGATTCCCCACATGGGTACAATGTGTGAAGCCCATTTCTGGTGTCCCCACCATGATACCATGTGGGGAATCGAACCCGGGTCTTTGGCTGTATAAGAACAGCAACATGTATAGGTATCATATAACACCTCACAGATTCTGCTTTCTGGAAAAGTACTTTCAGGCCAGCATATGGGACACGTTGCATCCATGGTTACTAAGCATTTTCAATAGTATCACAGAAATGCATCATACCATTTGTTGCTAGATTTTCCAAGCTTTCTAATGATACCAAATACATCTTGCTATACCATGGTGGGTATACTCCAATTTTGACCGGGGTGGTAAGGATAGCCTAGAGGTGTTCGCTGTTCACAGAAAACACAGGTTTGATTCCCCACATGGGTACAATGTGTGAAGCCCATTTCTGGTGTCCCCCACCATGATATTGCTGGAATATCGCTAAAAGCGGGACCGCCTCCGTGGTGTAGTGGTTAGAGCATCCGCCCGGAGAGCGGAAGGTCGCGGGTTCGATCACCGACCGCGTCATACCAAAAGACGTTAAAATATGGTACTTGTTGGTCCCTGTCTGGCGCTCGGCATTAATGGGTACAACAAGGATTGGTCGGCTCGGAGTCAGTATAATGTGTCTGAGTGGGGTATTCATGCTTCACTGCAGCTTGGTATCTCAGTGGGCTAGCACTATAAAACCAGCTTCAGTCTGGGCTAGTACAAGCAGCCGCACATACACATACACACGCATGCACGTCGTCATATAAGCGAAATATTCTCAAGCACGACGTTAAACCCAATTTCACCTCACCTCACCTCACCTCACCTCACCGCTAAAAGCGGTGTAAAACTAAACTCACTTACTCATGTTATTATTGACATCAGAAACCACTGCTCTATAGATCCAGAAGTGTAACTTTCTTCAATCCTTTTAAGGTGTACCCAAACGAACGCCACGGGATCCGCAGCCACGAGTCCAGCGAACACTATAAGACAATGGTCCTCAGCTTCTTGCAGAACAACCTGTGAACAATGGGACCCACAGCCAGGAATCCAGTGAAGGGGAAGTAACGGTCGGCCAGCTTGCAGACATGTACACTTGGAGACTGCAACAGCCTTGGAGAAAATCTTTCCTTGAACACTAACGGTTATATTTGTCACTAATTTATACAATAGTTGTGCCAACTGCATGGGAATTTCTGGTTCACTGTTTTATACCATCTGTCTTCTTGTTCTTACAAGGTACCAAGAACCTTGCCATTTGCACTGAAGAGGATGAAAGAATATTCATATCGCATTGTCTGGAGAGCCGTTCAAGTGCCATAAAGTACACACCTTGTTTTATATGCCAGGAGTACCTTTGTCATTTCTTTTATGCCCTAAATGGTAATTTAGCTGCCTTTTCCAGATATTCTGTACTATTTTCACAATCTTACCAGATCTGGAAGATGAATCAATGTGATGGACAAATGCAGGAGTTATAGGAGTCTATTTGTTTAAATCTTTCAAATGAGAATTCTTTGAAAAAAGTTAAATTTCAAAAGCCATGTGCCAAATATTGTAATGACTGAAATCTTTTTTAGAAAATCTTTGAAAACACTTACTCATGATATTATTAGACGATGTAGATTTGAAATGTTACACTTCAGATGAATGTCATATCATATATACACTATGAAAGATGGCGATTAACAATGTTTGAAGTAAATGTGATAGCCATGACCTCAATGTCAAAGTTCAAAAGGTCAAACACTAGGGACTCAAAGGTCAAGGCTGGTCAGACATGGTGATCTATTTGAGAATGTGTCAACACATCCTGACGTCTTGGATCGTTCCTCTGTGTAGTGACAGATCCCCTGATTCTAAAACTGTAGGACCTCAGCGATCTCTTCTCTGTCTTTAGATTTAAGCACTGATTAAGTAATCAAGTTTGATCACATTAGATATGTGTACCAGCACTAGGGGTGTCGCGATACGTGAATGTATCGATGCATCGATACATTTTTACTGACGATACGATACAAGATACATGCTTGCGTGTATCGATTCCTATTTTAAAACTTTATCGATTAAAATTTTTATGCTATATCCATCTCCTTCAAAGTCTTGATAGTAAAATTATACGAGACCGCTCCGATAAATAGATGTAGCTAGCTTTACTTAAAAAATAGGTTGGAAACTAACAGCTTTTGTGATTGGCTAGACTATTTTGATGGACCAATCAGCGAGCGCATATGTTGCCAGTAAGGTAATGCTATGAAAAGGCGCGAAAATTATGTATCGCGATACGTATCGTATCGTGACCTTAAAATCGTGATACGTATCGTATCGTGAGATTGGTGTATCGTGACACCCCTAACCAGCACTACAGTTTATAGACATGGAAGTAGTTTTGAGGGCGACACAATACAGTCACAATTCATGTTAACATGTTCAGTGTGTTTTGGTGCAATCAGTGTCGGACAATCAAGCACAATTACCGGTATCTTTACCAAATATATCAAGACTGGAATCAATGTTTTTTAGAGTTGATTCTCCAGTTGTCAGCGCCTCAAGGGTTTGGCGACACTATGTTTATCATTAACTTCTTTAGATGGCTTTAGAAGTAGGTCTGATGGACAGGGGAGATAATTCTATGGATAGGTCACTTCATTATTACAATGAGCTCAATGTTTGGGTGTAAATCAGATATGCAACCTTTACGACTTTATTGTAACCTGAAACTACGCCAATACCATTGCAGTAGACATTCTACGAAATCTGAAGAAAATTCATTAAAATTCGGGTGTGTACACAAAAGCATATATTTTCGTCGATTAAATACATTTTTGCCAAAAAGAGACAACAAAACAGAAAATGTAATGCCTATAATTTGGAAATCTGCTGTTGGAGGTATGTTAAATTAAAACTTCACTCTTGATTAGTTTCATATTATCTTTCTCAGAATCCATCATGATTTTAAGTATTTAGTTGACTACTAATTTTATGGTCAAACTACTAATTTTGATCCTTGAAACTACTAGTTGCATCACTTTGGGGTTGGCATCTCTGTGTAAATGCTGACATTGTTATCAAGCAAGTGCTTATAATTTGCTTGTAACAGGTTAAGTATCTACACCCAAATATGGCAGTCATTGTAACAGAGACGTTACATATCTATAGAATCAGCTATAGATCCTCGTTGCCAATTGTAATGAATTTTATTTTTTTTGTCATGGATAATAACAAAATTAACCCAACTGGTTTTTTAAAAACTTTTTGTGACCTCTACTGTGGCTTTTTTATGCTAATCGAGAAATGTTGCCATTTGTGTGATATGTCTGGGCACCGGCTGCCTTCTCACTGGAACCATGCCTTTGTTTGATTCTTTAAATATGGCAAGTACACTGCATGGCTGCCATGTGTTTGTGGGGTGTCCTCTCACTTCACCGAATTTTTACCCGTTAGGTACAGAAAATTGATTAGGTTATGTGGGTATGTCATGCCTGGTCGATTACTCAGGATTAAGTGAAGTTGGTATGGGAGAGTCCATATATTGTGATCAGAGGGGGTTTAGCAACCATGTCGGAGTAAAAGAATGACAAAACTCAGTGATAAAATTACTGGAAGGAATTACTGGAGCAGGGGTTCAAAAAATCAAATAATGGTATCTTACTTGTCCATGGGCTACTAGATAATTTCCACTTATAGTTTCAAACTGCAAATGTAGTTGGATTTAATTTCATATCTGCTCAAAATGTAGCTATTAAATTTCGCAATGATAATAAAGTAGAGTTATCTTTCTTTGCTATTTATCACTTTTCAATAAATAGTAAACATTAACATCAAATACCATGTTGATTTCTTCTTTCATAACTACATCATCATAATTATGTCATAAAATCAGGGCAAGTGGAAAATTAGTCAGGACAAGTTACTTTCTTAAACAAATTTTGAGCCCCTGCTGGAGGTTAGGCAGGAAAATTAGGTGATGTGGGTATATTCCGTTTGTGGGGTGTTAGGTAACAAACTGTATGGGAACCCTTTGAAGTATTTGGGGGCAGTGGGGTAGCCTAATGGTTAAAGCGTTGGCTCGTCACGCCGAAGACCCGGGTTCGAATCCCCACATGGGCACAATGTGTGAAGCCCATTTCTGGTGTCCCCCGCTGTGATGTTGCTGGAATATTGCTAAAAGCGTCGTAAAACCAAACTCAGTCAGTCAGTCGAAGTATTGGTAGTGGAGGTCAATGGAAGTCACAGAGTTAGTGAAACAGCTCTTCATTAAATTATTCATTTCGTAGCATGTTTACCTGTAATGAGAATAGCACTTTACTGGGTTCATCTGTTCACATTTCACGGGTGGAGGACTGAATTCATGTTGCCACTTGAAGGCTAGGTTGTTAAAATAATCTCAGTTGGCAACTATTAATCACAGGTGGGAAACAATTGTATGTTCATTTACCAAGTGATCAGTTCCTTGATCTCCATAAACAGAAGCCATTGTTTAGGGGAAACTTGATAAAAGTGCTCTCATTATCTTCATGAAGGAGTAGAAATATACTGTTAATCATATTACAGAAATAGAAATCTGTAAAATTCTCCTTTCTTGTGTATCACTTCCAAATGCCATTCAAAGAGTTCATATTTTCCTTTACGTTGGATTAATTTCATAAAAGAGGTGAGATGCCTAACCTAAACCCTTATTTGCAACTTAGCCATGATAAAGATGCTAAAATGTCCACACATGCCAGCCCTAAGAACCATGAATTGTGTGATTGGCAAGAGGTCACCTAATTCTTATGACAGTTACAGGTGCTGGAACAGAAATGTGATTTATTGGCTGTGGATCTTTGAGGGTAAACTAACCTTAACAGAATTAATCCTATTGATTGAAGAGATCACTTGGAAGATCAGTCAAGTGAGTCACAATTACAGTCAGAATCTATCACTCATTAAACTGCAATCTTGCTCTTGTGACTGACATAAACATTCACTGGAAAGATGATTTCACTGCCAAACCTGAGCAGTGTAGATTGTATTTTACCCGTGTAACATATTCCTAAGAATACTCTTTGCAGTTCTATCACAGAATGTATTTACTTCACAACAAACTGACATTATATGTTGAATGCTTCTGATTGCTTATGGCCCTTCAGATGTAAGGGGTGATCATTTGTTGTCAGAGTTAGGGCCAGTAGGATTGGTCAGTAGGACTGCATCATTTTTTGCTTACCCCTAACTCCACCCACCTCATTTGTTGTTACTCATGCCCCCACCCCCCTTCTCCTGCCCCCTCCCCTGGCCCCTTCTCCCTGCCCCCTTCTCCCTGCCCCCTTCTCCCTGCCCCCTTCCCCCCCTTCCCCTGGCCCCCTTCTCCCTGACCCCCTTCTCCCTGCCCCTTTCTCATTGGCCCCTTCTCCCTGGCCCCTTCTCCTGCCCCTTTCCTCCTGACACCTTCTCCCTGGCCCCTTCTCCCTACCCCTTCTCTCTGCCACCACTTCTCATTGGCCCCTTCTCTCTGCCTCCTTCTCCCTGCCCCTTCCCCCTGGCCCCTTCTCTCTGCCCCTTCTCCCTGCCCCCTGGCCCCTTCTCCCTGGCCCCCTTCTCTCTGCCCCTGGCCCTGCCCCTTCCCCTGGCCCCTTCTCATGGCCCCCTTCTCCCTTTGGGTTGTTCTGGCATAATGATTGACAGGAAATGGCATGAAATCTGACCCAATTCTGAGTCATATTGGACAGGTAATATTCTGTTACAACAGGTGTCACCAAAATATTTATTTTGATATTTTTGTTTGATAAACAAGCTCCTGATGAGATATAAGTCCATTTATCAACAGTCTTTGTACATTCAGTTATAACAAAAAAAGAATTTTGAAGTTGTTACAGTTATTTGTAAGCAGTGTATGAAAGAAGGCCCATCCGTCCGCCCAAGACGGTCTAGATTTCTGACAGACGGTCTACATTTACAGCTAGCCAGCCCGATGGTCTGTTAAAATTTTAGATGTCCCATACATGTGAGTAAATTCACCATATTTGGTCTGGTTAAATCCATTTTTGGGCTGGTAACATTTTGAAGTTACCAGTTATGTCTAGCTGGATTTTTGGCTTATTTCATTCACTGTTGTAAGTGTATAAAGTCTTTGATTTCCTGATCTTTGTAAGTAGGTAAACATACATGCTGGTTTTAACTAATTGCATCAAGGTGTGTTAAGATCGTTGTCACATGTTCACTGTTGTAGTTTCCCAGGTATTTTATGGTTGTCAGTTATGGTTTTAACATCATAATCATCATCTTCCTTCGGCATGGGGTCCATTGCCGCACTTGGCTGGAATTAAAGAGATATAATTTAGATTGACTAACAATTCCAT